GGAAGTCCTTGGTAAAGTCTAAATCTTAACTCCTGGACTCAACACAAAAAAAGAGAACCACTTTCTCAAAGTGCTAGTTGTTTCCTGTGGATGCTGTTCTCCTGATTTCTAGATTCGTGATCCCAGGTGAGTCAATTTAAGTCACTTATGATTTGGATTCAACTCGATTGTCCTACAGATAATTTTATCCAGTTACTAGTTTATGACTGAGACTTTTACATTTGAGTTAAATGAATTACTTTGAAAATTAGTTTGAGTGAAAATTATGATGATTTAAAAAATCTATCATAAAAATTCCAACATGGATTCTAAGTCCATAATGACTGTCATTTAAAAAATTTTAATGTGGAGTAGGAATCAGAAAATCTTCTCTTTCCTCACCATTCTAGTCAAGGATATAAATCTCTATGATTGGCTAGATGGAAATGGTTTGAATCTTGAATTGGGTATTTTACATTTAAAATAACACTTCTCTGTTTATTTTCTTTCTTTCTTTTGGTTAATCCTCACCGGAGGATATTTTTTTCCCCATTGATTTTTAGAGAGAGTGGAAATGAGGGGGAGAGATAGAGAAAGAAACATCAATCAATTTAAGAGAGACACATTGATTGGTTGCATCCCACACATGCCCAGGGTTGGGATTGAGTTTGCAATGGAACCCTCAACCCTTTAGTCCAAGGGCTGGTGCTCTAACCGTTGAGCAACTAGCCAGGGCTGTTTATTTTCTTTCTTAAAGACTTTATCTTACTTGTAAGATCTAAGTCTGTGAGTCAGGAAGTAATTCCCCTGAGATAATTTCATGGGCAGCTTTACTTGATTGGTAATAACTACCTGGGGTTCTAAGGAGAAGAGTATCTGGCTACAGAAGTGTCCATCCCTGCAAACAGCAAAGCAAGTAAATAGAGAACTCCGACTGTGCTGTCTGTGCTGGCATAGGAGGAGGAAGGTGCTCCCTGTGTTGTGTAGCTACCATTGCAAATTGCAGAGGAACAGTAGTAACTATGAATCTCCTCAGGGCCCATCATTAACACTGACCATTAAACATTCCCATTGCAGAGACAGCCTGGAAATACAGATGTGATCCATTTTTTTTTTTTCTTGTGCACAGATTATCTCAGGTAAGTGACAGGGTATCATGAACAGGTCAACATGGAGAATGCAGGCTCCCACAGTTAAGCTAAATGTGTCATCATGGAATAAATACTAGCTCACATTTCCCTCCCACCAGGTGAAATGTCACTAAATTATTTTCTTCTATTCAAGCAATTTACCAAGATAAAAAAAAAAAATGTTTGGTTAAATAAACCATTTTGAATTTTTATAAGAACTAACTCGAAGCAGGTGGTTTTCTACTTTTTAGCACATATTTTCACACACTTGTATTGGCTTGAACAAGTATGCTTAGAATATATGATTTTCCCATGAAGAAAGGCAAGGGTGGCGAAATGGTCTGAAATAACAAAACCAAGTTATAGCCGTGGCACCAGGAGCAGCTGAACCGCACAAGAAAGCAAGGACAGGATTTGTTTCTACTGCAGAAATAGATTCTCTTCTCTTTCTTTCTGTGTCTCTTGCCAGTAAATGGACATTAAAATCTTGGTGTTCGCCCTTGTTTCCTAATTAAGGACTTGCTATGATATAGAGAATGAGCTATTGCCCCATATGCTGTTCGGTACAAAGTTACAGTAGTTAGGTGAATAGTAACTGAACTAAATTAATAGGAAAACTTGAAGAGTAAGGTGATTGTTAAAAGCATAGAGTTCGGTGATGAATAATGAAGTAAACCTAAAATAACGGTTAAATATGGAGCAAGTTTACTGTGATGTAATGTAATGTAAATTCTGTGATGTAAATTCTGGAGAAATGGGCTGGGATGGTGACTCTGCTTTGCAAATATCCCAGAAACCCAGGTTCTTTTTAGCTCACAGCTCTGCCTGCTGATGATAGGCCCTATTTTTTTCATAAGGCAGCATCCTCAAACTGCATAATGGGATTGACTTAGGGCAGTGGTCGGCAAACTCATTAGTCAACAGAGCCAAATATCAACAGTACAATGATTGAAATTTCTTTTGAGAGCCAAAAACTGACTTCTGCACACAGGTCACGAAGTTTCAATCACACTGTACGTGTGCGCCTGCACGTGGTATCTTGTGGAAGAGCCACACTCAAGGGGCCAAAGAGCCGCATGTGGCTCGCATAGCTGCAGTTTGCCAACCACTGACGTAGGGAATTCTAAAGATAAATCCCTGAATACAAAGGTAGAAATCATCACCTTCATGAAGCAGATGGCCATGAACAATATAAATAAGCAACTATATTATGTTAGATGGTTCTAAGGCCTAAGTTTTAAAACAATGCTGGGGATGAAAATGCCATAATTTTCATGGGCTGTCTAGGTGTGGTCACCTGCAAAGGTGTCATTTGATGGAAAACTTGAAAGCGGTGAGTTGGAAAGGAAAGTATTTGAGGGAAGAATGTGCCACCAGAAACAGCGAGTCAGAAGGTTTGGGAGAAAGGTGGGAAAAGGAAAGTTTTTCTTGATTTGTTTGAGGAAAAGAAAAGATGCTGCCAGAGCTGGTTTGGTTCAGTGGATAGAGCATCGGCCTATGGACTGAAGGGCCCCAAGTTCAATTCCAGTCAAGGGCATGTACCTTGGTTGTGGGCACATCCCCAGTGGAGGGTGTGCAGGAGGCAGCTGATCGATGATTCTCTCTCATCGATGTTTCTGGCTCTCCTTCTGTCTTCCTCTCTGTGGAAAATCAATAAAATATATTAAAAAAGAAAAGAAAAGATGCTGGTGTGGTAGAGCAGAGGGAAGACACACAGGAGATGTGATAAGAGAGGTAAGTGGGGAGAAAGAATACATGGTGCTTTAAGGCTCAGTATAAAAGCTTCAGCTTTTACTCTTAAGATGAGAAGCAACTGGAAGATGGGGCAGAGAAGTGATTATATAATTAGCATTGAATGGGAACCTCAGCTACCAAGTTGAGAAATGCCCATAGGGGAGGCAAGAGGACAAGCAGGGAGATCAAATATGATGTTATTATAGTCCTCAGAGTTGGTTGGTGGTAGTTTGGACCAGGGTGATAACAGAAGTAGTAAGGAGTAGTTTTGATGGGTATATTTTGAAGAAAGAGCGTGTTCAGTTTTCATTTCTGTGTAAACCATCTCATGACTACAAATGCAGTGGCTTAAGATAACACAAGTTTATTAGTATCTCAGTGTTTTCACTGGTTTGGAGTCCAGTCTTAGCTTATCTGGGTATCTACTTCAGGTCAGCATCAGGCTGCAATCACGTTGCTGCAATCTCTCATCTGGAGACTTGATTTAGGAAGGATCTTCTCCTGAGCTCATTGGGGTTGCTGGCAGGATTCATTTCCTTGTGACAATAGAACTTATGGGGGCTTGCTTCTTCAAGTTCAGCAGGAGTGCTTCTAGCTGCTGTCTGCCAGGAGAGTCACATGTGATGTAACGTAATCATGGGAATGACACCCCATCACCTTTGCCTTATTCTGTTGGTTGGAAAGGTCATTTGTTCTGTTGCCACTCAAGGGGAGAGAAGTTCTGGATACTAGGAGGCTGGAATTATTGGAGGTTACACTAAGGTTTGTCCATCACAGTGAACAAATGATTTCTTTTCTTTTCTTTCTTTTTTTTTTTTTTTTTTTTTTTCTTTTTTTGTCTATTTGGATTAAAGTGAGAGATAAAGAGGAGAAAAACTGAAAAGATGGAGTTGATATTAACTGAGAGAGCACAAATTTGACTACATAAAATATGAGTTGCCTGTTGCACACCCACACAAAAATGTCAAATAGACAGTTTTATGTACAAATCTAGACTTCAGAGAGGAGGTCAGAGAGATAAATTTGGGGTTTATTAGCATATAAGTGGTACTTAAAGCCAACGAATGAGATCCCTACGTGGGGAGGATAGACAAAAAACAGGTCCAAGGACTGGGCTATAAGTTCCTCAATATTAAAAAATTGGGCAGTCTATGAAGAAGTGAGAGAAGAATGAGATAAGAGGAATGCACAGGAGTGTAGAGTCCTTGAATCCTTTACATGTTGACTTAATTTGTTTAAGTCTCATTATGCAAATTTCACGCTTATCTCTCAGTTTTGTGAGACACCTACCTACCCTGCTGCCTCTCTTCTCTCTGAGATGCCAAGTGTGAATGAAAACAAGATTTGATTTTGCTGTGAAAGTTCAACACCCAAATTTACATTCTTGCCTGAATAAGCCACTGTAATTTATCCAGCCTGCGTGTGGGCAATGTGGTCAGTGGGAGTGTGTGAATGGTTTTATTTGGGGATTGACACCATCAAAACCAGGCTGCTTTAAAGCTTATACCCCTCAAGTATCAGATAACATATGCCATGCAGTACCTCAAAAGTGAAAGGGTTCAAATAGTGAGTCTTTCTTTAATGTATTAGATGTGAATAATAGAGGCATTTTCTTTTTATCAAAATGTATTTTAATATCCATTGATTATGCACAGAAATTTATTGCAATCATTTAAGTGTAAAGCTTGTCTATGGGCCTAATAAACGACCCTCAGTTCACCTAATCTTACCCCAAATTTAAGGATATAGTTTATTTTTGAGATTTAATCATGTTTTCAAACAGTGTACAAATAATGCTATGAGCCCTCTTCCACACGTTAGTTTTTGATTTGTCAAACGAGAAAGAAGAAGCAAAGAGTTCAACAACTCTCTCTCTGAAACACTTGGGCAGCTGGCTGGCTGGCTCCTGTTGGACCACACAGCTGACACCTCAGCTGGGGCAGGTTGAGTCCGGAAGCAGGAGTAACTGGCAGTGTAATGAAATGACTGCGTTGCCTTTCAGATGGACCTGGAGGTCAAGGCAGTTTATTTGTTTTTAATTTAACTAAAATGATAGGCTGGTTGAAAGATTGCTTTGTTGGTAGGGATCTTTTGAACAGTCATACAAACCTCTTGGTCTCTCTCTTCCTTTCCTCCAATCCCTGTCCCCATTTGCAGGATTAGAAAAGCACATTAATCTTGCCAGCGTTGTCAGGAGTGATCAGCGAGTTTTATTAAAAGCGTTGGGGTTGTCTGAAAGGCCCCCTTGTCTGAGTTTGCAATGAGAGAAGCATGTTAAGAACTTGGGGCACATTGTTGGGACCCCTTGCCTTGCCCCTTGGACTATGAGCTGACATCCCCGGAAGAAGCACAGAAGCCCTCCTTTGTTGAAGGGATTTCACCGGTGGACAGAAGCGAGCTGGCCCCATCGGCATGAGCTCCGTGAGCTGGGGTGGGCTGCCAGCCCTGCTGCTGCTGCTGCTCCTGGGCTGGGCCAGCCCCACCTTCATTAGCGTGAACCGTGGGGTCAGGGTGATGAAGGGCAGCTCTGCCTTCCTGTCGGGAGATGACCTGGAGTTTGCCATCCCCAAAGAGAAAGATGCTTGCAAAGTGGAAGTCATGATGAATGAGCCAATAACCCAGAGGGTTGGGAAGCTCACTCCACAGGTAAGTCATGCCCCAGATTTTCTCTTCAGTAGTGTGTGTGAATGGGAGTGTGCGAGAGTGTGTGTGTGTGTGTGGGGGGGGAGAACACAAAACAGAGACAGCCCTCCAAGAGTTGGAGTAGGCAGACTCTGGTATGGTGAGACACAGTCAGTCTTTATGAGTTATTCCTGCCCCACATGATCTCACCCATTGCTTGTCAAGACACCTTTGGATGAGATATCAGGATTTCAAGGCATTTTTAGGACACACCTGTGACCACAGAATTGCAAAGTAAAACGGGAAGACATTTTCCTTTGTTAACATCACTTGAATATTCCTTTCAGTAATGGAAGAGATGTGGGAAAGAGGTGAAGATAAATACTCAATGTTCTTAAAAAATGTCAGCATAATTTTTTTTTCCTTTTACTCAAAACTCAAGAGATCTTGTCATTTCAGGGAATTTTATGCCCTATCCTTTTCTAGGGTGAATAATTAACTTCTAATTCATTGGATTTAAAAAAATCTATATGATCATATATTGTATTTGCTGAAACTTGGAGTTTACTTGCATACACAATAGAAATATTGCTTCCGGTTTTATTACTTGTTTCTACTGTGGTTTAATTATCCTCCCAATGTAAACAATTTCGAGAATATTCAACATTGGCTGCTGCTTCTGGAAAAATCTTATCATTTCCACTTGCTGAACTGTGAACATTAATTTTATTCTTCATTTGAGTAAAGAACATATTCCTTCCATAAAGATGTTCAAAAGTGATAATGGAAGTTATGGAGGTGGACTATAGAGACTTGAGTAGATGGTAGCTCAAACTGATATCTCTAGATATTCTATTTATGACACAAAGTTATGGTCCAATTCTGAAGCACTTCAGAATTCTGTGTAAGGCTCTCATGTTGGGGGTATTCCTGATGTGATAGTAAACAAATATTTCCCTCCAGTTTCCCACGAGCTTTGCTTTTGTCAGTCAAAGAGCTTCAGGTGGGCATCTAAAAAATGCTAGTATACAGTAATGGCCCCAGGTCCATAAGGGTTTCATAATTGTAGTATCTCCTCACTTTTTCTCAATACACCTGCAGTCTGAAAATGTGTTTGATTGACACCTATCACTCAAGGAGAAAGGAGAGCCCCAGATGGGCAGGTGACATAAATAAGCTCTGCTATAAGCAATGGAGACCCAACAACAGGGACAGGGGTCATAAAAAACAAACAAACAAATAAAAAAACCCTTGGAGTTTTGGGAGCAGTAAGATAGGATCCTAATCTTGGGGACTGGGGTCCCCAGATGGATATGTGTAGGTGCTTTATAAAGACTGATGAACTAATAATTTGGTACCCCTTTCAATCAATCTATTTAAGAAATGTCCAACATTTATTTCGAAGTGAGAATGAATATTTTGTGGGGGAAGAAGAGAAGAAAAAGTCCTCCTAGTAGCATGCTGGGGCAACCTTTGGTCTAGCTCCTTCCCAAGCATGCATCCCCCATTGAGCAAAACAAAAGCCTTGTTCTTCACCAGATTCTCTCTCCTTACAAAACACTTTGGGAAGGAGGTGCTGTTACTTCAGTCAGCCTATGAGGGGTATCTTCTTCCCATCCCAAAGAGCCTATCACTTCTAAATATATATAGCACTTTTTCTGAGAGCAATGGAATTGTCTCTTGGATATTTTCAATGATGTTTTAGTGGTCCTCACCATTTAAAAAATATATATATATATTTTATTGATATTTTGCAGAGAGGAAGAGAGGGATAGAGAGCTAGAAACATTGATGAGAGAGAATCATCAATCAGCAGCCTCCTGCACATCCCCCGCTGGGGATGTGCCTGCAACCAAGGCACATGCCCTTGACCAAAATTGAACCCGGGACCCTTCAGTCCACAGGCCGACGCTCTATCCACTGAGCCGAACTGGCCTCGGCATCACCATTTTTTTTTTTTTTTTTTTTTTTTTTTTGTGGTCCTCACCATTTGGCTGACTGTGAGGCACTGGAGAGCAAAAAGGGATCTAAAATTAGATTTTTTTTTTTAAAAAAAGAAGCCATTTGGTCACAAGGATGAACAACAACAAATCAAAACAACAAACAAGTCCTAAATGTTCAGCGTATTTCCGGAGGTAAATTTGACATCTCGAATAGATTTATATCATATAAAGTAGATGTGTGATTTGCACCTTCTAAAATGTTTCCTATGGGAAGGGAATTCATTAAAATGTGAAGTTTCATCACCTTTTTTGGGTCAAATAGTAGAATTTTGTATCTTAAAGAAATCTAGATATCCGAAAAGCTTTGTTTCTCAAACTGCCAGGCCATCTTCCTATTTTTATTATGATAATTTTAACAAAAAACAAGATTGCCAAGTAAAGTATACTTTTTTGAAAAGTGCGCTTGTTTTTAATCCAGATTGATTTAGCTTGCTCCAGGGATTTATTTCTTATGGGGTTTTTGAAATGAAGCAAAGCCAAGTACACACACACACACACACACACACCACACACAGCCTACACATTATTCTTTAATAGATCTTAGTAGGATGTTGAAAGCAAGGCTTATGTGAACCCATTTCTAGCAAGATGACTGTATTAACAACACCCTGCTGGGTAATGAACAGTTTTATTTGATTTGCACAGGAAATGTTTTGTTTAACATCTGTTCAATTAGTGTTTTCATTTCATTACTGAAGTTTGTCCTAGGACCAACAGGTTCATTTTCCTATTGGATATTTGGAAAGGGATTTCAATTGGTAAACATCACTATCTTCTGTTTAGACAACCCTCCTGATATAGTCAATTATAATAGATAAGGTCAATGGTAGTGTTTTTTTTTTTAATTTAATTTTTTATTTTTTTTTATTTTTATGTTTTAGGGCAAGACTTCCTTACACACAGTCCTTCTCACACCTGTCCCAAATCAAAAAATTTCCTGGGTAGAAAAACACCCAGGTTTGGTGCTGAGCTTGCTCTTTTGTGTAAGAAATACAGCAGTAAGAAAACATTTCTAGTTTGAACCAGTTTACTGTCATTAAAGTGAGTAATGAGTTAGGAATGTGTGACAATTTAATTATAAATTGTAATTGAAAAGCAGTTGAAGTGGAAAAAAACAAAGCTAGACAGTAATTAGAAAAGGATTTAGCTCTTTTTTGTTTTAGTTAGTAAATTTATGGACAATTATGGTTGTCGCCTTTTATAAAAGGAAAACATATTACGAAACATAAAACAGATGTTTCTTTTAACAAAACAGATTGTCTCTTTATTACCCTGACTATTTGTCAATGATATGGGAAAGGTCTTTCCTTTATTCCTTCTTTGTTGTAAATTAGAAAGAGGAACCAATGATGTCTGTGGGAAAAGATCATTTGTATTAGTGGTAAAGTCTTCTCAGAGTATGTTGTCTGTAAATGTTCAAAGCTATAACGAGGTACAGGCTAAACATCATGAACTCAACAGTGATGATGTGTGAATACCTCAAGGGAACAGTAAGTCCTCACTTAACATCATCAATAAGTTCGGATACTTTATGCTAAACGACGTGTAACAAAACCAGTTTTACCATAGGCTAATTGATACAAACAAGAGTTAAGGTCTTACTGCATCTCATCAGTGTTATAACAAAATGACGTTGAAGGAAACAACTTTATCCAAGGACCTGCTGTGTTTCTAGAACTCTACCAAGTCAGAGTGGGCAGAATGAGGGTCATGGGATAGGTGGAAGAGAAAAGACAACTTTTAAAAATTAGAATTCTCAGTTCTGAATGAGGTGATCCAGTTAATTATAATTTTATTTGAATAGAAGTAATTGCCTTTAGGTTGCTATTTGTCTTAGCAACCATTTCTGTTATTACATAAAAAATAAAAGTGGTCTCTCTAAAGTAGATGAGAAACAACTGTGGGTCAGGTTTGGCTCTGATGAACCACATTAGTGTCCATAATTAGTACCTTTGTTTTTTTTTTTTTTTTTTTAATATAAAAAAGCTATTTGGAAAAGGAATGAATGAAAGGAGAATAAAAAAATATATACAGAACTCATCCAGTGTATTTATGGGTTTGGTAATGCATGCCTTTTCATGAACATGATAGACCTCTCTTACCCAACTGCTGTGAACTATGAACTTCTGAGAAGTGTGGATAAATAACATTTTGATTTATGAAACCATATTTCAAATTCACTGTAGACTGTAAAAAGGTAATTATTTATAGAATGATGAGTGGGCATGGGGGTGGGTAAAGGTGGTGGTGATTAAAACACACACACACACACACACACACACACCAAACAAGATGTTAACAAACCATAATTTCTCCAAGTAGTACTCTAGTCACTGCTGGAAAAATTAACTCTTGTACAAATTTTCTCATAGATATTTATCCATTTCTTCATGTGAACTAGGTCTTTGACTGCCATTTCCTTCCCAATGAAGTAAAGTATATTCACAACGGGTGCCCAATTCTTGATGAAGACACAGTAAAGCTTAGACTTTACAGGTAAGCATCACAGGATCATTGCACATTCTTTGCTAGGTAGTTATTCTGGGCACTTCTTTTTCTGTGGATAGGTATTACCATGCAGGAGTTACTAGATTCCAAACAAGAAAGCAATCAGTACAAACTGGAAGCCAGGATGGGTGAGGCAAGAATTGTAGCCAATGTCCAGTCTTCTTTATTTGTATCATCCTTCTTGGGGCTTTTCTGTGGCAAATGATTAGCCCTGTCCTGTTCCCCGTTAGGGTTCTTGTATAGGTATCTCTGGATACAACTATCCCCTTATAATAGGAAATGGAAATTATACTAGTAAATTATAAATTCTTAATGAGAATTTGGATGAATATATGTCCAAAAATTCAGTAAAATTATTCCTTTTGATGAGCAGCTGCTTAGTTATAAGAAATTTACCATCTGTTTTTTTAAATGTATTAGATAATATCACTCAGCCATAAAAAAGAATGAAATCTTGCCATCTTCAACAACGTGGAAGGACCTAGAGAGTATTGTGCTGAGTGAAATAAGTCAGATGGAGGAAGACAAATACCATGTGATTTTACTCATATGTGGAATCTAAAAAAAAAACAACCCCAAAGTAAATGAATAAGCAGAGCAGAAACACTCATAGATACAGAGAACATTTTGATGGTTGCCAGATGGAAGGGGATTGGGGAGATGGGTGAAATAGGTGAAGAGATTAAGAAGTACAAACTGGTAGTTACAGAATAATCACAGCAGTGTAAAGAACAGCATAGGGAATATAGTCAATAATATTGTAATAACTGTGTATGGTGTCAGGTGGGCAATAGATTTATCGAGGTGACCACTTCATAACTTACATGAATGTCTATTCACTCTGTTGTATACCTGAAACTAATATAATGTATGGCAACTGTAATTGAAACATAAAAATTATTTATAAAAAATAGAATCAAAAGGGATTTTGGGGATGGAAAAAAAAGGTACCCAAGCACCAATAAATTTTGCCTTTGCTTTGTTCTCCCCACAGATTTACTGAGACACACACTTTCACAGAAACCTTTATCCTGCGTGTCTATCTCCTGGAACCAGACTGTAACATCATCCGTATGAGTAACAATGTCCTGGAGGTGTCTGAATTCTACGGCCTGTCCCGAGCCATTGATAAGAACCTGCTTAGCTTTGATTATGAGAGGACTCCTACCTTGGAGTGTACAGTCAGGCTGGACCCTGCGGGCACTTGGCTGCCGGCCCATGGCCAGGTGGTTATGGTGGAGCCTGGGCCAGAAGAACCTCGTGGAGATCAGCCACACAGTTTTTTCCCTAAGTCTCGTACGAAATGTTTTGATAATTATCTGAGGGTTACTAACACTGATAAAAATATCTGTAAATGGTCATCTTCCACTACGAGAGTGTTTTGCTTAGTCTAATTTGTAGCTGGTTGAAACAATGTAGGGTAGTGGTGAAGAGTAGGGACTTTGGAGTCAAAGAGATCTGAGCTTGAAAATTGCCTCTGCTATTTATTTCCTGTGTGATTGTATTTAACCTGTACAAGCCTCTATGTAATGGGCAAGGACAATAGCTGTTCCATAGGATTGTATAAGGACGGAGTAAATGAGCACACAGTACTTCACACAGTATGGGTCATAGAAAGTGCTCAAAAAATGTCAGCTGTTATTCACAGCAGCGATGGCCTTGGTATTAAGAGTAGTTGGTGTATTCATTAAGTATTATTAGATTATGAGCAGGTTTTAGGTATAGCTGGTGGGCATCAGCCAATGGTTTAAATTAGGAAGAGTTAATAGATCATTTTCTCCTGTTATTCATTTAATCAAGATATTTTGAACAATTCCTATATGACTAATAGTGTTCTAGGCATTATGGGAAGACCAAGAAATATAAGGGGTAATCATAGTCATAGTAACACCTTGAGACTGGACAGCAGTTTACAGATAAAGACATGTTATGCATGCCATTGCATTCAATCTTCTGGTAAAGAAGTAGAATATCCATTTTGTACTTTTGAGAAATATATAGAAGGCCACTCAGAAAAAATGACAGGAAGACTGTTATAGAGGTGATTATGGTTTTCAGTGGAAGGGAGTAGGTTGGTTCAGTTGGTCAAAGAATGCTTAAGGGGAAATTCACTAAAAGAGTAAGTGGACCTGGAAAGGTATGCAGGGACTCCAGTATGTGACAAGCACGATGGGAGAGAATGTAAATGTGTAGATCAGCCTGATAGAAAAAGATTGCATGATGGATCCATGGAAGTGGCTGATGTAAAGGAAGACTGTGGCTGGGCTTGGGAAGGCTTACAGTGAGCCCCTGGCTTATTTGTCATAGATGTTCAAGCACCAGAAAATGCATTTTATTATTTTTTTCCCTCAGTGTAACTTCTGGTGGACAAGGATCTCATGCAACAACTGGTCAACTATTCTTTTTAGTAAAGGAAATTACAGGCTTTAAGAATAATAACAACCCACTCAGCGAATGATTGGAGGGTACACATGAGTACTCTTAGGGGCAATGAAAGGGAATAAATATCCACAGGAGGGAGGATTGGCTTTTAAATTTTACAATCGCGTTGTTCAAATGACTATCTTAATTAATTCAGTGCTATGCATTCCAGAGCTGGGAACAGAACTCAGATGTCCAGGGGGAAGCTGTGCCCTGGGACTGAAGAGAATAGGAAGTCTGACGGTGAGCTGTGAGGAGTTCCTGCTGATGGGGCTTCGATATCAACATAAGGATCCTCCTTCTCCCAACATTGATTATATCTCCATCCGACTGGACCTCACAGATAGCAGGAGTAAGATCATATACAAGGTAGAGTTTGGGTTATGTGTCTGTGTCCCCAGCTGATCCACAAAAAGAGGGCCAGTTCCATGGAGGTGAAATGTTGGTTCCCATGTCAGAGAGAGGTACTGGGCATTGTGGATGGAACTGTTAAGTGATTTGTTAGAACTGTAGGCTTGTTTATTCTGTTAGTAAGTGCTTGATACAGAGGTTTTTAGATATAATCCCATATAATAAAAGGCTAATATGCAAATAGACCGAATGGTGGAATGACTGGTTGCTATGATGCACACTGACCACCAGGGGGCAGATGCTCAATGCAGGAGCTGCCCCCTCATGGTCAGTGCACTCCCACAGGGGGAGTGCTGCTCAGCCAGAAGCTGGACTCACAGCTGGGGAGCACAGCAGCAGTGGTGGGAGCCTCTCCCACCTTCAAAGCATTTGCTAAGGATGTCTAACTGCCAGCTTAGGCCCACTCCCTGCTGTTAGTCAATCCCCTGAGGGCTCTTGGACTGTGAGAGGTCACAGGCTGGGCTGAGGCCTCCCCCACCCCACCCGATGCATAAATCTTGTGCACCAAGCCTCTAGAGCCAGTAACAGTGTACCAGCTAAGCAGCTTAGCGGTTTTCTCTGGACTGGGGTCAGTTTCATGCTTCTCTTCTTCCCCTTGCCCTCCTTCCATATTCTTCAGCTAGTCTTTTGACCTTTCGTAACACCTCTTTGATGCCTCACTTCCCCCTTCTTTATTAGAATCACGTTTCAGCTGTTAGGGAAAATCAGGGTCTACCCACTCTGTGAGGCCACAAAAACTGAGAGGGAGGGAACCTCAGCCCCTATGTTATGGGTGTAGCAGATTACATCCTTTAACTCCTTTGGATTTTGAGGTGGAGGACTGGATCATGAAGGATACAGGCCTCAATAGCCTCCTCCATCTTACAATTTCTTTTAAGCTCTCATGTCCTTTCCTCTTCTTACTCTCTTCACATTGAAATGATGACATAAAGTGGAATCAACTTATCTGAAATATTTAACATGCTACTATAATGATTCATGTATTCTATAATTTATTGATTTGGGTAGTTGAGGAGACTGTGTAGCATATGAAACAGTTTGGATTTTTGCTGATATCCAATAATCCACTATTGCATTTGTGAAAGACCTTCATGGCTCACAGTATGGTTTCTCACTAGGCTTTCTCCTGTGATCCAAACATTGAACATTATTATTCCTCAGGAATTGATAAGACATGATAAAATATGATCAGAAAATTTTAGAATAAAGATTTGGAAAAAACTTTGAGATAGATTTGAGTCTAACATTTAATAGTTAAGATCATGATGCTGGACACAGATGGTCTTGTTTCAAATGTCTACTTAACTAGCTGTGTAACTTTAAACTTTATGCTTTATTTCTTTAATCTTAAAATGGGGGTAATAATACCTACTTTTTAGAATAATCAAGAGAATTAAATGATGTAATACTTATAAAGAAGCCTGGCACATAGTAAGCACCACACAAAAGCCAGTTAAAAAACCACCCACTAAAAGAACCTGGTCATCAGCCAGGTTTAAAGTCACTGGTTTAATCCATCTTATTGTATAGTTGTGGCCAGAGGAATTGTATACCTTGCCCAAACATACACAGCTCTTTTATGGCAGAGCCAAGACTAAACTCTAGGTCTCCTAACTACTAGTAGATGTCTTCTGCTTGTTTTGATGTGAAACTTCTTTACTTTTAATGCTTTCTTAGCTCCATTAAAAAAAAAAAAAAAAAAAAGTAGATCCTTTTTTTTACTTGGTTGATTTTTCTTCTCTTCTTTTTTTCTTTCTATACTGAGTTAGAGCTTTATTTACATTTTCAGATCAGTTTTATTGGGAGTTGACCCGTTTAAAGCATCTTCTTAGTTTATTTAGAGTTAACCTAATTCATAGACAATTTGGCATGTCATACAACAGATTCTCTTATGAATATAAAATTAATATGCTCACTGCAAAGAGCATTTAAAAAACAAAACAAAACACGGAAAGCAAAGAGGAAGAAATAAAACTAGCTATATTTCTACCACTTTCAGATACACACATACACTCACAAACATATACACACTTGTACACCAAAGTTAGACATGTACACCAAAGTTAGTTTTGTTTTATGGAGTAAAACTTATGCTCTATTTAAAATTTTATATTTTTATGCTTGTATAAATCTATCCTTATCAAATTATTTTACCAATAAACTTTTTTTCTAAAAATTTAAAGGTTTTCTTGTTTATGGTTGCCTTTCTAAAAATTTAAAGGTTTTCTTGTTTATGGTTGCCTCTCTAATCCACCTACAACAAATTTTTATTATATTTTGAAACACAGAAATTGTGTTTTCCAAGTAGCCAAAATTGTCAAAGCTATTGTTGATAATTAACCTGTTAACCTTGATTTTCAATGATTCTTTTGTTATACAGAAATATACTATTTCAAAGCTAGCTCTTTTGTTCCTAGATTAGCCTATTTATTGCTTTGTCAATTCTGAGTTATTCTAAATATAATGGGTTAATAATACACTTTAATATTTTACAGGCAGGTTCTTCCTCATCACTCCTTTACAAAATTTTCTTATTCATTCTTAACTATCCTTAATTCCAGATAAATAATGAAATCATTTATGTTGGCTTAAAATTAATCCCCTATGAATTACAATATTATCAGGATTCAATTAAAACTATAAGTTATTTGGGGAAGAATTGGGACATTAGAACATTTACTATTAAATATATTTAGTCTTTTCACCCAGAAGTGAGGTGTCTTACTTCATCTAGGCAAATGTTCTTTGATATGTTTCTTTAAAGTTTTGAGTTTTCTTCATGCATGTTGACCACACTTAGTAAATCTAGTCCTAGGCAGGTTTTTTTTTTTTTTTTTTTAACTTATTGGGAATGGGTTCCCCCCTCTATTATATCTTCTAATTGGTTACTGATGAAAAATAGGAAAATGACTTTTTTTGGTATAATTTTCTTCTCTCTGGCTTTTATTCTTGGATTCAATTATTCTAAGAACGTTTCAATTCTTTGGGCTTTTACAAACCATAATTATATCTTTTACTAATCATGATAATTTTATCTTTCCTTTTTCAGTAATTATTCCTGTTATTTCTGGTCTCTTCTCCACTGAGTTGGCCAGCATAATATTAAGTATAATGATGCTTATCAGAAGCCTTGTCTTGTATAAATTATCGTGTCAACTGTCCACTCTGTTTTTTTTTTGTTTTTTTTTTTTTTTTAGTGCTTCTTGCCTTGGATTTACCTTTCTTTGAAATTGATATGGTCACTTTTGCTTTTTCATTTTCTTACATGATAACTTTGGATCATCCTTTTACTTCTAACCTTTGTATATAATTTTATTTTAAATGCTTCTTTTGCAAGACACACATAATTAGATATTTAATTTCAAAATATTTGTCTTGAAAAAAAGGAACATAAGCTATATTTTTGTAATAATAGACATATAAGGGTGTTTTTTTTTTCCTTTTGTTTTTTGCTTTTCTTATTAAAAAGCTGCCTTACACAACAGGCTAAATTTTCTCTGGCTTTATCTGTACTTTTTTGGAAATCCTTTATTCCACCTTGTGTTTTACCAGGATTAAATTCTAAATTTAAAAAAATTATTTAACCCATGTTTTTTAATATTTAAAGTAAAAAACAAAACAAAACAAAACAAAAAACCAAGCTCACTGGCTCCTTCCTATAGATCAGCGTTTCCCAAACTTTGACATATGTGTACCCCTTCTATAATTTTCGTAACTCTGAGTACCCCTTATACTCATGAGAACGTAGAATTAGGCACAGCTAAGAACGGTGCAGTGCATATCCCCACCAAACTCCGGTGCAACACTACCCCCACCAAACACTTCCTGTACCCCTGGGGGTACACGTACCACACTTTGGGAAACAATGCTAGATGATAAGGGTTGATCCTATTTATCCCTTTTCCCAGCAGTTACCCAACTCTCAGGCTTTGTTTATGTAATCTGCAATTTTAGGTCTAGCATATGATTGTTCTCTCCTATTGTTTCTTACATAGTGTTATTTCTTACATCTTCTATTTCAAGTAGGCTCTTTTGATATTTGTATTCATTTTCTTAACATGTTTATTTAGTCTTAACTCTAGGTTTAATAGGTCATATTGTTCAGCACCAGTCCTTTTATATGGTGATTTCTCCATTTTTGAATTTTCAAATTATGAATGTTCGGATAGATCTTTAAATGGCATGTGAATACATTGTTTTGTCTTCATAAACCATGCATGGAGGTGGGGGTGCTGATTATCTTCCCTGTTTCTCTCTTGCAGGGCCCTCTTCTTTAGAGCTTTGCTGGCTAGTTGCTGAACCTCCAGGCTGTGGGGCAGGCGGTTTGGTGGGAGTGTGAGAGAGAGAAGTCTTGTTTGATCAGCCGCTATGCAGTATGACCTCATGCTCTCTGAGTCTGCCAGATGTTTCAAGCTGCTCCTTTGTCTCTGGGGCAGTTTCATGGTTCATCTGGAGACACCCCTTAAGGGAGATCTCTTTCCCCTGGATCTCTCGTCTCAGGAGGATGCATTTCTGGCCTGAGTGGTCACTTGAAATTCCTCCTGCAGCTCCTAGAATATGATTGTTACCTCCAGCTTCTTGCTGCGGGGATTCTTTGGCCTTCCAAGGATGCACCCTAAGGGTCAGGGTCCAGGGTAACATTTCCTGCCACACGCAAGCACTGTAGGCTGAGCCCAGCACAGCCAGCATTATTCTCCACCTCTGGCCACATAGCTTCCTCTGTGGGTTCCAGCATCAGCTCTCTGTGTGTTCCACCTGAAAAAGACACAATTTTAAGGCTGGTCTGGAGGAAACTTCTCTTCTGACACCTGAGACAAGGGATGTAGGGTTGTCCTAACCTTCCTCTTTGTGTGGCTTTGGGTGTCAGGGGAGTGACTCAGCACAACCAAGCACTCCTTTCTCTAACAAGCTCTCTTTCTCTTACCCCTCTCAACCTTTCATATTCTTATAGTGGGTGAGAGGGTTTGTTAAACTCTGCCCATAACATCGGTCTCACATTCACATTAAAATCTGATATTTTTCTTATTGGAAGTTCAATTGTGACAGAGCTCCCCCAAAATTCTATTTGTAACTTTCTGTTATGCACAAAATAGCGCTCATTGTTCAATAGCCAGTGTTCAGCAGTATTAAACCAACTTGACTCTGATCATCGAGCCTGGTTCTCTCCACAGTGGGAAACATCAAATCCTATGATAACCACCATCTCCTGCTAGGAGGACGCTTCCCGCCTGTAGCACTTGCTGCTACCGCAGTTCCTATCATGCACAGTTCCTCTGGAGACCCGGGCTTGAACCCCTTTCCTCACAGCTCTCTCATTTGAGGAGGGCATGTTGCTAGCCTGAGTGGTCACTTGCAATCCCACTATGTGCTTCTCACTTGGAGACCCGGGGATTTAACAAACTAGAAAACTGGTAACCATTTTTCAGTTGCACCAGTATCAAGTGATAAGCTCATTTTCTCTCCTTCTGCCTCTGCCTGATTTTAAACTGCATGGCAGGACATGAGGGGGCACTTCCTGTCATGTACTTGGGGATCTAGTATTCCCATGTTATAGCTGGGGAAGTGAGATTGGGGAGTTAAATAACTTGTCTAAAGTTGTGTAGATCATAAGTGGTGGAGATAGAATAAAAGTCATTCTTTCTGATGCAAAAGTAGGTGCCATTTGTCAACATTGGTTATATACTGAGTGGCCAGATTATTATGATCTCTGAACACTTAATAATCTGGCCACTCAGTGTGTGTGTGTGTGTGTGTGTGTGTGTGTGTGTGTGTGTATAAGAGGCCCAGTGCATGAATTAATGCATAGGTTGGGGTTTGGCCAGCATGACCAGGGAGAGGGGATATGGGCGATTGGCCAGCTTGCCTGCTGGTCGAACTTCTGGTTGAAGGGACAATTTGCATATTAGCCTTTTATTATATAGGATTATATAGGATATACATTGAGTGGCCAGATTATTATGCGTTCAGAGATCATAATAATCTGGCTACTCAGTGTATATTATAGTCACCAGACAGCTTTAATAATGACAGTTTTTCACCCACCCGGCATGGCTCAGTATTTGAGCATCACTTATGAAGCAGGAGGTCCCAATGCAATTCCTGGTTAGGGCATATACACCGGTGGCAGGCTCAATCCCCAGTGGAGGGAGTGCAGGAGGCAGTTGATCAATGATTCTCTCATCATTGATGTTTCTATCTCTCTTTTCCTCTCCTTTCCTCTCTGAAACCAATAAAAGTATATTATTAAAAAAAATGCCAGTTTTCTGGTCCCCTCCTCAGAACAATTAAATTAGAGGGAGGAGGAACGTGGGCATCAGAATGTGTTCAAAGCTCCCCCGGTGATTTCCTGTACAGACAGGTGTCCGATCACTGCTGGATACACCCTCTAGGTTGTGGTTATGTGTTAAGTGTCACACTGCTCATTCTGAGTGTTCCAGCTTTATTCACATCATTTCTCCCTTCCTATTTTCTTTCTCCTTCCAAAGTCAGAGAGTGCGTGGCTGCCCGTCTACATCAGAGCTGGCATTCCTAACCAGGCTCCGAGGGCAGCGTTCATGGCCCTGTTTGTTCTGGAGGTGGACCAGTTCATCCTGACCTCTTTGACTACGTCAGTTCTGGACTGTGAAGAAGATGAGACCCCCAAGCCCTTGCTGGTGTTCAACGTTACTAAAGCCCCACTGCAGGGCTTTGTGACGCACCTGTGGGACCACACCAGACCCGTCTCCTCCTTCACCTGGAAAGACCTCAGTGACATGCAGATTGCCTATCAGCCGCCAAACAGCAGCCACTCGGAAAGGAGACATTTTGAGGTAAGAAGGAAGGGAGACAAAACTTCCAGCCTATTTGGTAGTCAAAGTTACCTAAAAAAGTGACGTCCTTTAGCCTTGAGGTGAGTTTGTACATTCATTGTTCCAGAAGAGAAGCAATCACTGTCCATCTGGGTGCAAACTGGAATGCCCAGAGGAGCTGGGCTAGTGATGCAGATAGGCAAACCCACCCAGAGGGACACTCTGGGGAACTGAGGAGCGAGCTGGTGCCTTTTGAAACAGCTGCAGCTCAGCTCCAGCTGATCCAGAGATGCCTGGAGTTGCTCTAGTTCTTGTTTGTCAAGAAGAGTTGGAAGTCTATAATTTCTTTGTAAAAAGTTTTCAGTTTTTAAAGACAGAAAACATATTTAAATGTTTTTTAAAAAAATATATATATTTTTATTGATTTCAGAGAGGAAAGAAGAAGGAGAAAGATAGAAACATACATAATGAGAGAGAATCATGGGTCGGCTGCCTCCTGCAAGTCCCCCACTGGGGATCGAGCTCACAACCTGGGCATGTGCCCTTGACCGGAATTGAATCTGGGACCTTTCTGTTTGTAGGCCGATGCTCTATCCACTGAGCCAAACCAGCTAGGGCTATATTTAAACATTTTAAATATATTATGTCAGCCTCAAAATATTTCTAAGGACCACATTTGGTCTAGGAACTGCTGCCCTCCATAGCCTTCCTGCATTACACGGACCATTGAAGTTAGAGATGAGTTTTGTTTATAATTTTTAAATTCTTTTTTGTCTGCATAAGTTTGATTAATAACACTGACTTGGGGTAGGTGATTCCATAGTCTCATATGATGACTAATTTCACTATCGAACACTTTCCATCAGGAAAGTCTTCTTTCCATTTAATCTAAGTCTTTCCTGCTCCCACTTCAGCCTCTTTCCTCTTGCTTTGTATCCAAAAGGGGTAGAGAACAGTGGTTACAGACTTGCATGTAATAACCCTTCACATACTTAAAAACCTACCAGCAAGCTGAAATGTAAATGAGCAGATCGATACGGACTTGAGTTCAGGTTTATTAAGGAAAAGAAGTGTCCCTGGGGTGATCCCATTGTCCTCCACCTAAGTTTGGCATTTGCAGCATTTAGTCCCAAGGGCAGACAAAAGACTTCAGATTGTAAGGGCTGCATTTTGCCTTTTGCTTTGATTTTCTTCATTTCATAAAAGTAAGTGGCAGCTTTTGTTTCTTTCCTGCCCCTGCCTCTCATTCCTTCCATATTACGGAATGATTTCTCATTAGCCATCGGGTTTACCCGAGGCAGCTCATAAAGAAAGTGCTGCTCTTCTGCTGCTTCCCTGTTCCAATATTGTGGGCGAGAAGCCCTGCATCTCTGCAGAACTTTGCTCACTCAGCCGCCTGGGGTGAGGCTGCTGAGGGCAGAGACTAGGTCAGAGCCCCTGAGCCATCTGATCTTCCCTGGGTGAAGGTCAGTCTACCTTCCAGTCACGTTTGCCTCTTTGGGAAACGCAAACTCATTTTATTGGGTCTTACATATATTGAAATGAGTTTCTTAGTGAGTACATAAAATACTATTTCATGTGGTTCAACCTAATATTCACATTTCGCCTGCAAACTTACTTCTCCCTCCTCAGTATAGTTTCATTTTCAGCCCGTCCCCCCTGGAAGCTGTTTCTTCTGTTATGTTGTATGTGTCTAGTAATAATTAATGTCATTTTTCAACATTCGTTTAAAATCTTGCTTGACGTTGACTTGTATTGACATAACCTTCAAACACGTGGTATCTACAGAACGTGTGAAGTGCAATTAACAAGTTTTGCTTGAAAAAGTTGGTGTTTGGTTTGGTTTTTATTGCAAAACTAGGGCTAAGAAGATGGCGGATGAAGAGCATATTTGGCACTGCATGCTTTACGAGTTCCAATTACGAAGAAAAGCAAGTGAGGCTGCAAAAAACATCTGTAGTGCTCTTGGTCAAGATGCAGTTAGCGCCAGAAAATGCCAGTGTTGGTTTGAGAAATTTCACGAGGGAAATTTTTCGTTAGATGACAAGAGTGATCGAGGCCGTGTGTCCAATTTTGATCAAGAAGCTCTTCAAGCTCTTTTGGTGCAAAATCCTCAAATTACCCAACAAGAGCTTGCGACAACTTTAAATTGTTCACAGAAAACAATTTCCAATCAATTGCGTGCACTTGGCAAAGTCCAAAAGTTTAGAAAATGGGTTCCTCATGAGTTGACCGACAACAACCGTAATCAAAGAGTCACAATTTGCAGTTCGCTCCTCTCTCGTCAAAACAGTTTGCCGTTTTTAGAGCAAATTGTTACCGGAGATGAAGGATGGGTGCTGTATGTTAATTTGAAAAGGCGGCCTCAATGGTTGGACAAAAATGAGGCTCCGCAGCCCATGCCAAAACCTGACTTGCATGCGAAAAAAGTGATGTTGTGTGTTTGGTGGAATTTTAAAGGAATTCTTCATTATGAACTTTTACCATCTACTAGATGCTAGGAGCACCCCCTCCACACACACACCCAAGTATGAGACCAGAAATGTCTCCAGACATGCCCCAATGTCCCCTGGGGGCACAAAATCACCCCGAGTTGAGAACTGCTCTCGACCCTATACCTTTGAGAGAGGCTCCATTCGTCTGATGCCGAGCAAAGCCAGGTACAGGTTTTCAGCATATTTGCTTACTTAAGGTTAAGGATTCTTTTACTGAGAAGAAAACTTAAAAAATATAAACTAAGCAGCAAGATCTAGAGCCTGAAAAAGTGAGGTCAGGCTGTCATGAAGGAGATGAGGCAGCAGCAGCCCCCATCTGTGCTGTGAAGGTATTTTACGCTCTAACATCTCCATGCTTGGCTCACATGCAGCTGTTTGTTTCCAGGTGGAGCTGGAGGTATACGACTTCTTCTTCGAAAGGAGCCTGCCCATGACCATCCACATCTCCGTCAGAACCTCAGACACGAATGCCCCGCGTGTGTCCTGGAACACAGGTGCAGCTCAGTGTAGGGTGTCAAGCAACCTAGCCCTGAAGGGAAGAAAGATAGTATATGGGTCAGGAGAGAAAGGCAGTTTTATTCCCATTTCACACACGAAGCAAATGGAACTCAGGCCAGTCCGGGCATCAGATCATTGGTTTCATTTTGTTTTTTCTTCTGGGAAACGTGAATCCAGGATTCCCGAGTTCTTTCCTCGGCAGGAGATAAGCCAGGACAGCTTTCACCTGAAAGAGGCACAGAGTGACTGTGTGTGATATGGAGCTCTGGTTGGACTGAGAGAGAAAAGGTCTCAAACTCAAATTGTTCAGAGGAATAGAAGGAAGACATACATTTGTCTTCTTATTAAGCTGGGTTGCTTGGAAACCACAATATATAAAGAAGAGCTTATACTGCTTAATTTGTTTTAAAAGAAGGCTTTAGCTGAAACCCATTTGGCTCAGTGGATAGAGCATCAGCCTTCGAACTGGAAGGTCCCAGGTTTGATTCTGGTCAAGGGCATGTACCACTAGGGGGTGTGCAAGAGACAGCTGATAGGTGATTCTCTCTTATCGATGTTTCTAACTCTCTATCCCTCTCTCTCCCTCTTTGTAAAAAAATCAATAAAATATATTTAAAAAATAAAAATAAAAGAAGGCTTTACTCTGCCTCTCATTTCTAATTGAACTTATAGTGCAATGTATATATTTAGGTCAAATATAAATGTAGAATGTAAATGAAAATTTTATTCTTTCCCATTAATTCCATCTATAGTATTCAGAACATACTTATAAGCAGTGATGCTAGGTTCTGTTAAGGCAGTGGTTCTCAACCTTTCTAATGCCACGACCCTTTAATACAGTTCCTCATGTGGTGACCCCCAACCATAAAATTATTTTCCTTGCTATTTCATAACTAATTTTGCTACTGTTATGAATTGTAATGTAAATATCTGTGTTTGTCGATGGTCTTAGGCAACGCTGCTAGCGGTTCTCAACCTATGGACAGATATTTACATTACAATATTTACACAGGTATTTACATTATGATTCATTAAAAGTAGCAAAATTACAGTTATGAAGTAGCAACGAAAATAATTTTATGGTTGGGGGTCACCACAACATGAGGAACTATGTTAAAGGGTCCTGGCATTAGAAAGGTTGAGAACCACTGTGTTAAGGGGATAATATCTGTGTCTGATTTAAATCCCCTGGTGGCAGCTTGAATAAATCTCGGGTGTGTGTTTACATGTAGGTAATATATCTGTATGCACACATGTTTGTCTGCATGTGAATTTCAGTAGAGATGGATAACATTAGCTGAGTAGCCTTGATTTATAATTTTGACTCTGTGTCTCATCTACCTCTGTTAGAAGCATAATGAAAAGAAAAAAGGAATTGGTGTCCTGTAGTTTAGTAGTTATAATCACATATTAAGTAGATTATTACATGAGTATAGAGACTTAATAGTCAGTAAATTTATGTGTGATCTGTGAAGCCCAGGCTTGTTAAGAGAACTCCAAATCTGGCTTTGGCTACTCTGGACACTAGACTCCATTTTTTTTAAAAGTAAAATTTTACTTATTATGAACTTATGTGTTTATTGTTTAAAAATGGGAAGATACAATGAATAAATAGTTTAAAAAATGAATAGAAATGAATGATCAAGAAAAAATGAATGATATAGTAATAAATGAATAAAATCATTTATTCAAAATCATTTATTACTTCATTGTACAGACATTGCTGCTGTTAATCTTTTGCTATATATACTTATAGACTTCTTGCTTACTCTTTTGCTGTGTCCCTTGTGATGCCTTGTCCTGAGCCATACTGTACACTCTTGGTTTCAAAATTGTTATTACCAGTCACAGAGATTCTTTATATGTACCCCTCCTTTCCTTCCTCCCTCCCTTCTTTTCTTCTTTCCCTTAAATATGCTGTATTTCTTAGCTCAGGTTCCCTAGCAACAGCTGCTGAGGCAGGTTGCATGCACTTAATCCTACACTGAAAACAGGAGAAAATTGAAAAGGGAAAATCATGAGGAGGATGAAATACATTTACAGTATTTATTTAAAAAGTCTGTATAAATGGACGTGCAGTTCAAACCCCTGTTGCTCAAGACTCAGCTTTACTTGTAAAAGTACTTCTGCCACTCGTGCCCACAAAACATCTGGATGTGGCCTTTGGAAAAGTCCTTGTGGACATTTTGAGTTAGAGGCCACTGTGAGCATAACATCTGTTTTTTCCTTGGTGTTTATTTTCTGGCACTGTCATGTCTCTAAAGGATATGTCCCAAGGAGCCAATTGTATTTGATGAAAGTATTAAAAGTGAAAATATTTCTAAAAATAAAAGCTAACTTCCAGTTTCTTTAAAAAAAAAAATATATATATATATTGCTTTATTGATTTCAGAGAGGAAGGGAGAGGGAGAGAGAGATAGAAACATCCATGGTGAGAGAGAATCATTGATCGCTGCCTCCTGCATGTCCCCTATTGGGGATAAAGCTCACAACTTGGGCAAGTGCCCTTGGCGGGAATTGAACCTGGGACCCTTCAGTTCGCTGGCCAACATTCTATCCACCGAGCCAAACCAGCTAGGGCTAACTTCTAGTTTCTTAAAAAGTGTTTGGGAATACAATTTCAGCTAGTCATGTGAGTTAAAATGCCTTAATTTCATCCTAATGTATGCGTGTTGGTATGCCACAGAACATTTTTGTTTTGTCTTGCAGGTCTGAATCTCCTGGAAGGGCAGTCTCGGGCCATCACCTGGGAACAGTTTCAGGTTGTTGACAACGATGACATTCGTGCTGTACAGCTGGTCACCGTGGATGGCCTGCAGCATGGGCGGCTCACAATACGAGGTGAAGGATCAACCTTGGTAACCGAGCATAGAGCTGGAGAAGAAACTTCTCCAAAAGCAAATCATATTGAACAGGGTGTATCTAGCATCTCTTGGGCCTCATGTCTAACTGAATTGTCATATCCCCCAAATCTAGAGATCTTGAAACATTTGTGCCTTAGTACTAATGTTTACATTAGTTTAAGAGGGTGCCTTAGGCTCAGCTCATTATTTAAAGTTCAGATGCTGCCGAAACCGGTTTGGCTCAGTGGTAGAGCGTCGGTCTGCGGACTGAAAGGTTCCAAGTTCGATTCTGGTCAAGGGCATGTACGTTGGTTGCGGGCACATCCCCGGTAGGGGGTGTGCAAGAGGCGGCTGGTAGATGTTTCTCTCTCATCGACGTTTCTAGCTCTCTATCTCTCTCCCTCCCTCTCTGTAAAAAATCAATAAAATATATTTAAAAAATAAAATAAAATAAAAAATAAAATTCAGATGCCCTATTGGGCTCCTTCTAAATATACTCCTTAATTGATTGTCTCATCCCAGTAGGAAGACAAAATGTTTTCTTATCATTTCTCTGTCTCAGAAAATGTTTTTAAAAACAGAAAAAACACTTTGTAATCATTATATTATTATGATATTAGGAGCAGTTACCATAGTTTAAAAGAAATGAATTTATAATTATAAGGATGGTAGCTAAGGTTAATGAGCCTAATAAAAATAATAGCCATACTTTATGATGATATAGTCCATTCCTGATAATAAGCTCAGAGGATTTAATTCAATTATCCTCTTAGTTTGCCTAATTATAAAGCAGAAAGAGAGCTCTTATTAATCATCATTTATGATAAGGGAATTCTGAAATCAAAAATAAAATGACAAATCCTCCTGTCTAATCCCAGGCCCGTGCCAGGTCAGCTTATGCCTGAGTCTGCCGGTTAGGGTGGATGTTCGGCTGCATGTAGGGAAACTCAATTACAGTGGCTTAAAAATTCATATTTTCCTCATGTGACAAGTTGTCCAGATGTAGGCATTCCATATCCATGATGCCAGATGCTCTCTTTTCTTCTCTGTTGGTGCTCACAATATGGCACCTATACTTCAAACATTGGGTCTGCATTTGAGGAAAGAAGAAAGAAAGAAAAAAGTTATGCCATCTTAGTTTGCTTTCTTCAACCACTTGTCCCAGGTGTTGGATACAGTGACTTTCACTTATATCTCCTATCAACTCACATGCTATCCCAGCATGCAGTAGATTCTAGGGACATGATTTTTTAAACATGGACCCATGCCATTCCAAATAGAACTAGGATCTTGGTACCGAGCAAGAAGCAGTCGAGGGCTATTGGGCAAGTAGCTTACAGTGTCCATTATACTAGTGTTTAATCATGATTCCAGTGAAGTCTTTACCACAGGCACATGGTATGGGAGAGTAATGAGGCTCCTGCCATCAAGAATGGTAAATGTCTATACAAAGTGAAGCAATGTTTATTAATACTGTGAAATGAAGTAGAGAGAGAGAAGTAGCCTATAAGAAAATCATGTTCTGGGCTCAGAGGATATAGGAAGTAGTACTAATATTTATTAAGTATTTACTTTGTGCCAGATACGGTGCAAAATATTCTACATGCTTTATTTCATACTACTTTATAAAGTGAGGTACTGTTATTAATTCTACTTTACATATGGGGAACTGAGTCTTAGAGAAGTCAACCTGTCTAAGGTCATGTATCTAGAAAGTGGCAGAACTGGTTTCTGAACCTTGGCCATTTGATACCAGAGCTTTAGCTCTTGGTCAATAAGCCAGTGCTTCTCAAATTTTAGCATGCAGTGGACTGTTGGAGGGTTTGATAAAGCACATAATGCTGGGTCCACCTCCAGGATTTCTATTTCAGTAGGTCTAGGATAGGGCCTAAAAACATGCATTTCTAACAGATGGTGCTGATGCTGCTGGTTTGAGACCACACCTGTAAGAAGTTCTGCCATGTAGGTTGATAATAATGAGTGAAACAATAATTAACATTTATTGTCGGCTTACTTTTGTTTATGTTCTCCCATTTATGTTCTCCCATTCATACTAGGGACTATGGGGTAGGTATTATTTCTGCTTTATAGATGAGTCTCAAATAAATCAAATACCTTGCCCAATCTACACAGCTAATAGTTGTTACAACCACTGTTCAAAACCTGATTTGTGGAGGTGGTTTCTCCCAAAGAGGAGAGTATCAGATGCACCCCTTTCCTCAGTGCCCTTTTGCCTAGTGCAGCGTTCCCTGTAAGGGCTGCCTTTGAGCTCCTCCCTCAGTCGGTGCCATCTCTGCTCTCTCCTTCAGGGGGGAAAGGCTTCCTCTTCACCGTGGCTGACCTGCAGGCTGGAGTTGTTCGCTATCATCACGATGACAGCGACTCCACCAAAGACTTTGTGGTCTTCAGGATATTCGATGGTCATCACAGCATCCGCTATAAGTTTCCCATCAACATTCTGCCCAAAGATGACAGTCCCCCGTTCCTCATCAATAATGTTATTATCGAACTGGAGGAGGGCCAGACCATACTGATCCAGGGGTCCATGCTGAGAGCTTCAGACATGGACTCCAGTGATGACTACATCTTCTTTAATGTCACCGGACCTCCTCAGGCTGGAGAGATCATGAAGAAGCCAGGGCCAGGACTGATAGGTAAGTTCTGGGCAGTTAAGATATTTGTGTGAAGATGGATGTCAGTTTACGAAGTGAGATACTATTATTATTCCCATTTTATAGATGGGAAGCCTGAGACTTAGAGACTTGAAGTTGATTCATTCAAGGGTGCACATCTAGAAAGTTCCAGAGCTGTGCCTGAAAATAATCATTTCACTTGGAAAAATTAAGTCAGCCAAGTTCAGTGATAGAACAAATAAGTTTGAAGAGAGATGCTTGACTTATTGTAGATTATTGATAAAGTAATTTCATGAATAGCATTTCCTTATATTTTGTTAGAATAATTTCATAGTAACTATTTCTTAAAATAGTCAGGAGCGTCAAAATAGGGACCAAGTAGTGTTTCTTAAGACAATGTTTCTTAAAAATACTTTTCTAATGCAAATTTATCAACATATGTTAAGATATATGTAACAACTTTAATTTTCCTGCTTTATTATTTATAAGCTTTTATGAAGAGTCCTTGGGTACATACAACATGACATGCAGAGAAGACTTGAGATAAGTCCAGTATCTTTATACCCAAACACTTGTAGTTGGTTACAAAAATACTTGGTGTTTTGTGGACCCAATAGGCTATCCTGTCCCCGGCTTCCTTCAGAGGGACCTGTTCAATGGCATCATTTACTATCGTCACTTTGGTGGAGAAATCTTTGAAGATTCCTTTGAATTTGTCCTTTGGGACAGCCATGAACCTCCAAATCTCTCAGTGCCACAGGTAAGAGGCCATTCTGAGCACTTCTCAAAGCCTTGTCTGCAGATATCAGTTCTGGGGAGATGTTATTAGGAACTACATGAAAATAGGTCTCAAGGTTCAAAGACTGAGAAGCAATGGAGTAAGCAAAAGTAAGTCAATTTCTTTGTAACACCACTTCTCTACCATTTACTTTTCCAATGAGTTCTGCAAATTTTTGTGAGTGATATTTCCAGCACCTTTATAAAGGACACCTCACAAAATTTGCTGTCCTCATGTCACTCAGAAAAACATGGCATTTTATGTGTTGTAGTTCAAGTATAGGCTGTGAAGTTTGGCTGCCTGTTTCTGTCTTGCATCGACACAATTATCTGCTTGATCTGCAGTTCAGTTTCCCCATCCGTAAAACAGGGACTAATACAACTTCCTTATAGAATGATTGTGAGAGTAAGTAATATATATAAAGTACTGCGAACTTTCTGGCACATGGTAACCACTCAATAGATAAATTAGCTATTATCTATTGCTGCTTTTGAAGAACTAAGAGTTTTACTACAACTCAAGGATATTATTTAAATTCATAGAATGCAGAAATAATTGTAAAAAGGCATTCTCATATAAAAATTACAGAGATTGCTGAAACTGGTTTGACTCAGTGGATAGAGCATCGGCTTGCGAACTGAAGGGTCCCAGGTTCGATTCTGGTCAAGGGCATGTACCTTGGTTGTGGGCACATCCCCAGTGGGGAGTGTGCAAGAGGCAGCTGATCGATGATTCTCTATCATAGATGTTTCTAATTCTCTATCTCTCTCTCTTCCTCTCTGTAAAAAAAAAAATCAATAAAATATATTTTAAAAAATTACAGAGATGGAATTAATATAGTATATGGACAAATGTAAGAAGATAAACTCTCTGCAAGGAGAGAGTGACTAGTGGTTGGAATGAAAAAAGGAGAGCTCAATATAAGTGATCACCTACTACATATCATTTATTTTTTTAGGCATTTTATCCCTATTATCTTGGAAGGTAGTATATTCAGGGTTCTAAGCAAATCTTGAATCAGTTCTGGAATGGCTATTTACTGCTTCTGTCCCTATTGGCCAATGCATAGATGATTGAGCTATTCATCTGTTTGCTTAGTTAAAGGTAACCAAAGAAAATGATCAGGAAGAATGATGTCTGAGAGCCCAGAAACTGAAGGAAGTAGGTGGTCCCTATTAAGAAAAATTGGAGAATAAGAAAATTCTCAATTTAACTGCTTATTAACTCCTTTACAAATAACAGTCCCTTCTTTCCTTGTGTTATTCTATTTCTAGATTACATTCTGCTTGAGACCTTGTTGATTTGCTAATCCTAAATTATAACTATCCATAGGATTTATTTTTAAATAATTTGTTGCAACTATTCAAACTGAGCTTTGTTTTCAACTAAAATATCATATCACTTTCAGCAGACTATATGCCTTTTAAAAAACAGAAAGTTAGGGTCTGCTTTTTTCTTTTCTTCTATTATATATTTTATAGATTATATTTTCTTTCTATCATATTTAATTTCAAGTGTAAATGTTAGATCCCTTTATAATGAGGACCAGAGTAATAAAAACTTTATTCAAATAAAATTATTTCTAAATCTTGGAAAATAAGTCAGACTAATTACTGTAAGATCCAGTTATGAGATTATTTCTTTGGATAGATGGATGGGTTTCTAAAAAAGGAGTCATAATTACATTTATATCTGCTTTCAGCTTATTAATCTACTAGAGGCCTGGCACACAAATTTGTGCGTGGATGGAGTCCCTTGTCCTGGTTGACGATTGGGGCCGATCAGACAGAGCCAATGTGGGCTGGCTGTGGAGGAACCATGGAGGTTGGCCTTGGCTGGCCAGTCAGGGAGGGACTGTGGGAATGCTCCAGGGCATGTCTGGTCTTTCTCGCCCAGTCCCAATCAGCTGGGCCCCAGCAGCAAGCTAACCTACTGGTCAGAGCATCTGCTCCCTGGTGGTCAGTGTGCATCATAGCAACTGGTCAAGCAGTTGACCAAACATTTGACTGATCAGTCAGACACTTAGCATATTAGGCTTTTAAATATATAGATGTTGAGGGAGAAGGAGAGAAAACCTATAAATTACTCTATATTCATGCACCATTTATTGTTTGGCTCCTAAATATTCTCCAATTCAGCCTTGTATACTCACCTCTCTACTTGTCACCTCTACATGTAAATCTCACCAGCATTTTAAAAACACCATGTCCACAGGCATTTAGTATATTTCCCCCAAGCTTGCACAAGACCACTGTAACTAGAATCTCTGAAGTCATCCCTAATCCCTTCTCTCTATAATATCTGAATAACTAATTAGTCAGCAAATCTAACTAAATCTACCAGATAAATTTCTCTCATCTGTCTGTACTTCCCCACCCATTGCCATTGCTTTAGTCCCAACCTTCATCTTTTTGGACTAGATTAACCTCAGAATCCCTCACAAGGTCTCTTGAAGAATAGATCAGCAACATCCTTATAACTGAGGACAGTTAAAATCCACTGATATAGTAACTTTGTATTCAGTATAATTTATCTAGTATCTGTTAACGAAAAAAAGAACCATTGAAACCTGTAAAGAATTTTTTGTGAGTTTATTTGAGCCTTAATGTCGACATATGCCAGAATGGATTGAGATAATGCTCCGAAGAATGGCGGGTTACAATTTTCTATTTATACACTGAAATCAAAGGAGGAACATAGGTGGGTTACATGAAATTCATTGGTGATGGAGTAAGGAGGCGGGAGAAAGCAAAGTGGTGGGAAACCCCTGGGATTGGATAAAAAGTAAAATGATTGACTGTACTCAGGTGAGTGCAGGAACAATTAACATGATAATGAAGGAATTTGAGGCTTCTGTCCTGGCACTCACCACATTTGGTTGTGCCCCAGGGGCTCCGGAAAAAGGGAAGTTACAAGTTACCCAGACATCTCATAGATATGTTATCTTAGAGGCAAAAAGGCAAAGGGGCTCAGTAAAAAGATTGAAGTTGATCTTTGTCTGGGAAAATATCTGGGACATGATTACCTACTATAACCTGTTAGATATTTAATTTTCAAACCATCTTTTGTGGTTATCTTAGGTCTCTGGGTTTGTAAGACTGCCACGCAGGCCTTCCCTGAGCTTGTCAGGTTAGCATGTGGCTCTTTTCTTTCACATATCCATTCCCCCAAGTCTCCCTCTTCTAATATGTGACAGTACCAGCTCACTTCCTCTCCAGACACGGATCCTCTCTCAGTGATAACATCGCCTCTTCCAGAAAGTCTCCTCTGGTGCCCTCATTCCACAGTTCCCCCATGCTGGGTCAGGTGGTCCTTTTATGTAGCTGATCCAATGGCAAATCACTATAATGTGAGGCCATTCTTTGTTTTATTGGATAAACTGTGAGCTCATTAATGACAGGCATCCTAAATTATTCATCTGTGTCTTCAGGCCTTGGTACCTGGCTCAGAGTAGAACCTCAAAAACTTTTCTGGTTCTTTCAACTTTTATTAAAACTAGGAAGAAATAAGAAAACTGAAATGTCTTGTAAGAACTAGGGAGGTAGAGAGATGAAAAGGTAGTAAGTGCAAAGTTTAATTCTCCAGAGTTTCCAGGAATTAGTGTGTGCACTACAACAGAACAAGTATTGTAGGTGTGTGTGCTGGTGAGAACTTTCGTGTTGTAAAACCCTGATACCTTCATTAAAAAGTCCAAATTTTAAGGGACTTAGATGATGATCTAGTCTATTTGACAATTGCATCTTCAATTTGGACAACTATCTAGTCATGCCCTACATATAAAATCATATTTAAAGTATTTTTAAAAATTGTAACGTTTAGCTGTTCAACTAAAGGTCCAGATAAGATGGTTACTTAATGGGAGCTTTTGTGATCGGTAGGTCCCATGGTCACTGAAGGTTACCGTATTTTCCGGCATATAAGACGACCCCCTAATTTCACAGTTAAAACATAAGTTTAGGCCTATATTCACTGTATAAGACTACCCCTCACTTCCGAGGCAACACCAGTTCTTTTTTCAATAGACTGCCTCTCTGACTCTGGCCAATCTGAGCAGGCCTTTTACTAGAACACAGTGTAGCTTCGGGTACAGAACATGTATAATTTGCATGCATAAAAAGCCTGCTCACATTGGCCAGAGTCAGAGAGGCTGTCTATTAAAAAAAGAACTGGTGTTGCCTCAGAAGTGGGGGGTAGTTTTATACAGCGAATATAGGCCTAAACCTATGTTTTAACTGTAAAATTAGGGGGTCGTCTTATACGCCGGAAAATACAGTAAGTTAAACTCAGGTGATTGTTTAGGCAACATGTTAAAACTCCTCCTTTGATGGAAGCAGAAACCGAGCATCTCCTCAGGTGAGAAACAATTTAATAAAAACAGGGATGCTCCTTAACTCCTTTCATGCTTCCTCACTCGGTATTCCTGCTCAGAGATCTACCTGTGCATCAACAAGGCGCTCACATATCAGCAAGAAACCCTTTCCTCTTCCTATCTTGGTTGTCATCACTGTCATCAAATAAAGCCTCATGCTCTCAATTTGCTTTTTTAAAATTATTTGAAGTATTACAAATAGTGGTACCTATGTCTCATTCCACCTCCCCATTAACATCCCCCTGCCTCCCCTAACCCCCAGCACATGCCCTCACTTGCCCCCACTCCCAGTGTCTTGTATTCATTGTTTATGCTAATATGCATGCCTACAAGTCCTTCAGTTGATCTCTTACAGCACCACCCCCCCCACCCCCCCACGCCCCCACCTCTCCTGCCATCCCACTGTAGTTTGGCAGTCTGTTCAATGTTTCAATTGGCTTTTTAAAAATATTTCCTTCTTTATCCTTCTTAGCTTTATAGGGTTTAAGCCTCAGGAGATTTTAACCAGGAGAGAATAATGTTGGGAGTAAGATGGAAAATGCAAAATAAGGATAGAAGAGAGAAGCAGAAAGATGACTAAGAAATAACAGCAGATACCCCAAAGGCCTGAGGGGGAAGTGGAAGAGAGCAATGAACTGAGGCCAGACAAGAGGGGCACCCAGGCTGTGAGCATTCAGAAGAAGTCAAACCTGAAAGTGGGGCGGGCCAAACGCTTTGGAAGTAGTTCCTGGGGGCAAAAAGGAGCACAGGATAAACTCAAAGGAAGCTGTAAGGTAAATAATCAGGCAGGAATCAAAGGTCAGGGCGAAGAAAGGATCCATGTCAACAAGGGAGAGATATCCACTCACAAAAATATCATATTATGAACACTGAGGGTCAAGGTTAGGCTTTGTCACTCTGTGGACTGACTTGTTTCTTTGTATTCTGATTCCCTGTCAGTCTGTCTTTGGGTGCTTGTGACCATAAGTAGACTGGATGCTTCCAGGGGTTCCCAACAAGTGAGAGCCCCACAATTGGGCTGGGCATTGCTTTCCCACTATTGGGGAATGGCTATTTAATAACGTCTTTGTCACAACCAAATTTCAGTAAAATGTAAATGGTTCATTTCTCTATGGACTTTGTTCAAATAGGATTTTTCTCATCCACAGACACACACACAGAGTAATTGTTTAAACATGCATCAATATGTAGTAAAGACACATCAACCTAGGCGATCATAAAGCATGTTGAAAAATGTGCCTACCAAGAATTACTACAGGAGTATAAAAAAGCATGCCTTGTACATTCTTTTCACACAAAGAACACATTGGAGACTAAATTAGCATGGAAAATGGTCTCTTTGAAGGCACAATAACTATTGTGTCCTTATTAAATCCAGTTTTTCAATTAAGTGCAGCCTCACTGATCCATGCTGTGGCTGGGAAGCCCCACAGAGAATTTCTGAACTTTGTAGATTAGCAAGAAACTATAATTTGGGGGGAGGGGGAAGGGATTGTGACATCGACTCCAGGAGACTGGAGAAATAACTGTCATCGTGTTTATTTATTTTGATAACTGCCTTTAGTTTTTAATTATTGAAATGCTCCATAATGGAGCAGCACATATGCTGTAGGCTTTTGTAAGAGCAATGAAGAATGGAGACAAGGAATTAACTTATTGAACACCTACTACCGAGTACTCACTGTGTTACTAGCTATCTCATTTGATCCTGACAGCACTTCACTACAATAGCCGTTGTTATCATTCCCAATGGGAGAGAAAAATGGATCCCAGAGGGGCTCACTGATTTGCCTCAGGGGGCACAGCTCGCACAGCTAATGTCCCAGTATTTTCTATATTGTAGTTTTGTGTGTTTTTTTGTTTGTTTGTTTTTGTTTTGCTTTGTATGTCAATTTAAAAAGGAAGTCACTTTACTTTCAAATTGGGTGTTGTGAATACTATTATTATAGACAAAACTGGCATGCTGCTGGCTGGTGTTGCTCAGTGGTTGAGCGTCCACCCAGGAACCAAGAGGTCACCAGTTTGATCCCCAGCAGGGAGCATGTAGGAGACAGTCGATTGATATTTCTATCCTCTATCCCTCTCCTTTCTTCTCTCTAAAATAAAGAAAAAAATATATTTTTAAAAATTGGCATTGCAGATCTGTGCTTCAATGACAATATTAAATTTATTAAAATAAAGTTATTAAAATATTAAAAGAAATAAAAACCAGGATAAGAAACCCACGACACCAAGCAAATGTACCATTGCAAGAGAGAATAAGTAATTGCTTCCTCACGCCCAGCCATGGATTATTATAAGAAAATGTGATAAGAAAAGCTGTTCGGCTTCCCAGCTAGCATGGCTTAGTGGTTGAGGGTCAACATATGCCTGGGTTGAGAGCTTGATCCCCGGTGTGGGGCATTGGAGGGGCAGCCAATCAGTGATTCTCATCATTGATGTTTCTGTCTTTCTCTCTCTTCCTTTCTCTCTGAAATCATTAAAAAAATATATTTTTAAAAGAAGCTGTGGAGCAAACTCTCCATGCCCCCTAGCAGGATCCAGACCTGTGAATGTGCTTTAAGAATTCTTAAAATCGCAAACAGGACATATTGACTCATTCAGCTAGCAAACACTGATGAAGTGCTTTCTACCTATAAAATACTGTGCCAGATGTAGAGCTACAGCAGTGAACAGAATATTTATTGAGCACCTACTATATGGGATACATTTTTATCTACATAGTGGTCTTTTTAATTTTTTATTTTATTTTATTGATTTTACACAGAGAGGAATTGAGAGGGACAGAGAGTTAGAAAAGTAGATGAGAGAGAAACACTGACCAGCTGCCTCTTGCACTCCCCCCCCCCCCCCCCACTGGGGATGTGCCCACAACCAAGGTATATGCCCTTGACCGGAATCAAACCCGGGACCTTTCAGTCCACAGGCCAACGCTCTATCCACTGAGCCAAACCAGTCCCGGCTACATAGTGGATTTTGATCCTCATAACAAATCTGTGAGGCTGTTGTCATTATGCTTAACTTACATATCAGAAAATGGACATTTGGAAAAGTTTAGTGACTTGTTCAAGATCAATAGCTGCTAAGTGGCATACGTAAACCTTTAACAGCCTGTTCAGTGCCAAAATCCATGTGGTTTGTACTATTCTATGACCCTCCTCTTAGGGAACTTTCAGTCTAGGAGAGACTGTGTGTGAACTACTGACTAATGATATAAGACTTAAAATAATAATGTTTCTCAAGGAACAAACACATTTAGGAACAATTAATTCTAACTGAGAAATTGGGGAATGTTTCAAGAAGAGCCAAGTGCAGGAAAAACTCAGGTTGTTGAAGTAAGCAGGAGAAAAGAATTCCAAGTTGAAGAAACAGCATAACTCAAAGTCTAGGATCCAGACCTTTGTGTGCAGCTGGGGTGCTGGCTTACTGTTGAAAGTAGTAGCCGATAAAGTGGAGAAATAGGGTGTGCAAACTGTGTGTGTGTGTGTGTGTGTGTGGGGGGGGTTATATATCCTTTTCAAAACTAGTGTTAAAAGTAATAAATAAATAAAAACCCCAAAACATAATATTGGCTAAAAATCACTACAAAATCAAAATCAAACTGTAGAGGCTCTTAGATGCCATGCTAAGGAGTTTAAATAAGGCTGCCCCTCCTGGGTGGTTGTTAAAACTGAGGAAGGGAATAACCTGATTTGATTTGTATTTTTTAAAAGATAACACTATAGGTAGATTAGCTACTGCAATTGGGGCCAGTAGAAAGCTATTGCAATAATGTGGGGAAGAAATTATGAGAGCTAGAGCTAGACCAGTAACAGTAGGAATGACAGCCGGGGTGGGAGTGGAGTGTGGTCAGTGTATAGGAATTTTATAAGTAGAGACTCTGGGAAGTGTTTTATACATGTGTGGAGAGAAAATGAGGAGCCAAATTTTCTGTCACGGTTTCTAGAATTTGAGTAAGGGAGGTAAAAAATGCACAGGTGGGTGTTGGAAGGGAGATGCAGAAATACCCATTCTATATAGCACTCATGAACGATTACCTATAATTGTGATAATTACATCCTTAAAATGTAGTATCGAATGGGTGGAGAATGTTCCATTTTTGGTTCACATTCTTAATACCTCCTAAATCATTTCAATGAAAGTCTATTATAATTGTAAGTTTTTCAAAATCATCATAATAGGTGATTGTGGGGATGTTTTCTTTGGTGTCTTTTTTGGTACCTTACATTAATGGTACAGATCGTTTCTTTTCAGGTGGTGACAATTCATATCACTCCAGTGGATGACCAGCTTCCAAAAGAAGCTCCTGGAGTTTCTCGGCATCTGGTTGTCAAGGAAACGGAGGTGGCCTACCTAACTAAGAAGCATCTGCATTTCATAGATACGGAATCGTATGACAGGGAGCTGGTCTATACAATAACAACTCCTCCATTTTTCTCTTTCAGTCACAGGTATCTATGAAAGGTCATTGGTAGAGGGTTGTGTTCTAGGACTGGAGAGTCCACAAGGTCAATATATGGTGCTGAGGTTCAATTGCTTTTTTGTCAGACATGAACATACATTCCATTCAGCATTTACTCTAATCTTAGACTTATACCCCCTTCCAAAGCTGTATTAATGTAGTGTCTTCAGCTTAGCTGCCCTAAAAACAATTTTTAATCCCCTTTTCGAAAGAGAATGCTATTTTTTTCTTTTTAGTAAAATGTATTGAGTCTCTACTGCATTATTTTTAGGTATTTATTGCAGGCCACAAAATGGTCATATGCTATGATGCCAATCCAAGAAAGTGACATGAATATACATTAGCCGGTATCATGTACATGATAGCAAGGAAACATTTTTAGGATGAGAACAATGATTCTCTTTCACGATGTCAAGCAGAAAATATTGTACGTATTTTTTTGCAACAGTGATGAAAATAGCATTGATGAGATTACACTGAAGGCTAGCACCCCTAACATAAAGAGAATATAAAGATGGAATATTTTATTTCTTCCCACGATGAGCTCTTTTAGTTTTTTTAAAAAAAACTTGGTAGTAGGCTATTTGACTTAATTTTCATTACTTAAAAAATGAGCTGATGTGTTTAATATTTCTCTTTAGACACTTGGACGCTGGAAAATTATTCATGGTGGATAGCATACCAAAGCTAACCAAGAATCCTGCAGCTCAGGACTTGAGGTCATTCACTCAGGTGGGAGGCTGTGCTACATGCTAAAAAACATGATGGAAGGAAGTATCCTCGAAGAAGTCATGGTGTTTCTAGTATTGCCCTTGAGAATGATGGCCTTTGATGTCTGTTACCAGTGCTTGATGTCTGTATCCTTTCTGCTTGTGCATTTACATTAAGCATGCAACATCTACTTGACAGTGCTTGATCAGGCTGGATATGATTTCACAATCTTGTAACTCACTACAGACTTTTGCATTGTGTTGCCAGCAGGGACCAGGCACATATGTTTTTATTCCACTAAATTCAGTTTATTTAATATCCTGACGTATTAGTGTACTAGAGCTGCCGTATCAAAGTAACACAACCAGGATGGCTTAAAAGAACTGTGAGTTATTGTTTCAGAGTTTGAGGCTAGAAGCCTCAAATCAGGGTGTTGGCAGGGCCATCCTCTCTGAAACCCTGCAAGGGAGTCCTTCATTTCCTCTTCCTCGCTTCTGGTGGTTTGCGGGCTTTCTGTGATATGACTTGGTTTGTAGATACATTTCTCCAACCTCTGCCTGTCATCCCAGGGCTATCTTCTTCCTGATTGTCTCTCTTCTCTTCTTGTAAGTTTATCAGTTATGTTAGATTAAAGGCACACTGTACTCCACTATGACCTCACCTTGATTAATTACATCTGCAACAACCTATTCCCAAATAGAGCCACATTCTGAAGTTCCAGGGATTAGGTCTTCAACATACTTTTAAAAATATATATATATATTTTATTGATTTTTTACAGAGAGGAAGGGAGAGGAATAGAGAGTCAGAAACATCTATGAGAGAGAAACACGGATCAGCTGCCTCCTGCACACTCCCTACTGAGTATGTGCCCACAACCAAGGTACATGCCCTGGACCGGAATTGAACCTGGAACCTTTCAGTGTGCAGGCCGATGCTCTGTCTTCTGAGCCAAATCAGTCAGGGCTCAACATACCTTTTGAGGGACACAATTCAACCAGAACATCTACTAGTTTCCAAAATTTTTATCAGTCTTCTTCCTACTCCTGTGGACTCTTCTGAAGACCTACCAGGGTAATAAGTGTACAGACCACAGCTCTAGCTATAGTTTGGGTCCAATTATGCCTATCTCCCTGTAGTTAGATGCTGTAAATGCGTATGTCAAACCTATCTGGTAAGAACTGTTATTTTATCATTTAATTTAATTTACAGATAAGGAAAAAGAGGTCTTGCAAGTGTCAGCAGCTTGACCAATGTCATGCAACTACTTGAACTGGTAGAGCTCTACTTGTGGCGAAGCTGTTAACATTCAAGTGTCCTGTCTTTTACAGAGCTGACTGGCTCTAAGCACTTGATATATTTACCTACTTTCTTTGCCCCTTTTCCACCTGATTTTTAGAAAATGTCATTTATAAAGTGAACTTTTATGAAATGCTCAAATCGATGATGGTGGCATTTACAATATTCCATGTCCTTATCAGGATGGTTCTCTGAGACCTAGTTCTCTAAAAGTCTCTAATCCTTGCAAATTGGCATCCATGTGTCCATCTCGGTTTACTTTGTAGGATGCTGTGAACTACAGGAAAGTGGCCTACATGCCGCCCATGAGTGACATAGGCCCCCACCTAAGACACGTCCAGTTCACGTTTTCCATCAGTAACCAACATGGCGGGGCTTTGCATGGGATCTGCTTTAACATCACTCTTCTCCCAGTGGACAACCAAGTTCCGGAGGTATGTGCACTGTGTGCTGTGAAGGACGATGATGAGGGAGGGCCTAAGGAAAGCCTTTAAGAGTTATCAGAAATGCTAACTCCCCTTCAGGCATTTTTAAAATAACTATTTCATGTTCCAGTGACAGTGTAGGAAAAAGCATGGGGAAGGGAGCCCTTTACCTCCCACGGGACTTTTTGTCTAAAAGGTGCGATTTTTCCAGTTGCTGGATTTGGCATTATTTTCAAAGCTTTATCAAAATCTCTTTCATTTGCTTCTCTTTCTGCTGAATTTCACGTGTTGATCAGGGGAAGGGGATTAAATTATGGGTCTCTTAGCAACCAGAAGGGCTTATTTGCTCTCACCGCAGGCCAGCTATGCTACTCTGTAATCTACAGAAGCTTTTAATTTTCCAAAATGAATTAAGATGGGCCCTTCCATTCTATTCAGTCTACTCCCCAACCTTTACGCAGCTCTAAAGCACTGGGGTCTCCTATGGAAACTGACTGTAAAGGCAATGCCACTTAGTGTGTCTTATCTGAGATGCTGGGGTTCATACTGAGTTTGTTCCATACCTCGCCTCCTCCCCATCAGAGTGCTGGGCTTAATTAGTGTTGCTATTCCTGGGCTCATTTTCCCTCTAAGAAGCTGAAAGACAAAGTAGGATTGCCCATTCATTAGGAACTCGAGGAGACTAGAATCTACACATGTTTCATTCCTGAAGGTTCCTTCACAGGTAGCTACCTGGAAGATAGCCAGGAAAGCACTGATGTTCCCTTTCTTGCTCCCTTCTCACCATCTCTTACACCGGCCCACAATTGTGGTGCAGATGGTTCACCTTGAGGGACTAAGGGGCTTACCTAACCCACAGAACTTGGGTAAAAAACAGTATTTTTGAAAAATGAATTGCCAACACTTAATCATCAGGAGGTTTCTTATCAAGTCTTGATTTCTGGATTCCATTGAAAATTTGGAAGCTCTGGCAACACTGAACTTCATGTCTCATAGCAACGGGGGGGGGGGAAGGCGTGTTCTCCAGCCCCCAAAGTCCCACTCAACTCATCACAGCCATTTAAATTGCCAGCGTGATCTTGTAATTTTTCATAGAAGATGCATCAAGGAACCCAGACAAAATAATCTAAACTCTATTCTGTGACTCTTTCTCTGTCAGAAACCAGATCATATTCCTGTGGAGAAAATAGTTTAGAAAAAACAGTTAATTTGATTAGATTTTTATCCACACCATCCTCTTTTTTATGAGATAGATGCCTGAAATAGTCTGACATCTAAAGAAGGTACAACTGTTCTTGAACTATTATGGGGAAGCACTCATTTATGCAAAAGTATCTTTTATGCAAAAGTATCTTTCCCAGAAAAAGATGATCTGTGGGGAAAGCCAAGAAGGCAGTGAGCAGGTACCTACTTCATTTGAAGGCTAATTGAATAGTTATGAGGACTTAGAGCTAACATGGCATGGTGGCTTCTTTTTTCTACAGTCTACAGGACAAATGACATAGTATCCATGAGACCTGAGAATAGTAGAAATAAAGAGTTAGTTTCAGTGAAATCAGTCACAGGATTAGTTTCCTGATTTCAAATATCCACATTGCACTTGGCTGAATGATAACCACGAGGGATCTTGACACCATGCTAACCTGAAGCCCCAGAGCCAAAGCAATGATAATGAGTGGGGGGCAAATTAGCCTTGTGTTTTCATGTTTTGAAAGTTGTTCTATATATGTATGATACTAAAAAATCATCTCTAACAAAGTGTATTCCTTGGGATATTGTGCAATGTAATGCAGGAAATAATGTTTCAAAGATAATACTCCTTTCACAACAATACTCCTTTTATTTCTTTCTCCTACAAACAGTGGAAATGTAGGCAGAATGAGAGTAAGGCCTCTGAGGTGGGATGGGAGTGAAGGTGGTTGTAGGGAGAGAAAGCTTTTGCTTTTATGTTTTCTTTTTCTGGTGGAAATAGTTTATTAAAGAACAGAAGGCAGTTGTCTCATGGTTTCTATGGCCCAAAGGGTTGTCCTTGGGACATCCATGGATGCCCCTAGCAGCTGTGCCTGGTGGGCAGGAGGGTAGAGCAGGGCTCTGAATGGAGCTGTGCCTTCTCCTTGCTGACTTCCCTGTCCTCACCTGTTCCTTTAACAATCCTTCCCTGGGATCGGTCTTCTTTCTGGCAGCAGCCATTCTCTGAGGAGAGTGGAGAAAATAGTTTAGAAAAAACAGTTAATTTAATTAGATTTTTATCCACACCATCCTCTTTTTTATGGAGAACGCTGTGTTCTCAGAGGGCAGGGCATCCACCCGGGTCATCTGTGAGGGCTCTCCGAGCCCAACTGGATCTGCTTGCTTTGCTTCTGGGTAGTAATACAAACTTGAGAAAATGCCAGGTTAGACACACTTAATCTTTTCTTACTGTAGGATCTCATAGCATTGACTGTATTCTATGCCTTATAAATCTCCAAGGTGAAGACATTGTAGGTAACATTTTTCTAAACTTTCTTGACCATGGAACATTCCCTTCTAACTTTTTATTTTATTTACAAATGAATTATTAGTCAGTTGAGCAGTGGGTTTTTTTTATTATAAAAATATCTCTATGGCTTCAATATTTAAGTAAATATTTGGATAAATCTATTTCCTATGGAATCTTAAAATTCTGACCCATTTCCATCTTTAAGATACTCATTATAACTGATATTTAAAAACTCCAATTTCCAAATTCTTTAAGTTTTTTTTAGGTTGGAAAAAAGAGATGAATTATTTCTAAGAAGAATTTGATAAAGCTTTTGATTATTTTGTAGATTAAAGTGTATATATAGAGCAATGGTAAGTGTGGACATGATTATAAATATTATTTTCTCACTTTAGCTCCACTGATAGTAACCAATGTGTGGCCTTTATTCTATAGGGTCTGGGATAAATGAAATATAGATCATTTGAGGTTCACAGACCTGCCTTCTGCCTTGACTCTTCATATCCATCCATGCTTAGAATCAGAAACAGTTAGTAAATAACATTTTTCAGGTGAGATGTTCAGCTATGAGCTCAACCCCTTTACAACATTCTTAAAAAATTACTTACCAGGTGAATATAGTACTGGAACTTCTTTATTGATTTAACAAGCTTTCTCTTCAGGGATACTGCATGGACCAAAGCTTTCAATGTGGCTTTCCTTATTTCTAGGTACTCACCAATCCCCTGAGAGTGGCTGAGGGCAGTCACTGCGTTATCAGCACGAAGCACATCCTGGTTTCGGATGCGGACACCATACTGGACAGTATCTACCTCTCCCCGCAGAGACTGCCTCAGCACGGAAGGGTGGAGCTGGATGGATTTCCTCTGAGCACAGGGTGCACATTTTCTTGGGGAGAACTCCATGCCTTAAAAGTTAGGTTAGAACATTTCCTGGCTTTTTTCTTTTGCACACTTTGGTTCCCATCTGGATCAGTGGTGAGGCAGAGGAAAAGAAAGAAGTTTGTCCAATTCATTCAGAAGTGCTTTCATGCATAATACTTTCAAGGGACACTTGAAAATGAGAAATGACAAAGTTTTAACTTTTCTCCAGACATTTTCTTTCCCTCTGGCCTGCTGAACTAATGGGAATGATTTTATGGATACTTAAACAGCAAAACTTCATGACCATGAATATTTAATTTGCTGAAACTGCACATGTTGCAAGAGGTAACAGGTAAACTAGATGAATATAGAGTGAAATCATCGGTAAGGTGAATCTACGTGATTGAACTTGGCTTTAAGAAAAGCCAGTTTCATAACCCTGGGAACTCTGGGATAGAATTCTGTTGGTCAATGTCTTCAGTGTAAATTTTATTATATTCTACTGGGAAGGGGATTTGTAGGCAAACAAATAGGGTAGGCTGGGTAGGTATGGCATGGAGTAGGCCTTGTCTGATAGTCACAGATAGGGCATCTCCTACCTCATGGTCCTACAGTAGTTCCCCTTACCTTGAACTTAGTCTTTCATGGTTCTGTAATAAACTTTTTACAAAATCTAGTAAAAAGAAACAAACCCTCTTTGTAAAAACAATGCAGACTTTCAAAAGCAATGTACTAGTTAATTTCTCATAAGTTTAAGTTATACATAGGAATTTTGGCCTTTTTGGTAGAGTATAGTAGAAAGTGTTAAGCATCAAATGCTTAGTTCCACACTTGAATATTGATTAGGAAGTAGGATTTGTACACAAGAAGATCAATTTAATTTATTTACATTGTTCAGTCTTTATCTCTTTACACTACTCTTATTCTCATTAAGGTTTTGTTTTTTTTTATCTCGGCTCTTAGCTTTACGTTAGAGAGCTGTATAAGTAATTCTTAATAGGGTGTGAATGATGGATAGAAAAAGAAAAGTATCAATATTTGTCAGCATATGTAGTTCAAGTGTTCTTCTAGAGACTTGCAATTATGTTTTTTTAAATTTATTTAATATTTACATCCGTCAAACCTCACAAGGTAGATGATTTTATTCTCATATTATAGTTGAACCTAAAGGTACAAAGAGATTGAGGTCACTTAGCTAGTATATGGAGGACTCTAGTGCCCCCCTCCCCCCCCTATTGTTGAAAGTATGTAGGAGTCTTGTTTTAAAAGAAGTTCTGTTTGACTTCATAGACATGCCTTTGGATATGTACTCTTAGACCTACTTGGCCCTTTGAGAAGTTTTAGCATGGTGAGATATCTTTATCTCATATCAACCTATTTTTGATGAAAACATCAGGGAGCATGACAAAATAAAGGAGGCAGCTTATGGAAGGGATACTAGTGCTGGGAGGAGGACCTTCTCTACCACTGGAATAGAATCCCAAACCTGAGTCTCTAGCCAGAGTATGGGGGAGACTAGTCCTGAATAAAATACCTTTTAGCTTTAGAATTTTTCATGTGTGTGTGTGTGTGTGTGTGTGTGTGTGTGTGTGTGTATATATATATATATATATATATATAGATATAAAAAACATGGAAAATATATTCAATACATATATTCAATATACTAGACTATTTTTATGCAATCTTTCTTTTCTCTTTTGTTTTTTTAAGCAACTTTATTGAGATATAATTTACATGCCATATGTACACAATTCACTCATTTAAAATATACAATTCAGTGGCTTTTGTATAATCATAGATTTGGGCAACTCTCACCATTATCAATTTTGAAATGCTTTAATTACCTCAAAAACAAATTCTGTACCCTTTTTTAAAAAAAAATATATTTTATTGATTTTTTACAGAGAGGAAGGGAGAGAGATAGAGAGCTAGAAACGTCGATGAGAGAGAAACATCAACCAGCTGCCTCTTGCACACCCCCTACTGGGAATGTGCCCGCAACCAAGGTACATGCCCCTGACTGGAATTGAACCTGGGACCTTTCAGTCCGCAGACCGACGTTCTACCACTGAGCCAAACCGGTTTTGGCAAATTCTGTACCCTTTATCTGCCACCACCACCCCCATCCTTTTTCTCTTCCCAGCCCTAGACAACCACTAATCTATTTTCTATATCTGCAGATTTACCCATTCTGGGCATTTCATATAAATGGTGTCATACAATGTGTAGTACCTTGTGACTGGCTTGTAATAGGACTTCTAATTTAATTTCCTAGGTCTTATTTTCTTTCCTACATATCTTTGACAGATTATTGATAAGCTAGAAATTTGGCTCAATCCAACAGCTGTTTAGAACTTACTATATGTATATCACTATAGTGGTCTGCAGAGTAAATGGAAAGTCTAGGATTAGACAAGATCTTTAAGACATTTGACTAAGAATTAAAGAGAAATGAGGCCAAGACTAGACCAAGAAAAAATATTTTTAAGTCTCAATTTTTTATAGCTTGAGAGGCAGGGCGCTAACAAATAGAAAAGGGAAAATGGCAGGAGAGAAGCAATAACTAATTCATAGATCAAAGGTTTAGAGAAGAGCTGAATAGATCCAGAGCACAGGCATAAGGATAAGCCTTAAAAGTGAGGGAGGAGGGAAAATCATGAAAATCCAGTGTCCTGCTTTTACCGGCCTACTGCTCAGTCTCAGCATCCACCAACCAGTATTTTCTGTAAGTAGCCAGAGCTGCACCAACTGATTCCCATTGTGGCAAGCTGAAGGACTGCTTTTTAATTTGGGAAGAAATTACTATGCATATAGCACATTTTTTCCAGGGTGGAACAATTTTACATTCATGGGTCCATGAGTGATTAAATCTGTGACTTCATGATTATATCGCCATCTTCCAAGGTCATCCGCTGCATTTTTGATACTTATTTATTAAGCATATGGCCAAAGCTATGCAAGAACTCTTGTGCCAGGCAGCTCACTGTGCTCTCCTAGTGGCCTTGAGAGGTCAGTGACCACTGTCATCCCCACAGGTATCAGCACGATGGATCTGAAACACTTCAGGATGACATACTCTTGGAGGTCACAGACGGCACCAATTCAGTAGAATTTGTTCTGCACATCGAGGTGGGTAGAACATTTCCTTCTTGGTTCACATAGAAATAGAGTATCTAGTTTGGAAGCCTGCTTAGAGTCCCTATAGAATTTAAAATAGAGACTCCAAAGAAGAGAATGCCTGCTTTCATCTGTGAATGTCTCAGGACAGGCAGCAGAAGGCAAAGTTATACTGGTGAAATGGGCACAATGTTTCTCTCTCCAATTCATTTAAACATAGAATTGCTCTGACCTCAAACCCATTTACTTAACTTTAAAAGTAATTGCTTTTATATATAAATTATTTCTAATATTGTTGAGCTGTAACTCTCAAGCTGCGGCTGGGCAGATTAGACTAGTATCACTAGGATTTCGTTGTAGTGGGGAGGAAGCTGTGTCTGTTTACTAGTATGTGCGGTGCCCTGTGTGAATTTGCCTGTGGTGTGTTGGAAAGGCTTCTTTTCCACCTGTTGACAAATGAAGAAAAATCTGCACATAAAGGTTGAGTACATGCCCAAAGGCCTGATGGGAACCCCAAGTTTCACTGTTGCATGACCACCCAAGTCCATAAGCATAACTCATAGGATTTGCAGGTATTTATAGTTAGTGACAAAGGAAGGTTTTGAAATAGACCTTCTCTATTCCAGTAGACTCATCATGCTCCTGAAAGAGTCACTGATTATCCTTACTATGCTATATCCTACTTCCCTTGGAATTTTGTCAGATCTTTGTGATATGAAATTATTTGTGATAATAATAATGTGTTTGTACAATGTTTTACAGTTGATAATTAAGAATGATCACATCTATCTAGTGTGTTAAGAAGTATACAGAGAAGGCATTATCCCCATTTTATGGTGAAGGAATGTAGGTCCAAGAAGGTTCAGTGACTTGCCCAAAGTCATTATCTTGACTGTGTAGATTTGGGCTGCCATTGGCTGGTACTTGGGCCAGTGCTCCTTCCTCCTCACCACTGCCTCAATTGTAACTTACCAGGTGATTTTAATTTTCATGTTGCTAACTTTTCCTGAGTACTTCTCCATGCCAGTCTCCATGCAGAGTCCTCCTTGCATTTTCCCACTTAATCCCCCTAAGGGCCATGGGATCTTGATGAAGAGCAGCGTGTTATTTCAGCTTCAATAAGAAAAGTTAGTTCTTACTGGCAGACTTTTATATATAGAAAACTTTTCTGAGTTTTTTCCCTCTGAAAAGCAAATTTTAGGGAAAAATAATCCAACCTAACCTATTTCAATTGATGACCATCTTCTTATTGATAGCAGTAAGCAGTACATTTGGGGAAAGACAATGTGTTTCTTTTTAGACAAAAGGGCATGACCTTTGAAAGCCAATCAAAGGCACAAGCAATTTTTGGCATATGATTGTTTTCTATCTAGGACTGTGATTGGCAAACCGGCTCGCGAGCCACATGTGGCTCTTTGGCCCCTTGAGTGTGACTCTTCCACAAAATACCACGGCCTGGGCGAGTCTATTTTGAAGAAGTGGCATTAGAAGAAGTTTAAGTTAAAAAAATTTGGCTCTCAAAAGAAATTTCAGTTGTTGTATTGTTGATATTTGGCTCTGTTGACTAATGAGTTTGCCAACCACTGACCTAGGAAGAATGTTTTGATTCTGTTGCCTTTGGACTTTATTATTCATTTGAAGCAGAGGCTATTTTGTGAACTGCAAGATGGTCATCATAAATATATTAATGAGATTCATTGATCAAGTCAAGAAAAATAATAAAGAGGGTCTTTATTGAATTCACTCAGAGGATTTGAACAAAGATATTGTTTCCTAATAAGCCAATAGAAAATAGAATATTGTATACACGTTTTTACCTGTGATTAAATAAATGAGGCTAGGTTTCTATCACCCCAACTCTCTATCTCATTAAAGGAGAGTGTCAACACAGTTTCATGTATACTTCTGGTAGAGTTGAACAGTTGTTTATTATAAATAACAGGATAACTGGTGCATATATACATGGTTACATTAATTTATTCCATAAATATTTAATTAGTGTCTTCTCTTTGCCAGGTCCTATGCTAGATGCTTGGGATATGATGATGAACAAGAAATTCACATGTAATCTGGGGGAGGAGGTAGCCAAGCAGAGAGCTGGGGGCAGAGCATAGCAAGCCAAGGGGCAGAGAGCAGATGCAGAGATGATGCAAAGACCTGATTTGTGAGGAAGGCAGTGTTTTGGGGTGAAATGGATTGGGGTGGCAAAGGAACCCTATAGCATGAGATGAGGTCAAAGAGCCCTAGAAGCAGCGCTGGGAAGCCATTGAAGGTTCTCACAGGGCAGAGACTTGATGGGAACCAGATTGTAAAGATCCCATTGACTGAAGCAGGGGGGAAGGAAATGCAGGGGCGAGAATACTCACAGGGCCAGACTTGATACATAAACACACAGCATACACCAACTTGCCCTTGTGAACTCAGAGGAGGAACGCCCTTCATTCCCATTTAGAAGACATGCTTTTTCAAATTTCCCCATCATCTTTTTAAAACCTGAGAGCCAGCATGAGCTCACATGGCTTTTCTTTCCCTTCTGCATGGAATTTCATTTTCATGGCTGTAAGAGAAAAATGTCTTGTCAAGCTGAAACCTGGCATTGATTTGATGGTTATGGAGTTTCAGATTTAACTGAAAATGTTTGACATGCAGCTGCTGCTTATTGTAAGTCCAGAGAAACTTCCTGGGTGGCAGGAAGTTGAGGGTAGAAGAAAGGTTTGTAATCATCAAGTAATTTGAAGTATAAATAACTTTGATGTGGGAGATGTAAATGCATCGGACCGCAAGGACCAGACTTGCTCTAGAATATGTGTGAGTTTAATGAAGGAGGACAGGGGCTGTGGGGAAGGATGCTTTCTGTCACATTTATATTTTGTCTGCCTGGAAACAAATGGGATATTTGAGTCCCAAACCATAACTGTGCTCTCCCATTCTTACCTAGAATGTCTCTCAGGTGGGTCGTTTCTCACAAGATGGTTCATATGGGGAAAGTTAAAAGATACAAACTGCTTGGCCTGGTTCCATGGCTATTGTTTCATGTGCCTGGAAGATTGAAAATGCCTGTCATTCCAACTATGAGCTATGGGTTGCCAGTTGGGCCATTTGTCATTGCTTTCTTTTTTCTTGAAAACATGCATTTTTTCCCCCCTACTTAGGTGCTTCCCGTCAATGATGAGCCACCGATCCTGAAGCCTGACCTCAACCCTCAGATGCATTGCTCAGAGGGCGATGAGGTGGTCATCACCTCTGAACACATTTTTGCTACTGATGCAGACAGTGATGACTTGAAACTGATGTTTGTGATTTCTCGAGGACCTCAGCATGGGGTGGTGAGGAAAGGTGGAGTCACGGTGGATCACTTCTCTCAGGGAGATGTTATCTCAGGGGCCGTGACCTACAAACATACGGGTGAGTGACAGTGCTGTGACTAGTTGGAGAGAAGGAATGTCAGTAACATGACAGTCTTAACCCCACTCCTTACTATGGGCTCCAGTGATCTGACAGTCTTACTGCATCCATGACAAGGAAGCAGCAGCACCCTGTATCCCATTGTTCAGTAGGCTCAGCATCCTTAGAAATATTTCTGATCTCAGGAATAGAACGCATTTCGGAGTAGAAAAAGAGCAAGTGTTATTGTTGCTCTGTTCATGATGCTCACACATAGACCATCCGTTCATACTGGGATCATCCTCATCCTCTTTTGGACAGTGTCCTTCTTGGACTATCACAGTTTCTGGGTTCATAAATTATAACATCATAACAGAAATGTTATTAATTTTCCAAGTTTTACTGACGGCCATCTAGCTGCTAAGAAGTAACTGACCCACCTTTTGAGTTTCTGAGGAGCGAAGATGAAGTCTTAGGCTTTGTGTAACTTGTCCACAACAGTGATGGACACAGATGAGTGATGCAGCAAACACGTACTGATCAGCATCATGCTTAAGTTTCTGGCATCACACTACATCATTACTCAGGTGACATGTGTTCTCAGGTAAAATATTCAAATAAGTGTAATAGTAAATCACCTTCTAATATCTGCAAGGTACAGTACTGGGCACTGTGGGCTACAAAAGAGTATAATCCAGACCCCCTTGTGAAGAACTTTTCCTTTAAATGAGCAGACAAACCCACTCCCATGCGGAAGTGGCAGTGTGATGCATCTGTACTTCATCACCCCTTGCACATCTTCAGAATTCCGGATTGTGGGCAATTCCTCAGCAATGACATTGTATGCTTCCTCTGACATCCTTCCATTGCCTCAATTACCATTTCATGTTTATCACCTATATGCCTCTCTTGCCTGTACATTCCATCTGGAGGAGTACATTTGGCTATGTAGGCCAAATGACTGGTAGTGGAAATAAAAGGAATCAGAATTCAAGTATTTTCTTATTTGAAGAGCTATAGAGAGAGAATGCAAGCAGTGAAGGGGTAGGGAACTCAAGGAAGGAGGATTGAGATAGCTAAGAATTAATTTGGAAATGGGAGAAAACATTTGGAAATAATATTTTTGTGTGTATTTTGGAAAGCAATGACTTAGTAGGATACCAAAGTCTCGTGTTAATTAGTATGGCACATTTTATTTACTCCCAGACAATTTTTTTTCTTTAAATGATATCTCCTTATATTTTCACCTGCGATTAGTCTTAGATAAGGTTTATTTAGTTATTTCCTTTTCTCAGGGAGCATCGTCCAGATGATTGATGTTTTTCAGTGTCTCTCCAAAGTTCATAACTAGGTATTTCTCTTTGATTTCCCCAGTCATTCTCAAATAGACTGGTGGAGAGGGACCCAAAGACCAGTGATTGCCATTTACAACATAATGTTAACATCTTTGGCAGGCTCATGCAGCATGGATGAATTAGGGTGAGATGAATGTGTCTTCTCTTCCAATGCCCTGTTCCAGGTGCTGAGCAACAGGGATATATGCCTATAAATCTCTTCTAGTGTGATAGCCATGTAAGGGAGTGTAACTAATTTTTTTCATAAAACCAGGTAGGACAATGGGGCAAATTATTTTGAATGAATCTTTTTGCTATGTTAAGTTAGCAGAAATAATATATTCAAAAGGTTTTTTCTTTTTTATTGTTATGTTTTCTTATAACAAAACCTTCATTCAGTTGCTCAATTGGTAATTATTTGGCATCTTGCTAAGATCTGAATTAAAAAAACTACAGTATTGTAAGATCTAGTTTCAGTGGCCTACGTCTTATCTACATACAGTGATTATAAAGATTACCTGAGAATGATTTTGTCACCATTATTTTATTTGCTTTCTATGACTATGAAAATAATACATTCTTACTGCAGAAAACCTGGAAAGAATGGAAAAGTATCATGAAGTTTTGGGAAAACTGATCTATCACCTTATTTATCTATCAAAGTTGAGCATTTCAGTATTACAGTATTTTATTTTCTAATCATAATTTTAACATAGTTGTAATTGCATTGTATGTCCAGTTTTATAGATTACCTTTTTCATTTAAATCATCTCTAACATGTTTAAAATATGTATTAAGTATTATAAAGTTACTATAAACATAAGCTTAATAAATGAATACTATCAATATTTTATGATATAAAATACATTATTAATTTGCTATTCTCCCATTAGTAAACATGAAGACATTCAAAACTGTTCTCTTACATGCCACTATGATTAAGAGTTTTAAGTATAAATCATGCCCTTAAATTATATTTTATTTCAAGGTAAAGAATTCCTCCACTTGTGTTGTAGTTCTGGCTTAATACTCAGGCTACTTTTTCAGCTCTTCCTGCCAATGTTTCCCATGCTTCCATTATATTGAAATTACAGTTACTGCATGTACTATCTTTGACTTTCTTTGGCATGAGTGCCCTTCTCCCAGCCAGTCCTCTCATCTTCTTCACCCTTGGTGCTTTGTACAGAGTCAGACTGAGATATATGTGTTTTCCACACAATAGGTAAAAATTGGCTCAATAGTGGCAATTTCATATCATTCCACTTAATAGAAACACATATCTGTGGTATTTTAAATAAATTTGCATCTCGTTTTCTATAGACAGTGTCAGTGCCTGACACACAGTAGATCTTCTGACATTTGACATACTTTGAAATGCCTTTTGACATTTTCAAAATGTCTTCATTTCTCTACTGAAGCACTGAGAACACTAATTGTCACATAGTAGGCATTAAATATTCAATATGTACTTATTGAGTGAATGATTAGTAGTAAATATGGCTTTTAAGTATATTAAAGGATGATAGGCCTCTTGTTTTTTACCTTTCCTAAGTTTGGAGGCTGGTTGTTTGATTCTATTTTTTCAAATCTGTTGATATGTTTTTAGAGAGAAAGAAAAGGAAAAGGAGGGAGGGAGAGAGAAGCATCAATTTGTTATTCCATGTATTTCTGTATTCATTGGTTAATTCCTGACTGGGGATCCAACCAACAACCTCAGCATATTGGGAGGACACTCTATGGACCTTCCCAGCCAGAGCTGGTTGTTTAATTCTAACTTCCTCAACTTCACCTCTGTTTTTCCTTAAAACCGTTTTTCCTGTCCTTTGATCATTTACTTGCTCAATAATATAATCTCTCCATTTTTCTAGTGTGTGTGTGTGTGTGTGTGTTTTAATAGTGAGAATAATGCCAAGCATAATATTCTGTAAATGTGACCAATGTGCCTTGTGAAACAATACCATCCCTGATCTTTTGTACTCTAGTCTCATTAAAACTTCAAACTTAATTGCTTCCCTTTTGGCACTTTCAAAGCGATGCATGAGGATTACCAAAAGCACATCTGGCGAACGTTTCTGTCCCCTGGATGCTGAACACTACTACTTCAGAGCTGTTAGTAACCCAAGAGTGGATTGTCCTGTTCGCTGATAAATCACCTAATCTTCTCTCTTCCCCTCACTGCCTAGATTGGAGGCATTTTGAAACTCATAGGTGTGAGCCCCAAAGAGTTTAAAAAAAAAAAAAAAAAAAAGAAAAGAAAAGAAAAGAAATCTCATTTCTTTTCCTGGTGTTGTTTTTATTTTATTAACATCGTGGCTATTTTGTAATGAGGAAAATAACAAAACAAATGACAAGAAATGACAAGAATGTGGATTATCTTTGTGTTTCACCTATCCATGTTCTTCTATTTCTTGGAACTACTATGTGGTAGATGGTTGTTCATTTAAGGTGGTTAATGCAAATGGGCAGACAATTACCACAGGGACAAGGGTGCCTTCTGCTCTTCCTGATGTGGTCGAAACAATTATGAGGGAAGAATGAAACCATCACTAGTCTAGTTTTGTGTCTGTTCCTTGATCATTTGTGAACTGTCAGGCCCTCATTAGCCCCTTTTGCCCCTCCATATGGTGATAGATGTCTGGCAGGGATCTCACCAAAGGCAACAGATGGGCAAGCATTTTTGCATTATTTTCACGACTCTATTTAATTTCATAGTGATAAAGTGGAGTTTTGCATTTTAGCCACATACTTTTTTTTTTCCTTCTTTTTTTGTCTTAACACTCTGTGCTCGTGGAAGGGGTTTGAGGAGAACACCTTGGTCTTCTATATGTTTAAAAAGTCAGGTTTCAGCTACAGTTGTGTCTTCCAGGTGGTGAGGTTGGCCTGGTGCCTTGTTATGACACCATTATGTTAGTGGTTTCGGATGAAGAAGCAGGCCCTTTTGTGAATGGCTGTTGCTACAATGGACCTCACCCATCTGTTCCTCTTCATGCGTCCTTTCCGGTGTATGATCTCAACATCACAGTGCATCCAGTGGACAACCAACCACCTTCACTTGCAATAGGTGACAGTGATTTCCTGTTAAAGTTCTATTATCTCACCGAGTCCCATGCCCATGGTTCAATGGAATAATGCACTTACAGTCAAAATAGAAAACCACCATACAGAATTACCTTAATACAAATTTGTGGAAAATCCCAAATCTGTAAAAGATTAAGGGGCAAAAATAATTTACGTATTTAAAAATTTAAGTAATTCTGTATGGAGAGAGCATGCAAGTGTATGTGTGTGTGTGTGTGTGTGTGTGTGTGTGTTGGGATGAGGACAACGTTGGAATCCTCAATTCTGGTTTTATTTCACATGGGAAAATACTATTTGCCTTCTGGAGAGAGAGAGAGAGAGAGAGAGAGAGAGAGAGAGAGAGAGAGAGAGAGAGAGGGAGAGAGAAATTTATTTTACCCATAATAATTTCTATCAGAACAGAATGAGTATACCAGAGAGACCATTTATATACATTTAACCTTATTTGTTTTTTAGAAAGTCATCTCTTCATAAGCATTATGTATATGTTCTGTCTCTCAGAAAAAAAATACAAACATATGTATGAATGTTATTGTAATTTGCAAACTATCTCCCAAGCAATGTTCTGGAAAGAAAGCATTGTCCCTGCAGAATAATTAAGCACCAGGCATGAAAAAGAAAAAACGTTGGTTATGAGCAATTCATAATGGCTTGCAGGCAATTAAGGCTCTGACAAACAGAGGTAACAACTGATCTTGAAGAGTACATAAACCACATTTAGTGCCTTATCATTAAAACAGTTTGGCAATCCTTATTTTCATTTGTCACTTCTATAGAGACACAAGGGAAATCAGAGTTCCTTGAGAATGACTGAAGGGCTGAACTGGAGCATTTAGCATTTCTGCTGTCTTTCCATTATTGTCTGGCTTGCTTGTGCAAGGAAAAAAATATAATTCCATAAGTCAAATTAAATTCCACCCATTACCCCTGAATATTTTCACCGTAAGGAGAATTATGCTGAAGGGAATGAACATCTCCCATGGAAGTACATGGGCATGTGGGAGGCTTCTCTGAATTGGAATTTCAATCACCTCCTTTGTCCTCACTGTTCTGATGGGAGGATTGAACGCTAAGTCCTAATTGTGCTATTATTTTCATGCAGGTACCATGTTCGTGGTAGATGAGGGTTTCTCAGCAGCCCTCACCATTAGCCATTTGTTGGCCACTGACCCTGACACGGCAGCAGATGATTTGGAATTTGTTTTGACTTCTCCTCCCCAGTTTGGCTACCTTGAAAACACTCTCCCTTCGGTGGGTTTTGAAAAAAGCAATATGGGCATAAGTATAGGTAAGTCAGTTTCATGACCAGCAGTAACTCGCCTATGTTTATGGGTCTTACTGGCCATCCTAAGCTCAATAACTGGGTAAGGACTTCAAAAATGTTCAAAGCACCATATGCATTTAAGGAATTGTTACAGTTGGTACTTTTGAATACTAGTATTTTTTCATTTTAACTTTGAGATTTCCCATGCATGCAAATTTACTTCAAAATAAATGGAAATGTCACTTATGAAAATGAATCATTTCTGGGGGCCTAAGGTACAGCATGGACACTGTGGTTAACAATAGCGTGTTGTATATTTGAAAGTCACTTTGAGAGTCTGCTTTACTGTTTTCACTGCCATGACCACAAAATTATGTGAGATGATTGATGTATTAACTAACCTCATGGTGGCCAACATTTTGTGATATCCTCACCTTAAACTTACACAACGTTATATGGGGGAGAGTAGATTAACTGCATTAAAGTCTATACAATTTTCCTTTGACTTAATGCACAACATAGAGCATTTTTCTCTGATTTGAGACAGTGTCAAAATACCAACACAGCAGGTCAGCTAATTCTACTCAGTTCAATCAGTTGCTTGATATGGATGTCAAGTTTGCAGATGATTGATTGAGTCTTATTTTGCTTTTATTTGGAAGAGATGGTTCCTTTCTTTTTTTCTGAATACTTTCTTTTATTTGATATTTTTAAAAATTGCATTTGATTAAACTCTCTATCAGGAGAAAATCTACCTAATAAAAGAGTAACATGCTAATTGGCTGTACCTTTGAGATGTCCACCATCCAATCAGTAGTTAGTATACAAATTAACCCAACAAAGATGGAGGGGTAATTTGCATACACAGGTGCCCAGCGGCTGCAGAGGCAGGACACTTGCATAGTTGCCATGGTGATGACCAATGACACATGGGTTCCACACCATTCCAGCTGCTCCAGGCCTCTGGGCAGCATGGGAAGGCAGAAAGGTGGCTCTAGGCCTGAGTGGAAAGGCAGTTCTGACCATAGTGAAGGCAGTGCCAGCAGCCAGGGGAGGAAAGGCCCATTCTTGCATGAATCTTTGTGCATCAGGCCTCTAGTGAATATATAAATGAGAAACTGAGGCCCCAGGAGAGGAAAGGTAAGTCTATAAAGAGTAGATTGTCTCCAAGCCCACACTTTTAACTCAGCATGTGGCTTAGAAAACATTTGACTCCGTGTCTTTTTCATCTGACAGTGATGGTACAGGACTTCCTTAGTTTCTGGTAAAGGCAGAGAAATGGCCTCTTTCAAATGAAGCATGACAAGAACTGCTCATGCAGAAGTGGTTTTAATCAAGAGAAGATTTCCCTGACCTAAGTATATGAAGAATGGTCATGAAGTCCCTACTTATCCTGGCTAGCAGTTTTCAGTTATGGCTCTTCTGTTTTCCATGCAAATTTTACCCCTTCTGTAGGATTTATGGATATCCAGTTTTATGTTGACAGCTGATAGTCTTTGTAGCAGACCCTGAGAGCTGATTCTTGTTTGATTTGCTGAGATATAGTCTATTGGTTAAAGGGTTAAGGACTAGTAGCTTGGAAACAAGGATTTCCTATTGACCAGCTTACTCTCGGTGTGCTCCAGCTTCGTTTCAGTGGAAAGACATGAAGGCTTTGCATGTTAACTATGTGCAGTCCAGGCACCTGAGGGTGGAACCCACGGCCGACCAGTTCACGGTGTATGTCACAGATGGGAAGCACCGTTCCCTGGAAAAACCATTTTCTGTTATCATCCACCCCACCAATGATGAAGTTCCCGACTTTGTGGTGCAGAATATTACTGTAAGACCAGAATTTCCTGTTTCTCTTTTATCGTTTTCTGATTTTATTTTCACCTTGTCTGTTTACCAGGTTCCAGTGTACTTACTTAACACATCAAGTTGTTGAGGAGTGAGGGGTGGGAGTGACAAATGTCAGGCAATGCAATCACTTAAAATATTCTGATAATCATGATGCTAATGATAATAATTGCTAACATGTAGCTAATGCACAAATGCAATTACAATTGCATGTATATAGGATAAATACTTCCTAGGTTGTAGGTGCTATTCCAAACTCCTTGCATGTATTCATATTTAATCCTCACAATAGGTTTTTAGGGCGATGGTATTATTATTATTGCAATTTAGTAACTGAAAAAATGAGTCATAAAGAGGATAACTATGTGGTCTGAGATAACAGAGCTTGGAATCTGCACCCAGTAGTCTGTCCATACCACACCCTCTTCAACAACGTTCATTGCAAGGACTCTTGACTCATAGACTACAGGCATCTTATTACATATAGTTAGATATATTAAATAAAAAATAAAATTTGTTCCTAACAGTTTGGCTCAGTGGATAGAGCATCAGCCTGTGGACTCAAGGGTCCCAGGTTCGATTCCCGTCAAGGGCATGAACCTTGGTTGCAGGCATATACCCAGTAGAGAGTGTGTAGGAGGCAGCTGATTGATGTTTCTCATCGATGTTTCTAACTTTCTATCCCTCTCTGTAAAAAATCAATAAAATATATTTTAAAAATATAAAAAAATGAAATTTGAACCATTCTTATTATGCAGATTTTTTTCTTTCTGTTTTGTTGTTAATCTATATTTTCCCATTGATTTTTAGAGATAGTAGAAGGGAGGGAGAGAGACAGAGAGAGAGAAACATCAATGTGAGATAGACAAATTGATGGGTTGCTCCCTGCATGCACCCTGACCAGGGCCCGGGATTGAGCTTGCAACGAGGTACATGCCCTTGACTGGAATTGAACCCGGGACCCTTTAGTCTGCAGGCTGATGCTCTATCCACTGAGCCAAACCTTCCAGGGCTCTAGTTCTATAGTTTTAAAACTTTTTAAATAATAACATTTGTTGGTTGTATTTACAAATTCATATATATATATATATATATATATATCAAATGACCATAATTTGACCCTCAGATAATACCTGTTCTTTTAAGTAATAATAAAAAAATGTATGCTATTAAACAAGTTAGAATGTTGATAAACATATACAGTGAAATATTAAATTCTCCCTTTGCAAGAGCTCTTACCCATAGTAACTTCCCATCAGTTGAAATTTTAGTAATTTAATACCACCAAAAAATGTCTATGCACACCCCAGTATGTTTATATGCGATTTTTCTACATGTTTTTACTTACATATCAGGGACCTTATTATACTTATTACTCTCTACTTTAAAAAAATAACTGTATGTTGAAAAAATTTTTATATCAGCATAGAATTCTTTTTAAAGACTTTAATTTTTTTTACATATGTTGATTTAAGCAAATATGTAGCCAATTCTGATTAAATGGATGAGCTCAGACTTTGATCTATGTGAGGGAGAAACATCCATGGGCTGCCTCCAGTACACACCTAAACCCACAACCTAGGTACATGCCCCGACTGGGACTCAAATCCGCAACCTTTTGGTGTGCAGGATGACACTCACACCAGGTGAGCCAACTGGCCAGGGCTCTGCTGAATCTTAATGGCATGTGAGAGCCCCTCCCCAGGGAGATTTAAGTGCCAGCTTCTGCCTTTCTCCTCCCTCCTGTTGGAACATGGATTTCTCTGAAGCTCACTTTTGTAATTATGAGACTGAAAAAAAAACCTACAAATCATTTCTTCTACACCTACCTCTATTGTCTTGTAGGTATGTAGGGTTTAGGGTTGGGTTTTCTGAAACAATTAGGCCACTGGACAGTGTTCTGTGCTCTTCTCTGAAGGTAACCATGCCTTTCCCCCGAGCGAGCATTCCTTAGAGAAACCATTGAAGACCAACAGATGTGGAGCCCTCTTTGTTACTAGCAGAGCTGGCTTTAAGTGCCAGGTGATTTTTTTAAAAAGTCATTTATTTTGCTTTCTTGTAAAAAAAAAAAATTATTTTGTAAATACCTGGCTTCCATGAAGTTGTGTGCAACATGAAAAAAAGTGAGATTTTAGTTTAAGTTATTATAATACATTTCAAATCTACTAGTGAGTATCTGTATTTTGTGTATATTGATCTAAACCTTTTATTTAGAAACTCAATAAACAATTAAATGGGCACACACACAAAAAAGAAGTCCGTATTTTTTCAATAAAATGTCCCAGTCATCTTGTGAACTGATTTACCGTTTTTGCCACAGAGTGAGTCTGGGACTCCCAAGCTCTCTGAAGAAGGACCATTAGAACATATGATTAGATTGCTTTATTAAATTTCTTGGAGGAAAGAACAAGTTAGATCAAAGATGATTTCATAATTATATTTGTGTGCATTAAATTTTGATGCCATCTTCATCCTTAGTAAGTAGGGCCAGATTTTTTTACATGCATAATTTTAGCTCAAGTATCAGATATGGCAAGTAATTCTTCTTTATGCAAATTCTGTGAAAAGTGGTTGCAGGAAGACTGTCTTTGAAGTCATTAAGAGAGGTTGAAAAAAAGGACATTTTTCACAAATTTAAACCATGTACATATTAAGGCTAAAATGCCTACTCAGCCATAATGACATTCCTAATCTCTTCTTCCCTTTTGCACTTCTTGTCTCTCCCTATTTAATAGCCCTATAAATTTTCTTCTTTGCATTATAATTATTGATGGACAGGCCTTCACTGTTCCATCTAACATGGATTCTTTAGGATATTTATAGTCCCCACAAAATATAGCACAGTGACATGGTAGATTTCTGATCAGCCATGTTAAATTGATTCACCCTTTTTAATTAGACCTTGCTGCATTTCAAAATAGAAAAATATTTCTGTGTTTATTTTTACTGTAAGAGAAGAGCAAGACAGCTAAGTACAGCTAGTCAAAATCTAAATGACTAGCTCCTACATGAAATAAAAAAAAAAACATTCAGTTCGTGCTTAAAGGAGTAGGAAGTGTGATGTTGGTGTGAAAGTGGAGGAAGGCGGTTCAGGAAAAGTAGAGGGGTGCGGGTGGGGGAGAAGTGAAGGGTCTGGATTAAAATTAACACCATGATGCATCCAAAAGGACCCTTCTCAATTGTTGTTGGTTTTAATAAAAATACAGAAGTTTTTACTTTAATGATAAAAAACTTACACCACAAAAGATACCCCTCGTGTGTCCATCAGCTATTTGTGCCATGTCTAAAACGGAAACACTGAAATTATAAAAGGAAAGAGGCCCAGCAGGTTAAACTGACAGCTTAGGATCTGAAGGTAAAGGGTCTGTCTACACTCAGATTTACAAGTGAACTCTGTAACTTTTAGAAAGCAAGCATCTTTTGGTTGCCTTTCCCCCCCTAACTTTTGAATTATGAAATGTTATATGTACACAGACAGAGACACACACACAGAATCTTTTGTCCATCAGAGAAATGAATAAACTGCTTTGAAAAATGTGAGATTAATAGATTTGTAGTCATCTTCTTAGGCTATGGTAAACCAGAGATATTTAGGACTCATGATACACAAATCTCATGGACAGTTTGCAACAGGATATCTTAAAATTAAAGAAAGACCAGTTTAATGTGCACATAGCTGACTTTTCCGACTTGCCACTTAGGTGTGTGAAGGTCAGATGAAAGAGCTGGATTCTTCCGTCATCAGTGCCGCCGACCTGGATGTGCCGGAGGACCCCTTGCTGTTCAGCATCACTCACAGGCCCCGCCATGGCCTCCTCCTCCACGGGGTGTCCAACCCGGCCTTTCCTCAGCACCAGCAGCCAGCCGGCCCTGGCCAGAGGCACACACTTGTTTACAACTTTTCCATGGCGCTTCTCAAGAATGGTATATCGCATTCCACTTGGATTTGCTTGTTACCAACTTAATAATTTAACCCAGAAAAGACGAAAATTAATCAGGGAATAGGAAGTGAAAGAAGGGCATTTACCTACTTTATTCATTTATCTTCCAAGGGTTTCCTGTGGGCTCTGGATTAATGTAGGGCCTAATATCCAGCTGAAGATAGTGGGTAATAGAAAAGGAAATACTATGTTTTCTTTCACTTTTAGAGCATCAATAAAAATGATATATGTGATTTGGGGTATTTTAGTGCAAGCTTTTATGTCATAGTAAAAATTCCTTTTTAAAACTTGAAATCATTAAACTTGAAGAGATTTATCTGCCAAAAATTTCCACATTGGAACCATATATATATAACAATTCATTATTCTCTGAGGAGACAATTTCCTCTTTAAGGAAATGGTGCATTGGAATAGTAGCCTGAATTATATTTTTAATTACACATTTAAAAACATCAATCTGAACCCATTTTCTATATAAAAAAGTATTTTAAATCTTTGAGAAAAGTGTGTGATTCTAGGATCACTCATACTCTCTCTTTCCTGTCTTCACTATTCTGTTCCCCAGCCTGAGGGTCGTTCCCCTCCTTGGCCGAGCTGCCAACACTGTGCCTTCAGAACCAGCTGCCTCCTGGCCGAATCTTTGGACCCACCCAGGCCCTCCGAACTATCCCTTTTCTGTGCTCATGTTAGCCCTTGAACATTTCCTACTGTCTTTTCCTTTCTCTCTCCCCAGCTAGAGTGTAGGCTCCCTGCCCAAAGGCTAATTTTGCAATAGTTGTCCAATAACATCTCATGTTTGAATTTGAAAAGCGAATTCATATATTTCTCAGTTTTGATCCATTGCAAAGATAAATTCTGGAGCTTAAATTATGTTCCCAAATAAAAGCATGCGTAACAAATAATACAATGTATTGTTACAATATTTTTTTTTCTAAATTTACAACATAGGAAAAAGGAATAATAAATCAAATTTTACTCTTAAAAAAGTTTTTAGAAAATAACACTCATTGATTACTGTTAGGTTAAATAATTATATATGTATTGTTTAAAGTTTGCACTATATAATTATTTTAAATAAAAAAATAAAGGTTGTTCATATAAATTAATATTTTGGTGATATTCTCAGGGATTAGATTTTCACCTCTTTTTTATTTTTGGTTCATTTATGACTACTTTTTTTTTTTTTTAACTTTAGTGCAGTCTCACACACATTTCCTGACCCTAAACATATAGAACTTATAAAACTGCTCGCATTGCCCCAGCCAGTGTGACTCAGTTGGTTGTCAACCTATGCACCCAGAGGTCACCTGTTTGATTCCGAGTCAGGACACATGCCCAGTGGACTTGACCCCTGATAGGGGATGTGAAGAAGGCAGTTAGTTGATAGTTCTCTCTCTCAGTGATGTTTCTTTCCCTCTCCATCTCCCTTGCCTTCTCTCTCTCTCTCTCTCTAAAAAAAAAAAAAAAAAAAAAAAAAAAAAAAAAAAAATCAATTAAAAATTGTTAGCAGCCCTAAGCAGTTTGGCTCAGTGGATAGAGTGTTGGGCTGTGGACTGAAGGGTCCCAGGTTCAATTCTGGTCAAAGGCATGTACCTTGGTTGTGGGGCACATTCCCAGTAGCTGACTTGATGTTTCTCTCTCATCAATGTTTTTAACTCTCTATCCCTCTCTGAAAAAAATGAATAAAATATATTTTTAAAAAATTAAAAAAACTAGCAGATTATGCAATCTGTTTATGATTATTTTAAGTATCTTTTTTACTTTTAAAATATTAATTGAAAACATGGATTGTGTTAACTAGGTTTTTCGTTCTCTGGACATACTGCACTGTGATTTTATACAAACTGTCTTTCATTTTAATCTTTGCTTATTTATTAGCCAATAATAGTTTCTCATTGTTATCTTGATTTGAAAAATTTTTAGATAAGTAAAATTGAACCTATTTTTATTTTTATTGACCATATGTTTGACCTTTTGTGAATTACCTGATAATGTTATTTGCTCACTTTTTCATAGATTCAGATCAATGTATAAGAGATAATTAAATATTGATGTTTTATTTTTGTCTCATATTATGAATAAGATTTTTCATATTTCATTTGCCTTGTAACTTATGTTTTTAAGTATAGAAATAAAGAATTGCAAGTCCTCCAAAATTATTTTTTCTCAAGACTGTTTTGGCTTTCTGGATTTCTTTGCCTTTCCATATGAATTATTATTTTTTTTTTTACTTGAGATGGGGATCTATGTATAATTTCTCCCAAGTAAGAAACTAATTTTCTATTTCATTTGAGCATCTTGACAACTTTGTTCTTAGGTAGCTTATCAAATAATATGTCATTTTCTCACCGATTTTAAATAGACCTTTATCAAATACTAAAGTATTTAAATAGGAATTTTTAGATCAACTAAGAGAATATTCTTACTGCATGAAACAGTTTAATTTCACCCTGTTGCACTGATTAACGATGGCTTGGAAATTAAAACAGTTATCTGTGCTATGTTTTGGAATTGTCCAATCACAAGGAAGATTTACTTTCTCCCTCTTTCCCCTTTGTCCAGGAATGAGGTTGATGTATGTGCACGATGATTCAGAGAACCTTGTTGATGACTTCACAATCCAGTTGTTCGATGGGAAACATAAGATACTTAAGACCATCTCAGTAGAGGTCACCCCAGTCAATGATGAGAAACCCGTGCTGAACAAGTAAGCTACCTGAAGAGAGTCAGCTATCTGAAGAGAGTTCCTTTCAGATTCTCTACAAAATTCTGACCAGGAAGGCTAGGTGTAAATGCACTGTGTGTCCTCTGAGAGAAATAAGTCTCTTGCTGCTGCTGTCTGTCACAGTTTGTCCCACCTACCAGGTACCTAGAACTTAGGTGCAAATATTAGTTAATGTAACCACTTCCTAACAATTCTCAAACGAGCCCTTTAATTATTTTTTTTCTCTCTCTCTAAAACTTCTACTTAATTTTAAACAATTAAGATAAGGTGACCAGATGTCCCGCTTTTGGCGGGACAGTCCCGATTTTTGTTGTTGTTGTTTGTTTGTTAAGAATCGGGACTTTCCCGCCAAAAGCAGGACGTCTGGGTCACCTTAAATTAAGAATGACTGAACATACAATATAGAATTAACAGTGTATTAAACGTTTAAACACATGCACTAAAGTGTAATTATTTAATATGTAGATTCAACTAAAGTGTGATACTATCAATATTAACTGCAGAAAGCCCTCACTATGGATTTGGTCAGACTTTTAACTAAGAGCGGCTGAGGGAGATATACCAATGCCACTTCTGTCATTTGGTATTTCCTTATCTACCAGTCCTCTGCCATGCTCCATATGAATTAACATCCCTTGCCACCTGATGTCAAAATAATAGTTCTTTAAAAATCCTGGGCTAATATTATTAATTGCAGACTTTCTCAGTATCTCTGTAGTTGATCAGAGTGTGATCATAGGATATAATCTTTATCAATTATATTTCCACTAGAGGCCCAGTGCAAGAAAATTAATGCACTGTGTCGTGGTGGTGGGGTGATCCTTCAGCCTGGTCTGTGCTCTCTTGCAGTCTGGGAGCCCTCAGGGGATGTCCAACTGACAGCTTAGGCCCACTCCCTGGTGAGTTGACCAAATACAGCAGGCTAATTTTTAAGTTGATAATTTTGTATGGCCCTCAAATGATACTATAAATACCCAAATGGTCCTTGGCAGAAAAAGTTTCCCCACCCTTGGATTAAATGAACTAAAATATGTAAAACTGTTTGAAAAAAAAATGAGCTAATGCATAGTGAGAGCTCATAAATGTTAGTTGTTATTATTACAAGCAGATATTCTCATTCTGAAACTACAAAGATGACCCAGTTTCTCATTTATTTCAAACTGGGGGGCAAGAAGATATTAACCAAAAAACTTGTGTGTGTGTGTGTGTGTGTGTGTATACACACACACACACACACACACACACACACACACACACATATATATATATATATATATATATATATATATATATATATATGCATAACTTATGGACACAGATAATAATGTGAAGGCCTGGGGCAGGGGACGGGTAAAGGCTTAAAGAGGTCGATGGGAAAAAAGGGGATATATATATATAATACTTTTAACAATAAAGATAAAATAAGAGAAAGAATAGATTGTGTTCACTTCCCCCATTTCTGCCCACTGTCTCCATCCTCAACCGCTTTATTAAAGCTGCTCCCTTGTTTCCTACCAAATCTATTGGCTCTTCTCATCTTACTGGACCTGTTAGGGCATCTGACACGATTTCTTTGACATCCTTGTGGATGCTACAGCAGATGCTTTTGGTTCCCTGGGCCACATCCCCACGGCCCACCTCTGACTGCGGCTGTTGTGGTGGTGGAACATGCTGAGCACACTGTCGGTGCCCACCCCTCGTGCCCACACTGTCTGCTCCCTGCTCTGCCTCAGGCCTTTCTCTGAAGCAGCAGAGGCCCATCCAGCTGGTGTTCAGGCACAGCAGAGACACTCGGAACAGCCTCTGACCTGTGGGAGACAGTGGATAGATAAATATCCCCGCCTCCTAGCCTGCAAAGCACACTTTGAGGCATAATTCACATGTTTCTTCAAAGGATCCCGGCAGCACTGAGCCCCGCAGCTGTAAAAACAACCTTTGTTGCTGCTTCCTCCTTCCTTCTCTCACTCCTCGCTCTATCTCCTGTTCCTGAAAGCACTTCTCAAAGAAATTACCTGCAAAGTTCTTGTCCTGGGGTCTCTTTCAGAGTAATTTAGACTATGGCACACTTTCCTCTCTGCTTCTCTGTTGAAGAGAACACTAGCTATGTGACAGACACCAAAGTATTGTAAATCCTTTCACATATATTACCATGGAGACAGAGAGGAACGTAGAGGTCCACTGATTTCCCAAATATCACCAAACTCCTAAAGCATATCATAAACCATAATCAAAGGATCTCTGTGGGTGTCTAATCTCTCTAAGTTTATGTCTGGAAAATTAGAGTAATAATGCCTTAACCACTTACTTCATGGAGTTGATGTTGTATGAAAAACAGTATTAGAAACAAAATAATTTTCTAAAATAAATTACAGCATAAACTTGTAAAGTTCTATATGTGTAAACAATTAGAAATATGCAATTATCTCATAGCATATTCATTGTTGCTAATTGTCCTTTAGGATTTCTGTGTGCAAAGTGAAATGAGAGCCACGACTAACTCATAATTTTCAATAATTTGAATATTGAATATTATTTCCTAGTTGTTGAAGATTGGAAACTGTAATAGTCATTATGAGAGTCCCCTGCTAAAGCAATACCTTCTATTTTCATATCAAGCCAGACACCTTTCTTTTTACAGGAAGGCTGAAATTACAATGAGTATGGGCGAAACTCGTGTTATTTCTAGTGCTGTTCTTTCAGCCACAGATAGAGACACTCCCAGGGAGAAGATTTACTATCTATTTGACAGACTTCCCCAAAATGGGCAACTTCAGCTTAAGGTTAGTGGCCTTTTTACCTTTATTTTTCAAAATAAGTATAGCAAATATAAATTTTCTCAAAACACAGATTTCTATAACTGAATTTATTCTCTAATAGCCATATTTTCTCCAGAAATAGAACATTTAATTTTCCTACTTTGGGGATAACACACTATTCTAAATTTTCTTACTGAATTCAGGGTAAACTCAACTGATATTAAGGTTCTTCATTGCTCCCTCTTTACTGAGATTGTACCTAAATTTGGAGGGAGGCAGAGTGAGTTGCTGGGGTATTCCCACCAGATTTTTAAAAACGTTTTTAAAATAAATTTTGTTTCTTAGAGCAATTGTTGTGACTATCAATAAGCTGATTTTAAAATTCACATGGAGAGGCAAAATGTACAAGGAAAACAACATAGGAGAACAAAATTGAAGGACTGACTGATACTATCTAACCTTCAGACTTGCTATAAAGCTGCCACAACAGTGTGGGTTTGGTGAAAGAACAGACAAATACATCAATAAAACAGGATAGAGATCTTTCAAAGACACACACACACACACACACACACACACACACAGCCAACTGATCTTTGACAAAGGAGCAGAGTCAGTACAATGGAGAAAAGATAGTTTTTAACAAATGATTCAAACAATGTGCCTGATGCCCAACACAAATTACAGATCAGACACTTGCAAAGGTCACTTAGGTAATCCATCAGTTGCTTATTTGAATGGTGGATTACGGCGAGCAATAACAACCACCATCCATCCCCAATGTGATTATCTGACTGAATGCTTAACTTTTAATGCCATGTAGACACTCCTCCAGAGGCAGCAAGGATTCATTCTGTGTGGAACAGCTTGATCGTCTTCAATTGTAGGTACTATAGAGAATCAAAGTGAAGAGCAATTGCTGATTTAAATTGAGGTACAGCTGTGTCCTTAATTCATTTCAGAGAGTAATGAAGCGGAAAGGCAGTGAGAGCTCACACATTTGGGTGGCTTGGGAACTGAAGTGTTTTTGGATACGTGGAAATCCAGATGGGTCCGGGTTCCCAGCATGGCGCCACGTAATTCTCTCCCAGCTCTTTAGGTGTTCTCCAAGTCTCTCCAGAACCAGGGACCAGGACTCCAGGCCTCCTGGAATTTCTCCAGGTTTTCGTTTTGTTTTTTGTGTGTCCTCCCTTAGTTTTCCCACCTTGAGTCTGACTTTTCTTCCTCTTTGGTGGTTTGCAAATGACTTTGTCAAGTCAAAGCTCATAATCCGGAGTGCAAGTGGGGAACTAGATGGAGATGAGAGAGCAAAATATATCATTTTCTGTACTTACTTCCTGAGAAAAGATGACAAAGTAAGAGGTTAAATACAATTGTAGGCTATCCAGTTTAAACACTGAAAAAGAATCTGTTTTTAATAATTTAATTTGCAAATAGATCTTATGATGGAAACAGTGAGCTTAATTATTAAATGTAATTCATTTTCACCCTGTGAGCACTGGAACAGAACATAGTTGTGTACAAATATTAGTTGGGCAAGCATATTAAGAAGAAGACACTTTACCAAAAGAATGACAAAAAGAGAAGTGGCAAAACAGTGAGAGGAGAGGAGGACAAAGCAATTTTGCAGGAACTGGGAATCTGAGGAATAATGTGTCAAGAAAAAAGTGATTTAAAAATTGTTTTAGTCTCTTAAACCAGGCAGAAAAAGCACAAGATAATATCATAAAGTAAAATTTTAAGTAAATATTTTTCTTGAATTATGTCAAATGATGTTTATGGCTTATTCTTGGGGAAAGCTATGTGTTTTGAGGGAAGTATTAACCACATACAGATTTATTATAATATTTTCTAATACTCTCAGTTGTCAACTCCCCCTAGCATAAGATCCTCTTTTAATTGAAAATACTATAGTTTCTGAGTTGAATTCTGTACAGAATACATGCATAACTAATGATGACTTGTTTTAAAACAATTCTGATATTTGCAGTTACATGTTTTTGCTGACTCTTTAGGGTATAAGTGCAGATAGTAATAGAGAGCTTGATAATTTTCCTTTGGCTTTAGCAAGGCTGTAAAATGTATGACAAATAAGTACATCCATTCTCTTTTTGTTTTATCTTCTTCACCCATATAGCAAATCAGTTTGATAATATCATTTTTATTAGTTGTACAATGATAGGAACTAAAGAAACAGAAAACCCCAGGTGAAACACATTTAATATTTAAAGAACCAATTCCAGTAGCTCAATTACCCACCTGCTCTCATTAATTGGAATATTTAATCAGCTATGATTGCTTATGATAAATACCTCGCAAGTAGCATTGCTGTTGAATTGCCATTAAAAAACCCCCACAACTGTGTAAAAAAACCCTTTGGCACTGTTTTAAATTGCTTTAGTATATCTCTATAAAAGGAAAAACTAAGTGGTAAAAAATTGAACTGGAGTTCTTCTGAATTCATTTATATTGGAGGTTTTCAGGGAATATAGAAAATGTTTACTAGCTTGGAAAAAGAAAGCATGGGCAGCTGACTAATTCTGGTGCCTTTCAGATAGGGAGGGACTGGGTCCCTCTCCGCCCTGGCATGAAGTGCACTCAGGAGGAAGTGGACCTGAACTTGCTGAGATACACACACACTGGGGCTATGGATTCCCAAAACCAAGACAGCTTCATCTTCTACCTCTGGGATGGCGACAACAGGTCACCTGCATTTGACTGTCAGATCACCATCAATGACATGGGAAAAGGTAAAAGCATTCCTACCCCAGGTTTACTGGGATCAAGTCTTATAACCAAAAGTGAGCTGTTGTAAGCACTCTAAGTTTTCCCTCCATCCTTTCCTTTCCTTCTTTCTTTTTTCTTTTCCTTTCATTCTTGACATCTGAAATTCCATAATTTATGATTCAATCATTTGGCCCCTCACCTGCTTTGCCTGAGATTTCCGAGGTTCATAACAGCAGCCAATATGTTTGTAATTTTTTAGTATTTACAAAAAGCCTTTTGGATATCCAGACTCATCCACCACATGCCTGCATACCTTACTTTAATGATCAGAGAGTATGGCTTTAAGGAAAAAATTGCTAAATCAATGTGTCTTATCTTCAGAAAGTGAATTATTACTTGAACATGAATTTCAAAGGAAGGGAGAGAATGAGCAAGAGAGAGTGTAAGCCCTTGAAACCCAATGTCACTACCCCATACTTCTGCTTAGAGATTAGGTGAGGAGGGTAAGGATCATATTTCATTCACATGTAGACAATCTAAGATCTACATATTCCTAGGACCAAGCATAGTCTTAGAACCTCAATACATGCTTGGTTGACTGAATACTTCCTTTTTTATTTATTTTTTACAAGTGGCCCAATATATGGATTCTATTGCACACTGAAAGGGAATCCGGTGTGGATGAACCAGATTTGGAGCTGACAGGGCCCCAGCAGCAACCTAACCTACTGGTTGGAGCATCTGCCCCCAAGTGGTCATTGTGTGCCATAGCTACCAGTTGAATGGTCACTTATGCTTTTGTATATAGAAAAATAGATTTTTTATTTTTTTGCCTTGGCTGCCAGGAACCTCAGATGCTTAAGTGTAGTAAAAATCTTACTTCATGTGCATGGTAAAATTACAGTTCTCCTGAATATTTTAAAACAAAATTAAAATTAGTTTGATTGATTGTGAGATGTTTATTTTGAGCTGTATAATAATATATTTTATTTATTAGTTTCTCAATGTATATTTCATCAAGATGTCTAATAAGTGACTCTCAGATAAGCTAGATGTTTCTCTCTGCAAAAGTAAGACTTGTTCATAATAAATATATGTAATACAAGTAATATATCAGGGCAGACAACTAATGTGTTAGGACAGAAGTCTTCTCATTGCCTTCGCACCATGCATTCCGGGAGACCGGGGTGGGGTGGAGTAGTGCTATGTTCCACACAGCCACCTGGGGATTTTTCTAGCTAGGATTCTTCATCTCTGAAGGCCTTGGAGTCACTCTAAAAGTGAGGAAATGGAGGAAGATGAGAACATTTCATGGGTGAGGCTTGAAGGCGGGTATCTGTCTTCTTGTATCCCAGTGGCTGAAATGCAGTTACTTTCTATGCTAAGGGAGGCTGAGCAATAGAAGCCAGTTGCCCAAAAAGAAAAGGAAACAAGTCTGCTCAGCTGATATGTGATTATTTTCTAAAAGGACTTGTGAATACATTAACCTGTTAACATTGTCAGAGGTTCTGAATTTACTGTTTCTTTTAAAAAATATTTTTATTGATTTCAGAGAGGAAGAGAGAGGGACAGAGAAATAGAAACATCAATGATGAGAGAGAATCATTGATCTGTTGCCTCCTGTAGGCCCCATACTGGGCAATGCTCACAACCCAGGCATGTGTCCCAACCAGAAATTGAACCATGACCTGGCTCATGGGTTGATATTCATAGGTTCATCTCTATTTGAAACTGCCCTGAATTGTTAGACTAAATCATAACCATAGTATGGAGCACTTGGGTTAATTTCATTTGGGATCTATAATATAAATAACATGAGGCCCTCTGGGTATGCTATGTCTTCTGATTTGCACAGTGGCCAAAATTATGACCAAAAATGTCTCCAGATATTGCCAAAATGTCTAAAATGACAGAATCACCCCTCATGAGAAGCACTGGGCAAAAGTTATATCTGTTTGCTATTTTATTTTTACTTTTTAGTTCCTCATGGGACAGAATATATTTTAAAAGTTTTATTGACATTTATATATTTAAAATTAGAATTGGTTTTGCATTTATTCAATATTTCACTCACATTTCCTTTTGGCTATTCACCCATTTAGTGTTGAAGTATAAAAAATCCCTATATATTGAAGAGAGGAAACTAATAAAGAGTTTTAATTTGTGCTCTTGAGTCAGATGGCTTGAGTACAGACTTTAGCTCCACCTTTTATTAATTGTGTAATAATTAATGAGTTAGCATTTCTATGCTTTAGTATCCTCCTCATTTATAACCTGGGAAATATGGCAGTACCCCACTTTATAGCATTGATGTGAAGATATCAGAGCCCCAAGGCCTGGCACAGAGTAGAAGCACTGTATTTTAGGTATGATCATATTTTTTAATGTACAAAACTGGATTATATTGTAATCCTTAATTTGTGAAACTCTGTATCTTTGTCCATGTGTGACCCACTCTGCTTCACTCATTCACTCCTATATTCTTCTAAAAATATATAATAAACCCCTATACAACTATCACTCAACTCGGGGACTGAAGTGTGAACACTAACCAACATCTACCACTTCCCATCCTCCATCCTGACTTTTGTGTTAATTCTCGCCCCCACCCCTCACTATTGTGTATAGTTTTCTGGGACTTGCGCACGAAACTAATAAATGTTAGTAAGTTACACCTATCTGTGATTGCAGGGAGCCGTAGTTCATCTGTCTTGCTATTGTGGATAGACCACAGTTTGTTTATATGATATTCGCTTTTTAAAAAGGCATTTGGGTTGTTGCCAGCGTTTTCAATTAGGAACAGTGCCGCGGTGACCTTTTCGGTACGTGCCTCCCGGGTGCTTCTCGCCAGCACACAGCTGGAGCGGCGTCTCCGGGTCAAGGCGTACGTGATAGTCCACTCTTTACAGGATAATGCCAGATTGTGTACCAATGTATTCTACCGGAATCACCGGAAAGATCATCTTGATCGACATCCTCTTTAACACTTCACGTCATCCGACTTCTGCATTTTTCTAATCAGTTGATTATGAGTTGGCAATTTATTGTGATCTTGGTTTGTATTTCCATTATTGAGATTGAGCATCTATTTGTATTTTTATTGGCCATATGTGTTTCCTCTTCTGCCTGTCTACTCAAAGCTTTTGCCTAATTCTTTCATTAATCATAGTTACAGAAACCTTCCTACCTCGTGTTTGTTTTGATTTCTGCACAGTTTGGCCTTTGTTGTTGTTGTTGTTGTTTTGACCTTGGACATTTTACTTGATTTTTCAATCGGGTCCTTGACCACAACCTCTTCTGCCCCGTAGGTGATATTGTCATCCTTGCAAAGCCACTTGTGGTGCCTCAAGGTGACAGAGGTTTCCTGACGACCAGCACCCTCCTGGCTGTGGATGGAACAGACAAGCCTGAGGAGCTGCTCTACGTCATCACCTCCCCGCCACGATACGGCCGGGTGGAGTCTGTCCACTCCCCTGGAGTCCCCATTTCGACTTTCAGCCAAATGGACATCGTAGGACAGGCAGTCTGCTACGTGTATCAGAGGAAGGCGCCTGTCCACAGTGACACATTCAGGTGAGCCCCTAAATGTTTCAGAACTCCTTCCCTGGCCCAGCTGGCCTGGCTCCGTGGTTGAGTGTTAACCTATGAACCAGGAGGTCAAGGTTCAATTCCCAGTCAGGGCGCATGCTTGGGTTGCAGGCTCGATCCCTAGTGTGGGTTGGGCAGGAGGCAGCTGATCAACGATACTCTCATCATTGATGTTTCTATCTCTCTCTCTCTCTCCCTTCCTCTCTGAAATTAATAAAAAATATATTAAAAATAAAAAGAACCCCTTCCCTGAATTAATGCTTAGAAAGACGAAAGGAAGGGAAAAATGAATTCTTTTCCAGCTCTGGTATATGTGTGTTCTTCTACTACCTAGTTGTATAAAGGTGAAGGTGCACAATTAGAATGACAGCAGAAGGCAAGAAATGAGGGCTTGTTTAAAAATAAACACATAAGCAGATTTCAGTGCAAGCTGTTCTATGAGGGGGAAGGTAGAAACGTGAGGATGCCATCTAAAGGGAGACATAGAAAAGGAACTTACCACTTTTTTGAGGATGTTTTTCTATATGAGGGAAAGGTATTTACTAGCAAACATTTGGCATAAGCAGACACTGCCTGTGACACAATGTGTTTGGGTAACCATATCATAAATCATATTGTCATGCGGTGGATCATATTTCCCCATAGAAACAGTGTTAGGATGAGGGCCTGTGCACCTGTTCAAGGATTGTGCATCAATTAAATCATTGAAATGAATAACAATCTGGTGGAAAGGCAAGGAAACTCCATTAGTGGAAAGTCCACATTCATTTAAAATACTGAAATCTGCTTCCAGTCACCGAGAGCAGGAGAAACTCTGGAGGGCCCATCATCTGGCTGTTCCCAGAGCTGGCGAAGTCACCGTCCTTGAGAGACATGCAGGTCTTCAGGGCTAGGATAAGAACCAAGAAATCCTGGACTTGCCTTTGGGGGAATCATGGTCCATATCCAACCCTGAGTTTTACCAATTAAGAAGGAGGCCCCGAGAGCATTGGTTCATCTGTTGTACCTGCAGGGATTCTGAATAACTTTCACCGTGTCAGACGGAATGCAGCGTTCGAAGGACTGCCATCAAATAACGTAAATGCAGCATCGTCCTGTATTACCCAGCGGTTCCCCATAAATTGTAAAGAGTACCAATACACCCAGGTTCAAATACCACACTCTATCCTACATTTTTTATCCCTCTAAATTCTATGCTATGATAACCACGATTTAAATGTCTGTCAAGGTGATTTTTTTGCTTGCCTTTTTAGAATTAAGAATCAAGATTTGGATAGTTTAATAGTTAAACAGAAAGATTCAAGGAAGTTTGAACAATTACCTTCCCCCCCTCCCTCTTGACAAATGTCCTTAACAAGATGATAATCATTTGATAATCATTAGTCAATATCTTCATAACCAATTCAGTGCTTGAATGTTGCTAGCCATCAACTAAATAAAACATGAGATGTAGGGATTCTTTTTGATGCTGGTTCTTTTGCTCAAGAAGTGATGCAGTATAATAGTTGAGGCACAAGCTTGAGGTCAGTTGCTGCCTCCATTACTCGGTCCGTTTGCTTGCCCTTACTGCCTCCACTGGCCCTCATCAAGCCACACTTCCCCCTGTGCTCCTGTTTTCTCTTTTGTGAAAAGGAATGATGCTCATAGTATCTGCCTCCGGAGTTGTTGGAAGGTTTAAATGAGCTTATACATATAAAGTACTTAAAATAGTATGTGTCCCTGGGCTGGTGTGGGTCAGTGGTTGAGCACTGACCAGTAAACCAGGAGATCATAGTTAGATTCCAGGTCAAGGCATATGCCCCGGTTATGAGGCGTGCAGGAGGCAGCCAATCAATGATTCTCTCTCATCATTGATGTTCCTATCTCTCTCTCTTTCTCCCTTCCTCTGAAATCAATAAAAAAAATATATTTTTAAAAATCAAAACCATATGTGGCACATAAGAACAAAATAAGTATTAGCTGCAATTATTACTACTGTTGTTACCATTTTTTATTATATACTTTCCTTGCACCTTTTCCCCTCCTATCTTTACAACATCAAACAAAATATTAAGGGAGGAAAGAAGTTATACTGTTTCCCCCTCCACCCCCCCCCCCCCTCCATTAACTACTGGACAGTGGTTGCTCCTTGGTTTAATCCATGCATATCAGATTCAGGGCTTTTAATTTTTTGCTTTTGCTCTTACCTAATCCCCGACCTCCAAGTCAGTACTCACAAGAGAGTCTACGGATGACATCACTCTCTTTGTTGGAGAAGCCAGTGAATAAATGAATATTAGGTATTAATCAGAGGGTGGTGATGAACTAAGAATGGAAAACAAAATCTCCACATTTGGCAATACTTAAAAACTTTCCTGTCTCACCTCCACAGAAAGCCTTACTAGAGGGCACTTTAGAAATCATTTATCTCAAGAATCTCTAAATTTCTATATCCTCCAGGTCCTCTAAATCTTGAGGATCTAGAAATTACCCGGGAGATTTATGCAAATAACAATTCTTGGGCCTCCGTGCAGAGGCGGCTTTGGTAAGTCCTGAGTAAGGAATCCGTGTGAGATAGATGCGGTCAGGACCAGCCATCCCTAGCCTGGACCAGGCCCTTACTCTGAGTGCGTTCTGAAGAGTGCTGGGATGTACAGGAGACACCTCAGAGGTCCCAGAGACAGAAAACCAAGGGGCTGAATGGGTGGGCCCTGGGCCCTCACCCCAACTTACTAATGGAGTTTATTCTGTTTTGTTAGAGCTTTGAGGGCCACACTGGACTTCTTCTGAGCAAGGTTTTCTTTTAGCAGAAAGACAGTGGCCCTGTTGCCCAAAGTGAGTGATCTAAAGATGCCACCTGAGCCAGGATGGCCCAGGAGGCAGGGACTCATGAGTGAGAAGCCAATGCCTTACTATTCCCTTCAGTGTTCTCTGTGCTCCCGCTGGTTGCCAGAGGACGTCTCAGGCCTGTGTTCATAGGTCGTGAAAGCTTTTCAATATTGACTGTCCTCCCTTTTTCACAGAGAGCACAAGCCTCAGGCTCCAAGCCACTGGGCCACAACAGCTAGCTAGAATTAAAAACAGTGTTTTTCTTATATGTATTTTGCAGTATTTATGGTGGTTTTGGTAGTATTTATGGTGGTTTTAAGTACATTTATTGAAGTAAAAGCATGAGTTGTTATGAAGCAAAGTATTAAGTAATAAGAGTACAGGTAATAGAGGAAAATGGCCAAAATTATGAAGGTGATGTTTGAATGACTCAAGAGTAGACAACAGGTCTACGGGGAGAAAATAAACAACAGAGGTTGAATGCATTGATTGAGTCCAATCCTTTCACTGACTCCTGGGGAAGAGAGTAATGCTTTACACCTGCAATGCATCAGGCCGTGTGCTCGACCCTTTTCTCTGTATATCATTTCCCTCCCCCTCCACCTCGAGAGAGACGGTTTGTACCCATTTTGTGTCTGAGAAAACTGAAGATCCAACAGGCAAAGAAGCCACCTGAACTGAAATACCAGAATCAGAGCTGCACTTGGGTTGAGATCTCATTTTAGATCGTTCTTCCCACGAGGCGTCATGGTACCCATAACTTGTGGAGAATCTTCACTCGTGGGACGGAGCTCCTCAACCTGTCGTTCTGAGGTCCGGCCAGCACTTTTGCATATTTATAACGGAAGAGCCCAGCATCTGCCCCGGACCCTCGTTTTAATCTTGTCATTCCCTAACCCAATCACAGGCGGCTGTGCTGTTTGTCAAGTGGCTCTGAACCAAAGCCGAAAGCCCGTTTTAATGAAAGTGTGATCGTGGTGCTTTTTAAAAATTCAATATATGCAGCCAGTCTAATCACCTAAATTTATGTTGCTTGCTGTTAAATCTGGCAAGAAATTTGGCTTGGGTAGGAGAGATAAATTCTGTGGTAGAGGATCTCTCCCCACTCCCACCCCCCCCCACCCCCTTCTCTCTTTAATGTAAGGTATGGCAGCATTAATTAAGCAGGGAAAGGGGGCGTTTAATGATCAGATTTTACCTTCTGCAGAAATATTTTGCGAATCATAAATTTCCCCGGCATTGTTTGGTGCCGCTGGCCTGGAAGAGAGATTTGGCAGCGCGTTCTGGGACAGATGACACCAAGTGATTAGCAAGCTGACTTCAGCTGCTGGCAGCCGAGCACGAAAAGAACATGCTAATGTCCTCCATTTTGACATGCCGGCTGGACTCCCCCCTCCCGTCCTCCCCCCCCTCCCCCCAAGGAACTGGCTCTATTTATGATTCCATTTTTATCCTTTAAATGCCATGACAGATGGCAGATTCTTCAGCCAACTCCATTGCCAGGAAATGCAGAAAGCTTGAAAGCACCATGGTGATGGTGAAATCAGACCAGGCGGGCACCCAGACAAATCTGAGAGTCCTCCCCCAGATTTCAGGAGAACAATGGTCATCGTGGCCGCGTCTCTTCTCGGGGAAGCGGGATAAAGGAAATGGAACCAAATAGACCCACGGAAGGAGCTGCTACCTGCTACCGCCGGCTTCCGAGTCTGGGAATGGGTGCCATCGCAGCTATGGCATCGCCGTCTGGCAACTTGAGGCTATATCTGGGGGGTTTCTTTGCAGGGGAAGGGGGGGCATTTGGACGATCATCTGGTTAACCTTTGCAGGCGTGAACAGCGCTGCCTTCCTTGCAATCGGAGGTCCTGCTAGGCTTACTTTAACGGTTCACCCTGCCTCTCCCCTCCACAGTGTGTCCCTGCCTGTGCGCAGTCTGCTTTGTCACTTGTGAGAGTGAATGATGGGTTGCAGCCAGTCATGTTTAGAAACTGCATCCTTTTCACCGCTGGCTTATTAGCTTTAGGTCAGTGCAGACAGCTGCCTGGGAGTCCCCGCTGGGAGCACTGGCCTCAGTAAACATATTTCTTTCTCTTCTGTGGTCCCTGCTCTGCTTGCCCTCACTCCCATCTGTCTGATGTCAGGTAGCCTAGTTCCAAGGTGGTCAGAGTCCTGTGATCAGGCAGGAAGGCGGGCAGCTCGGGTCCTAAGACAACAGCAACCTCCTCACACAGGTCACAGGCTCGTAGGTAAATGCAGCCAGGCTGAGACGGAGCTCTGTGGGCCCAGTTGGTCAGGGTTTGTCAGAGTGCATCTCCAGAGAGAAAGGACAGAGTCAGAAACTCACACTGGCAGCCTCTGGTGGAGCCCCTGGCGGTGCTCGGAGCTCCCACCCAACCTCCTGGCTCCTGAACCTGCCTCCCACCTGCCTTCCCCTCCCTTCTCCTGGGATAGTTGGCATGCTTTAATGGGGCACCAAGTCTTTAATTCCACAATTAATGCGAATACCAAAAATATGTGCCCTGGGCTGAAATTTGTGCTAAACTGTAAATGGCTGGTTGAAAGTCCTCCACAAGAGCACATTTTGATCTGGTAGGGAAGAGAGGGCCACTTTATTTGTGGAAGAGGGTGAGGGGGAGGCATGAAGAGGGTCGGGGGGAATTTCTGGGTGGGGTAAGTAGGTAAAGGGGAAATTAGAAGTGTTGAGGGAAGGCCTACCTCCTTGTTTTGCTTCTGGTCAGATGACAGACTCCAGGGAGGACATGAGAAAAAGTAACAGGAAAACCACAGAATAAAAACATCACCCCATGGAAAGCTGTCCCAGAGAAATAGACCATGATTTTTATATATAAAAACGCACATCACTTGATCCTTGACACTGTCAAGGTGGACTAATAAGTAAAAAGTTGGACACATATTTATAGGTGCACTTCAATTTTCTTTTTTTTTTTTTAAGCTAATTTTGTTAACACTTCACGATTCAGCAGTGAAATTACTTATTTGCTTAGAATATATTGATTAAGAGTTCAGTTTTAGGAAAGGAAAGCCGATGGTTTTAGGGCAAAAAGGAGATTTTTGTTCAGTCTATAATTCTAAAGCTAATTTAATACTCTTATTCAAATTGTAAGATAATGCTGTGGATGAAGAAAACACACAGCAGGTTATATTCTTTACAAGTCTAGGCATGTGAAATGTTGAGATTTGCTGTGTTTGTTATATTTCTCTTAGCATTTTAAACTTTCGGGGCCTAGTTTCCTTTTTCTACCATTATATTTTCCTTGTAGGCAGACTTATCAACTAGATAATTAAAAAGCTCAAACATTTTAACTCAGCCTTCAAAGCAAGATCTGGGTCAGCCAAACTCATCTCCTTTACTTTGCGTCCAGATGCTCTTCTCCCTCAGTCCTGTGCCTCGGCGAGGCCAGCTGGTCTACTCCTTGTGCTCACACAACCCGGTCCCAGGTTCCTTCATGTTCAAAAGCAAGGCAGCAACCCTCAAACCTTGAAGGACAAGACACAGTTTTGCAAAGAATAAAGAACTTAGTCAAATTTGTCAGGTTAGTAAAGTAAATACAAAGCCCTTTTCTTCTCTGGTTAAAAAAAAAAAAAAAAAAAAAAGAACCTCCAAAATGTGGAGGTATTATAAGTAGAAGAGAATAGAGGGGGATACATAATGATGGAAGAAAACTTGGCTTTGGGTGGCGAACACTCCGTACAGTATACAGATGATGTGTTGTAGAATTGTACACGTAAAGCCTCTATAATTAGCCACTGTCACCCCAATAAATGCAATAAAAATTAACAAATAAAATAAATGAACTTGACCAAAATAAGTAAGTATATATGAACCTCCATAAAGTTCTTATATAATTTAAACTAATTTTGAAATATTCAGCTGAAATTATTTTTAGAGATTTTTACATTCAAGTAAAAATGCGTCCACCATGAATATTTCTAGCAATTATAGTACATGGAGAAAAACTAATAGACACAACTCCATGATCATTTTGAAAAGTACATTTTTGGGATCTATGGTGAATTTGTCAATTTCATTTCAAGAGTAGTGATTTCCTAACTTTAGAGTTTTAATAGTGCATTTTGTTTGCTTGATTGAATGATATTCTAAATTTTCCTTAAAATAAAAATTACACATTGAAATTTTCTAAAGATCATTTAAATTAGTTTTATTTTGAGATTGGCTGTGGTGGATATAATGCGATTTAGTGGTCAATATAACCAGAAGCACATTGTGAGATCACAAACTCAAGACTGAGAGAGAGATTTTGATTACCTTGAATTTATATAATTTCAGCTTTCTCTTTATAATTCTGATTATATACACCACTCAGATACATCACTCTTTCTCAGTGGATTGCTAAACTAGTATTTATTAATAACTCCGTAAGAGCAGAAGGTATGGTGTCCAAAGATCTGGGTTCTAGTCCCAGCTCTGTCTCTAACCTTCCTCATCATCTTTCTGCTATAATTTTCTTTTTTTTAAAGCAGGGAAACAATCCTTGTCTACCATAACTTCCCACATATCTTGTAAGGGGCAAATGTAGGAACAGAAGGAAAAGTAAGGGATTAGAGCATCACACAATATTTTAGAGTTGGATGGTACTTGGCGATCAGTTGGTCAATCTTCCACTTTGCAGAAGAGAAGAAAGGAGGCCCAGGAAGAGAGATGAATTAGGCATGATTACATGGCTCATGTACATGGCCTGTCCTATACAAATATAGTGAATTAGCCAAACTCAGCCTTCTCAGCTCTTGATTGGCCTCCAATTGTTAGTCTTAAAAGCTTAGCTTACTAAATTCCTACAAAGAAAATACAATTGAAAAAGTATGAATATATAAAATGAGTTCTCTGCAAGCTCATGCAATGGGTCTAATTGGATGTGACATTTCCTATTTGGGGCAAAGAACCACACTAAGCCTGAGAAATACCACTGGCAGCATAGAGTCTACCATTGACGTTAGTGAGGAATACTTTTGGATGTGGAATGGGCAATTTGTGTGTTAACCTAGTGACTTATTTACTAGAATGGTGTCCTCTGAAAGACCTGCCCTTGATTTTTCATTTGAGTCCCAGCACAACATATCCTTTAGTAAAGGTGTGTGTTGTTATCATTTCATTCCAGTAGATGGTGACACAAGAATCCATGCTGAAGGCTGCCTTGCCTCTCTTTGCCAGATTCATTGTCAGCAATGGATTGCAGACCAAGCATGGGGTGTTTGAGATCATCCTGGAAGCCGTGGACAGATCCTTACCCGTGGTGACCAAGAACAAGGGGCTGAGACTGGCTGAAGGGGCCACAGGCCTGCTTTCCGCTGACCTCCTTCAGCTGACCGATCCTGACACTCCCGTGGAGAACCTTACCTTCCTTTTGGCCCGGCTCCCACGACATGGCCAGCTCTACCTGCGGGGGACCATGCTGCTCCAACACAACTTCACTCAGCAGGACGTAGACAGCAGGATGGTGGCCTACAGGCACTCGGGAAGGGACTCAGGGACTGACTGCTTTACTTTTGTGGCCACAGATGGGACCAACCAAGGCTTTGTTGTGGATGGAAGAGTGTGGCATGAACCTGTTTCATTCATCATCAAGGCAAGTATGAGAAATATGCAGTTCCTTGTCAGAGAGGTGTAGAAAACAACTTCAAGGAAAACTATTTCCTCTTTCCTTCCTCCTTTCATTCAAATATGTACTGTGTGTCTACAGATGCCTGGCACCAAGCAGGGCACCTGGCTTATTAATATGAACAAAACGGATGTGGTCCCTGTGTACGGGTAATGATTGACCTCTCGTCGGTGGTGGTAATACAGAAAGGAACAAAAAAATACAGGCTTTGAAGTCAGACACACCTGGGTTGAGATTTCTGCCTTGCCATTTATTAGCAAATGATAATAAATTTATTAGCAAATCATATATTAGCAAATGATCTTAAGAGCGTTCTTGAGCACTTCTGATCCTACTTTTCCTTCTTTGAAAAAATATGCCTTACTGGATTAGGGTGAGAATTAAATAAGATTAGGTATTCAAGGCACTAGCATGTTTCCTGAGACATATTTGTTTCTCAGTATCTTGTAACTACTGTTACAATATTTAATTACACTATTGTGATCATGCTTTCTGATCCATGTCACCTACTGTAATTAATGGTTTTCAACTAAACATATGAAAACTTAAAAGGCCACATCATAATGATTGTGGGGATAATATTTGCAGCAGCTGCAATTTTTGAACATTTACATATCTGATTTAATTCTCATAAAAATTCTCTGAGATATGTTTTGTTCTCTCTATTGTATAGATGTTGCTAAGTTAAGTAATTTGTTGAAACACATAAAAAGCTCAATTCTTCCTGATCCAATAGCGGTATCCTTTCTGGGCCAGTCCTGCCACATTTGTGTTGACTGTGATGATGATTCTGGAGGGCATAATGTGTTTTTCTCTTTTTAGCCAAAACACATCAAGTTTGTCTGGCTCTCAAAGTCTTGGATCTGCTCTACTTAGACCTACAATAGTTCCACACACTTCCAGCCACAGCAAAAAAAAAAAAAAAAAAAAAGATATATTCGTCTCTTACTTAGGATATCTTCTAATTATGCAAAATAATCATAATTTCCCTTTGCTCTTTAGTCTCTGTACTAATCAGGATTCTCCAAAGAAACAGAACCAATAAGATATATTTCTATCTATCTATCTATCTATCTATCTATCTATCTATATGTGTGTGTGTGTGTGTATATGTATATATATATATATATATAAAAAGAGAGAGAGAGAGAGAGAGAGAGAGAGAGAGAGAGAGAGAGAGAGAGAGAGAGAGAGAAATAAAGAAAGGGAGAGAGGGAGAGAGAGATTTATTTTCAGGAATTGGCTCCATAATTGCAGGGTCTGACACATTCAAAATCTGCCAGGCAGGCCAGCAGGATGGACATTCCTTGGGTGCAAAGGCAAACCTGGAGACAAACTTTCTTCCGCTTTAAGGACATCAGTCTTTTAAGGCCTTCAACTGATTGGATGAGGCCCACCCACAAGGCCTTGCAATGTGGCCCACACCGCGCTGTCATCACTGCACTCCGCTGCGTTTCCATCACAATGACAGTTTATGACTGTTCAGTAAACCATTCGGCCCACGATTTAGGCTGGATTTTAGATTTTGGCCCCTTCTCTGATTGAGTTCGACACCCCTATTCTAGAGGGTAATTTGCCTATTCACAGTCTACTGATAGAAATGTAATCACATCTAAACACTTATCTCCACAACAACATCTTGACAGGTGTTTGAACAAATAACTGGGCAGCATCGCTCAGCTATGTTGACACATAAAATTAATGGTCACTGTCTCTATCTAACAGGGGATCTGAGTAAAAAGGTGAAGAGTCATGATGACATACAGTGGGTGCTCTGGTCCTCTCCCTCCTCCTCCTCCTCTTCTTCCTCCTCCTCTGAAACAAATCATTGTGGTATTAAGTCATTATGTTTGGAGTCATTTCTTACACAGCCATAAACAACTGGTACATCTCTGCCCCATGAAAGCCCTACCTTTCCTTTATCCTTCCAAAATCCCAGCTACTTCCAGGGATTATTATTTTCTTTACAAAACCTCCAGGTCACCAGGACTGGTTTGGCTCAATGGATAGAGCGTCGGCTTGGGGACTGAAGGGTCCTGGGTTCGATTCCAGTCAATGGCATGTACCTTGGTTGCGGGCATATCCCCAGTAGGGGGTGTGCAAGAGGCAGCTGATCGATGACTCTCTCTCATCGATGTTTCTAACTCTCTATCTCTCTCCCTTCCTCTCTGTATAAAATCAATAAAATATATTAAAAACAAAACAAAAGAAAACAAAACAAAACAAAACAAAACCCTCCAGGTCAATCACCTTCTCCTATTTTTGTATAGAACCTTTCAATGCATGACTTCTTAAAACAGAAATTATATGACTTGTTTTATATTTTAAAATTTCTTTATATGCATTAACCATATCTTGCTATATAAACTTTTATGAAGTTAGCTTTCTCTTTAAAAACAACAACAATAATGTCCTATACTCCAATATTTTAAAATGCTTCAATTTATTTGGAGGGAGAAGACTTGCTTTTGAAGAATCTAGAATTTTAATAAAACTAGGAAACCTTTTAGCACACGTGTGACCAAAGACACACCAGGCGACCATATGATCAGAGTTCTGATACTAACATTTTTAAGAAACAAATGATCTCAACAGATATTCATTCCTCTTGTAACATTTTTGTTTCCAAGGAAAATGTAACATTTTATAAAACCCACCTACACTCAGATAGTTATCAACTTTAAGAAATTCTTACTTGGCATGAAGCATTTTGATTTTTCTCTCTCCTGACATTGACCACTCATCTAGCAGCCACCAGAGTTTCTCCATTCAAAAGGCCCTGAAAACTAAGACTCCCCATCTTCCACTCAACTGCACAGTAGAGTTTGCCACCCATGCTTTTCAGAAGAGGAGAATGACTGTAATTAATTACTTACTGTAAAGAATTCATAAACTGCCTGGCCAGCGTGACTCAGTGGTTTAGCGTTGAGCTATGAACCAGGAGGTCACAGTTTGATTTCAGGTCAGGGCACAAGCCCAAGTCACAGGCTTGATCCCCAGTGGAGGGCATGCAGGAGGCAGCCAATCAATGATTCTCATTATTGATATTTCTATCTCTCTCTCCTTCTCTGAAATCAATAAAAAAATATATTTTTTAAAAAAGAATTTATAAACTATAGAAAAAGACAAGAAAAAAATATTCTTCACAATCATACCAAAGATAACTATTATTGGTGACTTCCATTCTTCTGTGCAATAAAAGTGGCACGATATTCTATGTATTATGTATATTGTCTGTTTCCACTCTGCATTATGTTATGAAAATATTTTTATGTTATTAAATCTCCCTTGAAAACATGATTTTTAAAGGCTGCATAGCATTAAGTCTCAGGTAGAGATGGTTTATAAATCCCATGTTAGACTTCTATCTTTTCTGGAATTTTAGTATATATATATATATATATATATATATATATATATATACACACACACACACACACACACACACACACACACATGCATTTTGTATACATGTCTATTTCTGCAGGATATACTTAAAAAAGTGAAATTTTAGATCAAAGTATGTGCACATTTCAGTGTACATACATGCCAAATTTCTATTCAGAAAATTTTCACTCCTATTAGCAAAATATAGAATGCCTGTTCCTACAAACATTAGTCAACATGATTTCTTTCCAAAATTTTTAAAAGTATAGTTGACATACAATATTAAATTAGTTTTATGTATACAACATAGGGATTTGACATTTATCTACTTTACTAAGTGATTACCATGAAAAGTCTAGTAACCATTTGTCACCATACCAAGTTATTATAATATTGTTGGCTATAGTCCCTTTGTTATGCATTTCGTTCCTATGAGTTATTTGGTTCACAACTAGAAGTTTATAACTCTTTATTCCCTTCACCTTTTTTGCCCATCCTCCACTGCCCTTCCCTCTGGCAACCATAAGTTTGTCCTCTGCAGTTATGAGTTTATTTCTCTTTTGTTTGTTTATTCATTTATCTTATTTTTTAGGTTCCACATATGTGTGGTCTTTTTGTCTTTTCCCATCTATATTATTTTACTTATCTAGATTCGTCTCTGTTGTCACAAATGGCAAGATTTTATTTTAACATGTTTTTATTGATTTCAGAGAAAGAAAGGGAGAAGGAGAGAGGGACAGAAACATCATGATGAGAGAGAATGATTAATTAGCTGCCTCCTGCACGCCCCCTACTGGGATGGTGCCCACAACCCAGGCATGTGTCCTGACGAGTTCATAAGTTGATGCTTAGCTACCAAGCCACACTGGCCTGACAAGATTTTATTTTATTTTTTAATGACTGAGTTATGTTTGATATAAACCAATCTTCTTTATTTATTGATCTATCAGTGGACAACTAGGTTGCTTCCATATCTTGATTATTGTAAATAGTGCTGTATTGAACATGAGGGTGTACATATCTTTTCAAATTAGTGTTCCTGTTTTCTTCTGCCAAATATCCAGAAGTGAAATTGCCGCGTCTTATGGTATTTCTGTTTTCAGTTTTTTGAGGAATCTCTATACTGTTTTCCGTAGTGGCTGTGTCAATTTACAATCATACCACCAGTGTGGTTGTGTTCTCTTCTCAACATTCTCCCCAATACTTTTTGTTTGCTGTCTTTTTCATAATAGCTATTCTGACAGGTGTGAGGTGATAAATAGCTCATTGTGGTTTTGATTTGCATTTCCCTGGTGCTAGCTGATGTTAAGCATCTTTTCATGAGTCTTTTGGCCATTTGTATGTCCTTTTTGGACAAATATCTATTTAGGGTCTAGATTCTAGATCCTCTGCCCATTTTTTAATCAGCTTTGGTGTTTTTTTTATGTTTTGCTGTGCATTTTATATATTAACCTATTATTAGATATGTCATTTATGAATATCTTCCCCCATTCAAGGATTGTCTTTTTGTTTTGTTGATGGTTTCTTTTGCTGTGAAAATTTTTTTTAGTTTGATGTAGTCCCATTTGTTTATTTTTGCTTTTGTTGCACTTGCCTGAGGAAACATATCTAAAAGAAATTTGCCAAGACTGATGTCAAGATTTTTGTTGCCTGTTTTCTTCTAGTTTGATGGTTTGAAGTCTTACATTTAAGTTTTTAATCCTTTTTGAGCCTATTTTTATATGGTGAAAGAAAGTGACCTTTTTTCTTCACTCCCCCGCCCCCCACACATAGCTGTCCAGTTTCCCAACAGCATTTATTAAAGAGACTATGTATTCCCCAGTGTATATTCTTGCATTCTTGGTTGGTTGTAAATTATTTGACAATATCAACATGGGTTTATTTCTGGGCTCTCTCAATTCTGTTCCACTGAACTGTGAGTCTGTTTCTATGTCAGTACCATACTATTTTGATTACTATAGCTTTGTAGTATAGTTTGAAATGAGGGAGCAGGAAACCTCTAACTTTGTTGTTCTTTCTCAAAATTGCTTCAGCTATTTAGGGTCTTTTATTATTTCATATAAAGTTTAGGATTGTTTGTTCTAGTTCTGTGAAAAAAGTCATTTTTGCTAGGAATTGTATTGAATCTGTATATTGCTTTGTGTAGTATGGATTTTTTAATGATATTACTTATTCCTATTCATGAGCACAGTATTCCATTTATTTGTGTTATATTCAGCTTCTTATGATTATTTTTGTTAGTCAACAAGGACCTTGCAAACCTGAGAGGAAAAAATATTTTGTTGCTACAAAATTCCATAAGGAAATACATAAAGGAGGAGTGATGTATTTTTGCCACACCAAGACAAATGTACAGATTTCTGCAAATGCTCTCACAGTTTTGCCTATGTGTGTATGAACATATATATGTGTTTGATTTGAACAAAAATGGTGTTATAGTTGTTTTCTGTTCTGCAAAAAAATAATAACTGAGGTTTTAAATCAATTAACACTAAGTTGTAGAAATTATTATCAGTTCTTCTTAATTCTTTTTCTTTTCAATATAATCATATATATGTGTATACACACACACATATATATATTATATAGTGTAATATATAGCATAATATGCTAATTAGACCAGACATCCTTCTGGACGACATTCCCTACGAAGCCAGGGCTGCAAGGGAAGCCTGGGTCCTGGGTGCCCGCCCGTGGCTGGAGAGAAGCCCGGGTCCCAGGTACCAGCAGCTGGAGGGAGGGAAGGAAGGCTTACTCTTGCACAAATTTGTGCATTGGGCCTCTAATATATATATATATGTGTGTGTGTGTGTGTGTGTGTGTGTGTGTGTGTGTATGTGTGTGTGTGTGTATTTATGCTTATCATTTATACTTATTCTCACTTTGCTAAGATGAACTAAGGTTAGTGGTGGTATTATTTTGGGATAAGTGAAGTTAAGAACTGAATGGTTAGGGGTAAAGGGAATGAAGGTAGTGTTCTTATACTTGTTTTTTGATATCGGTGATGAGTTGTACTAATCCATCTAAACCTGGTCCATCCCTAACCTATAACTATTTGCAAGATGGACCAAGCTCCCTGCCACACTTGAATGAGGGAGACCCGTTGAGGTGTTTGAACCTATTCTCATCTTTGCCCAGATACTGTCTTCACAAATAGAGTTCACCTGTTCTCATCATCAATGAAACAGATGCACAAATGCCTACACACAATTACCTCTTAATATTTTCTTAGTGAGGTATTTCTACTTCTAGTGAACATTTTTGCCCTTTGAACGAAGGCATGGCAAAAATATTCAATGCATTTGTAAACCCTTATAGCTTGGTTTCTGTAAATAACCAAACACTGGGAAAATGGGGGAGTCTTTCTGTGGAGCTAACATTAAGTTTGCGGTACAATTCACTCCTAATATATCCGTTTAACAAATGTTCCTTGAGCTCCTGTTATGGTCAGGCCCTGTGCCAGGCATATGGAGTGGATGGGGGGAACTTCCATCCTAATGGGGGAGGGTGACAGGTAAGTAAAGCTGGGTCCAAGTTTACAGTGGAAAGTCTCCCACCGTGTCAGGCTCTATGATACCTGCTGAGGGTATTGTGAACAAGACAGTCTTTAGCAGAAATTCACAAAAGAAGAGGAAAAGGGATCTGAATGAGATTTAGGAACGTTTGTCGTTGTTAACCGTTAAGACCCCGTGGGGATGAGAAGCCTTTGTATAAACTTGTAATGATTGACAATTTAGGTGGACCCCTTGGACAAGACAGCCCCCCACATCACACACTTGCATTCCGCCTCTCAAGTGGGGCTCCTGAAAAATGGCTGTTACGGGATTTACATCACCTCCCGCGTGTTGCAGGCATCGGACCCCGACACCGAGGATGATCAGATTATCTTTAAGATTTTACGTGGCCCCCAGCACGGACATCTGGAGAACACAACCACAGGTACTGTCTTCCTTCATCCTTGTTCTTCCCATTTAAAAATACCCAGGGCCTGGCAATGCTAGAGAGTGATTTAATTAGGCGCAGGCCCATTTGGTAAACACTCCCCCGGCCTTCCCGCGAGATGCGGTTATAAATCAATATGGATACAAAAGGGAGTTTGGAGCTGAGCCTTTCCAAGTGCCTCTTGAGTGGGAGAACCAAATACTGACATGTTATTTCCTTATATACTGTTGTTGTTTACTTTTCAGAAAACAAAACAACAACAGCTAGATTGTAATATAGTCAGAGGAACACTCAGTGTCAGAGCCAAATTCATATTTGTGACTTTTTTTCTAAAAATTCTAAAGTGATGTCAGTTTATGTTTTTTTTTAATTCTGTTTTTTTTTTTGGTATAGTGGTTTATCTGGATTGCATTTTACTTCTGCTTTATGAAGATAGTAATCAAAATAAATCACTAAAGAGGACGGCAAGAATTACATATTTTACCATATTACTGTCTCTTCCTAGTCCTTCTCTATTTTTATATTTTCTTTAAGGCACAATTTTTCTGAGACAGAGTATACTTTGGAGACTCATTTAAGTTTCATTGCATATGAGTTTTAAGATAGTTGCAATAATGTCAATTTCTTTAAAGAATATACTTAAGAGATTTTGAAAGGCAGTTTTTAAAATAAAACAGTCATATAATTTTATCAGCTCTTATTTACCATTTTATTTGCTCACTCACTAAAGTCATCTCTCTCTCTCTCTCTCTCTCTCTCTCTCTCTCTCTCTCTCTCTCAGGTGAATTTATCCATGAGAAATTTAGCCAAAAGGACTTAAACAGTAAGACCATTCTTTACGTCATAAACCCGTCTTTGGAATTTAATTCAGATGCCATGGAATTTCAAATTATGGACCCCACAGGGAACTCGGCCATTCCGCACATGTAAATTCTTTTGCTTATTCAGTAGTCCTGCATATAGTATGCAGCTCGTATCTGATTAGGAAAGTGAAATGTTGTTTTGAAACAGAATCTGAGATGATACATTCATAGGCCATTTCATAAGCTCATGGAGTATATTTTAGAGGGAGATTGTTCTTTCTCTTACTGTTCAATGATGGGGAAACCAGTCGTTGACAGAGTACTGAAACATCAGAAAGTTAAGGTGGATAGCGCTGGGTCATTCCATGGATGCAGGTAAATGCATTCACTTTCACACGCAGACAGGTTTCTGACTTAACAATTCATGGGCATCCAGGACCGAGCTTGCAGGCTCATGTACACATCGTGCAGCAAGAGGTCACTCTAAGACCATGTTAGCACCGAGAGTATGAAACCTCTAGAGCAGGAGGCGGGAGGCAGCCAGGAGGGGTTAGCAAAAGCAGCTCTTTGCTTCCAGAAAACCAAACAAAAAAAAGTGATGGTTTGAGACTGCCTTTACCAGTGAACAGACCGTTGTGGGTAAGATAAAGTCAGCGCAAATTGGAAAATAGACATGCAGGTATTAAGTGACACTTAGAAGTTATATAACATGTACAACCCTCAGAATAACAGGAGTAAGAAATCCTCAAAATTAACAAGATTAGCAGGCCGCAGTAATTTCATTCACTGGGTCCCTCTTCTAGACTCTTCTTGGAGGTATAGACCTTGAATAATTTACCAGTTTATCGGATGGCTCTGTGATATATATTACAGTCCAGTTCTTGTGGTGCTGTATTTTCTTTCTTTATAAATTTGATACCCTTCTCCCGTCACCTCAAAGAAAAGTGGCTGTTAACCAGGTCCTAGTAAAATGACACATTGTAAGTATAGACTCTTTATAGGGTGTTTTTTGTTTGTTTGTTTGTTTGTTTTATGGTAGTATATGGACAAAAGAAGAAAAAATGGAGAGATTCGTCTCCATTCTTGTTTTTTCTTTCTGATCTTGATTGTAGTTCCAATATGTACCAGGAGAGGTCTCTGTAGTCATGTTAGAAAAACTGGCAGCCTTCTCTTCGGCAAGCCACATGCAGCTCTTTGGCCCCTTGAGTGTGGCTCTTCCACAAAATATCACGGCCTGGGGGAGTCTATTTTGAAGAAGTGGCATTAGAAGAAGCTTAAGTTTAAAAAATTTGGCTCTCAAAAGAAATTTCAGTCTTTGTACTGTTGATATTTGGCTCTGATGACTAATGAGTTTGCTGACCACTGTCTTAACTGAACACATTCCCAGGGTTCGCCACCATTGCTATGATAAAGTGCAGTATCTGGTTCACAGTATTAGAAACTGGTAAGTGGATATGAACAAGGAAGACTCCACCACCACCCATTAAACTGCTCTTCTTAAGAGAAACGATTCCTCAGGATTTCCTTTATAGAAAATATACTAACTACTTGCAATTTTAATCAAACATCTTATAACTCAGGCCTAACTGGTTTGGCTCAGTGGATAGAGCATCAGCCTGCGGACTGAAAGGTCCCAGGTTTGATTCTGGTCAAGGGCATGTACCTTGGCTGCAGTCATACCCCCAGAATGAGGTGTGGAAGCAGCTGATCGATGTTTCTCTCTCATCGATGTTCCTACTTCTCTATCCCTCTCCCTTCCTCTTTATAAAAAAATCATTATAACATATTTTAAAAAATCTTGTATCTCAAGAAAATGTTTTTAAAAATCCTGTTCTCAAAACATTAATAAATTGACTTCACTTACTTGTATTTAGTAGATCAAATAAGAAATATTAGACTACTGGTCAGACTTGCTACTGGCCTCATGCTGACTGCTGGGCTTCCATGTGTGAACACAGCAGAGCTAATAGGAGATCTCCTCCCCCTCAGCAATAGTGCTAGATTGATGTTGCTTCACTTACATGCCCTTTTATTCTTCATTGTTACAAAGAAATTGCTTTTTAAGATGATTTATGTTTTTAAATAATCCTCAGATTTATAGGAGAATCCTATAAATTATCACCTCAATTGAGGCTATTTTAAATTGGCTCCTGTTTGTGTTGGATATTAATGCTCATATAGCTATGCTGACAATGTTTCTAATAAAGCTTGAAATTAGAAAAACCAATTGGAACAAAATGATGCCTACCAAGAGCTAATCCAAAAATGATTTAAATTTAATTCTGATGTATATTATTTTCTTTAGAATGAGCAGAGGGAGGTAGAAATTGCTCAGCATTTATGTCCATAATTTTTGAGAGGTGTAGTTGTCTCCAGCCTCATTTATTAGATCTTTTTGGAACAGGAAACATATTTTTCCAGTAAAAAACAATCATCAGTAGTGGGTTGTCTTTCCAAGACAGCCAGCAAGAACCTAGTTACTCATACAATATAAACCACAGGCTTTAGCAATATAGTTGTTTCTTGCTCTGTTTCATCACTCTTCATTTAATCATCACAACCACCTATGTGTTAGATACCATCATGATACAGAATTTACACATGAGGAAACTGAAGCACAAAAATAGGATGTGATTTTATCCAAGCTTGTTAGTGAAGGAGCTGGGATTCAGGCCCAGGAAGTATGGTCTAGAGTCCATGGTTTTCCTCACTGCATGAAGGAACTTGCCTGTTCTTATCAAGGTGTGCTCACTGGCCTCAGAGGAGGGAGCTGCAGACTTAACCTCCCTTCTTTCTCTCCAGTCCTTGGTCTACCTAGGCAGCAAGAAGGGGGAATACTTATTCTTCAAGGACCTTAAGTTTTAGTTGTGTGTTTCTTATTTTTGTTAGTTTGTTTTTAATGTAAGGTCTGGCAGGTGTGGCTCAGTGGTTGAGCATTGACCCAGTAACCAAGAGGTCACCAGTTCGATTCCTGGTCAGGCCACATGCCCAGGGTTGTGGGCTCGATCCCCAGTAGGGGGTTGTGTAGCCGATCAATGATCAATGGCCAGCTAAAGTCCCACCTCTCTCCCTTCCTCTCTCTCTAAAAATTCACCAAAAAACAAAAACAAACAAGACACATTTTAAAAATGTAAGTTATAGCTATTAATATTAGCGTGCACCCCATGTCTAACACACCAGGAATTAGTATAGATAATGAATAATAAATCACTGGACTTAGAACCAAAGAATGGGGTTTGGGCTTTGACTCTGCCATGGACTTAGGTGGCTGTTCAAGCCTCAGTTATCTCATTTGTCAAATGGGGGCAATACCAAAATGTGTTTAAAGAAACAAATGAGGTGAAACATACAAAAGCATGTTGTATATTTAACATCCTTAGCAAGTTTAACTTGCCGTAGTGATTACTCTTGTTGTTCATTCATGTGGATGCAAGGATTGACCATTTGAAGAAGTATTCCAGAGACATTGGGTGGCCTGCTAAAGCCCAACTCTAATTAGAAATTAATGCTGGGATGATTCATAAAGCAAAGGATCAATATGCTCCTTAATCAATAAGCTTTGTGTTCTTCTCTGGCTCAGACAGTGTGAGTACATTAGTATTCTGCCTATTTGAGGGAGTGAAGACCTTCTGTAATAAAGCTAAAGGGACTGGTGGATGCACTCTTAAGCAGAAGGAGAGCTCTTTTAAAAAATGAGAAGGACCTATGTTCAGAGGGAAGGTCCCAGAATCATGATTGCTGGTAAGTTTTTGCTCTTGCAGCATTTCTGTGGAATACCAGCCCTGAAGAGTCAATGGATACTCCATTAACAAAGGTACTAGGAAAGCTGATTCGAATCAGCTAAACCTGTGGTGGGCAAACTGTGGCTCGCAAGCACATGCAGCTCTTTGGCCCCTTGAGTGTGCCTCTTCCTCAAAATAGCACAGCCCAGTTGAGTCTGTTTTGAAGAACTGGCATTAGAAGAAGTTTAAGTTTAAAAAATTTGTCTCTCGAAAGAAATTTCATTTGTTGTACTGTTGATATTTGGCTCTGTTGACTAATGAGTTTGCCAACCACTGAACTAAACGAATCAAGTTATTGCTAGGTAGCTAGATTGTGTGTTTCACATCCCAGAATCATAGAGAAGCATGCATGGATTGGGGATCTCTGAGAGAGGGATAGAGTATGTAGCACATCTGACCTTGATTTGACTACAGAACTACTTCTCCCTCCCTTTACCTCTCTTGTCTCCCTCAGTAGCTCATGGAACAAGTTGTTTGTGGAATACATGTGGGAAGCATTTTATCATGAATAGAAATTATTTTTTAACTCTGAAATTCATGGAGATTTGCATAAAGCTTTAGACTTGGATAAATCCTGAATTTCAGGTACTGTGCTAGGTACTTTCACATATGCTGCCTACTGTAATCTACAAAGCACAATCCTCTGAGGGTGAGAGGGAAATCAGGCTCAGAGCATTTAAGTAATTGGCCTGAAGTCACTTCAGTGAATGAGTAGCAGAGCCAAAAGAGGACCCTGACCTCAAAGTGCATGCTCCTCTTACTCACCTTGGTGGCCAAGCTCAGGTCTGTTCTCCTGTCCAACTTGAACCTCAATGTGATCTTCAGAATTCTTCAACTAAACTACAAGGGACCCACATCATTCATCCAAAATTCCTCTGCAGACCACAGAATGTAGTTTTTTTTTTAACCACTTTCTTCATACGTCTTCTATGTTGACTTCTTCCTTGAACGCACCGACAGAGTCAACGTTGCAGGAAGCGCTGACCCACTGACCCACACGGACCTTCTTGATCACTCAGAGGCTGCTTCCCCAGCTTCTCCATGATCCCAAGCACCCGATTCCTCTCCTTCTTCTGGCTACCCTCACTCTAGCTGGTCTATTATTCACTCTTGGCCTTCAAAGAGAAGGCAAAAAGAAATGAAACAGAAAAGAAATGTCTAATATCTGAACTCCGCCGTGGTTTGGTGGCTTTTATGAAACACCTTAGAGGGGAAGAGGTTGAAACCATTGGCCAAGGTAAAGCTTTCATCAAGGTAAAGCACACCAGAAGTTAACCTATATATTTCTAGATTCGATCTCAAAAAACACAGAGGATGGAAAGGGAAATCACACTTATTAAGCACCCACCGTGTACAGGTGCTTTCCACATATTAAGGCATTTTAATTTTCATCATTTGACGTGAGTATCATTCTCCTCATTGTAAAGATAATGAGAGCTGAGACCCAGGGAGACTGTGTAACTGACCGTAATCACACGCTAAGTGGTTGCAAGATGTGTCTGACTCTGAAGCACTTGTCTGGGTCTCACTGTGCTGCCTCCTGGCTTAACACTGTTTCCCCATTATCATGAGAGAGAGACAGAAAGGAAAACACAGGTGTTCAGAGCATTGCATTACGGATCTTAATAGCATCCTCTTTGAATTGATAACTCTTAGGTTGACTACTTGGAAAAATATTTTTTATCTCAATTTTCTTAAGTCATTTGCTACTTGATTATAGATGAAGATTTAGTTATGAGAATAATTTAATCACAACTTTAGCTTCTGTAAAACCTTTCACTGAGAGGCTCAGCATACTTTGTGGGTACTCATTAAGGTTCATTTGGCTCCTTTGAAGTACAGACTCGTGATTATGATACTTAGGGAAGTGAGGAAACTGAGGCATAGAGTGGCTGAGGACCTTTTTTACACACTCTTGTTGACCTAGATCAGTGTCCCAAATCCCACACTGGAGTTTGAATCACAAGTGTTTAAGTTTATTGTTCCTACATATTAATCAGGTAGCCACAGAATAAAATGTCAGAAAGTATGTATTTTCTCAGCACTGTTGACATTTGGGGCCAGGTACTTCTTTGTTAGGAGATGGGAGTGGGAGGGTGTCCTGTGCATTCCGGGATGTTTAACCTCATCCCAGGTCTCCACCCACTGAATGCAGCATTACCCTTCTCCATGTGGCTATGAGCTCTCTCTCAACATTGCCAAGTGTCGAGAACCATGCATGTGTGTTAAGAGATAAGGATGCCAGGAGAATGCTCTTTTATCAATGCCATCTTTCTCTCTAACAAAGTTCAATAATAGCCAAAGAACCCAGAATAAGTCAGGGCTGGTAAGAACATAGAAGGATCATCTGAGCCTTGTATTGTTTTTTCAAATTGTGTGTAATCTGATGTTAATAGGGATGTGTGTGTATGTGTGTGTGTGTGTGTGTGTGTGTGTGTCTGGGGTGGGGAGAAGGTTTGGTGGTCAGCTGAGCTTAGGAAACAGAGGGCTAAAAGAGATTCAGTTAACTATTTATTGAGCACTTACTATATTCTATTCACACTACATGGGACTTGGAAATACATCAGTGAGCAAGGCTCCTTTTTACTTGGAGCATACGTACCAGTAGTATCTAAGTAAGTGAAGTAGTATGTTTAAAATGTATGTGACACATACTTTGGAAAGGGAAAGAGTTGGTTGGGATTTGGGAAATCACAGATACTGGACTTGGGGGATACACTGTGATTTTAAATTGAATATTTAAACAGCTTTTCAAGTGCCTGACTTAGTGTCAGTGAGAGACAGAGGGACCAGACGCCTCATGGCTTACATTCCAGTTTAATTCCTACTGCTTCATCCTGTGGCTTCCATTCACAACAGTGATTCGGGGAACCAACATGGAGTTTTTACACCAAGTCAAAGTTTCTCTTTTGATGAGTGCACCTGAATCACTCAGCTAAGTGTCCCTCCACTGGGGACGACTCCCTCTAAGGGACATTTGGAAATGTCTGGAAAGAGATTTGGTTGTCATGACTGAAGGGGAGTGGGTGCCACTGCAGTTGGATTTTCAAGGCAGGGATGCTGCTAAATGTCTTAGTACCCAGGACAGCCCCGCCCCCCCCAGAAAAGAATTATGACATTCCACATGCTGAGCCTGTGGATTGAGAAACCCCGACCCAGGCACTAAAGGAGTTCTCATCCCCTGCTATATGCCTTGGAACGATTTCCATATGGGATTTGCAAACCTGTAGCCGGAAATTTCATTTCTTACCTTAGCATGAGCTTTACTCAATGGTCACAGGGAAAGGAGGGATTGTTAAAGGGGCAGGTTTGAAACAACGCTGGTCTCCATGACAGACACACATCCAGAGCTTTCCCAGTCTCTCTCCTGGGCTCCTGCATCTGGTTATCTACCGCTGTCAAGCACACATCTGGAGGGCGTCCAGCAGGGGGGATTCCCACGTGGTTGACAATACTCTTACTTTTCTTCCAGGCGTTTGTGTAGAGTTTAAGCAACCACAGTCTCAGCATAGAACGATCTTCTCAGATAAAGTACTGCAAACACCAAAAAGCGCTTGAAACATGTGTTGCACACACCCTCCCCTAGGTATACAGTGCTTCACAATTAAATGTTATTTTCTGGAAAATGGATAGCCTGGCTCAATGGCTTTTTAATAATCTTTGTTATTTGTAGTGACTCCTTTCCAGGAGATAAAATGGAACAGGGTGTAACGACAACCTGAACCTCTAAGCATTCTCTGGTGCATCAGGGAAATGCAGGCACACCCCAAATGCCAGGACCCTTTATGCTTTGAAGCTGAGCAGCACGCTGCGTAGGCCCTTTGTTGATGTAGTCCAGCACCCAAACTGCGTTTAGCATTAAGCCTGGAGGTCCTCTGGATCTGCACAGCAACACGGACGAATGTCTGCTTGTCCTGGTGAGCGTCAGCAATGGCTACCCCCTCAGGAGCCTGGACAGGAACTCGCATCTGAACCTTGCTGAGTCTCCACTGAAACGCATCCCTGTTTATCTATCTCACACGTTCCCGTTGCTTTTCTGTCTGTCCTGTTGCAGGTTTTTGTCTTTTCCCCCAACCTCTTTGCTGGTTCCTTCAGGAATTCTTTGCAGCATGTTATATGGAATAGTAACAGAATTAATTAGAAGACAAAGAATAGAATGTTATTTCTATTGACATTTGTAATGTCCTTGTTGCTTGTTATCTTGTACTATTTTTAAAAACGCATCATCATTTATTTCTTTATTTCTTCATCTGTTTCATGCCAGATTTGAATTCAGGCGCATTAAAGACCCAAGAGGTTTTCAATATTATTTAAAATTTTTATGTTAAAATTGTATGAAGTCCAGCATGCCAGTAACACTACATTTCTATTGACAAATGAACATCAATGCTCATAGAAATTCACAAACCTCTGCCATAATTCCAGCTCCCACGTCTGTCCTACTGGCCCACAGTCACTGAAGTAGGAGACGATGCCAGGGAGTTTATTTTGCTAGTGAACTTGATATAGAGGGTATGACTGTGACGCATGCTTGGTGCAAGGACATAGAGTGGCAATCAGAGGGTAAACTCACTCTCTAATCGGAATGGTCCCAGGAAAGCCGGACAGCCCTGTGAGGTTGGAGAACTCCACACTCCATTCACAGAGTGGCACCTGGAATTTCTACTTCTGCAAGAAAAAAAAATGATTAAAAAAATTAAATCCAGAGCCTGAATCCAATGGGAAGTTTGAAAATACAGTAAGGCAACCGCTGTGGGTTTTGTAAATGTAGCATGAAAGGGAAATGAGCGGAACAGAAGCCGTGGGAGCGTGTTAAATGGTCACAGCGGAGATTGTCTGTGTCTTGTAGATGGCTGACGGTTACTGGGGGTAAAAAGTAACCTGTTTGGAGAGAAATGTTTGGGCGGAACATTTTAAGTTTTCTAGCCTTGCAAGGAGAACTATTTCAGGATAAAGATAAAATTGTATGTTCCTGCGTGAGTTTAAACACAAGAGTCATGAACTTCAGTTGGGGAGAAAAATGGTAGAGGGGAACAGTTGGCTTCAGATTTATGCTGGGAACTTCGTCTCTGCTATCTAGTAGCTTTGGCATAGCTTTTTGTCTTTGAGATAGTTATGTAATATCTCTTGCGCTCAGAAAAGAAAAAGGAAACAAACAAAAACGGTTCTCTTCATCTGGAGATTAAAGAAGACAGTTTCTATCCAATGTTGGGCTCGCTGCAGATAGTGCAGGGAGAAGGTAACCCTCTGATAGGTTTACTCCATTGCTTAGCTGCATCTGAGCTACACATTAGGACGGCCCTTTTAAACGCATAGACATGGAAGCAGAGGCTGCTTATAAACTCCTGCACATGCTGATTCTTAGGCACATCCTCAAAGATACCTTGTTATTTAACTTAACCCAAGTTCAGAAAGGTCTGTGCCGGGAACAGTTCTTGGTGTACCGATGAGGAAGGTCAAAGAGAAAAGGTTTCATATCAGTGTCTGTTGCAAAAGTGAATGTCTCCTTGAACTCTACAACTGCTGGCTCCTTTCCCTTCAGAACTCACATTTGAGTGCCCCCTTTTTCTTTTTGTCATTAAGTACTGTGGAAACTCCAGCAGTCTTTTTTTTTTTAAACAATGACACTTTCCCAACTATAGGAAGATGCCTTTTTAAAAAAATATATTTTATTGATTTTTTACAGAGAGGAAGGGAGAGAGATAGAGCGTTAGAAACATCGATGAGAAACACCGATCCTGCACACCCCCTACGGGGGATGTGCCCACAACCAAGGTACATGCCCTTGACGGGAATCAAACCTGGGACCTTGCAGTCCACAGACCGACGCTCTATCCACTGAGCCAAACTGCTTAGGGCCTGACAGTCTTTTAACCTTAGTTTCTGCATTTGTAAAATAGGATTCCAATGGTTTCTTTGTCTACCTCTCAGTGTTGGTAAGAAAATGTTCAATGAGATGATGTTAGTAGAAGTTTTTTTGTGAGCTAACATGCAGCAGACAAGGGTAAGAATTTCTAGCATTGATTTAGGCTGATGAACCACTTCCATCACCAGGGTTCCATCTCCTCCCCAGCAGAGGACCCCGGCAGCCAAGTGTCTGCACTTCTAATGATTTCCCCTTTTCCTTTCGTGCAGTCTGGAGCTGAAGTGGTCTCACATTGAGTGGTCACAGGCTGCCTATGAGGTCTGTGAGAACGCGGGTGTGTTGCCCTTGGAAATCACCAGGAGGGGCTATTCCATGGACTCGGCCTTTGTGAGTGTGGAGGTAACGACGTTCACATGTAAATTGTCCCGCTAAAACGCAATTGCTGGGTGATGCCTTTGGTTGTTTTCTTAGAAAAAAAAAAGATCTGAGTAACTAAGGAAATGTTAAACTGTGAAAGTGTCAGCAATGACCTGCTGGTTTTAGGTACAGAGTCTCCTTATGCCTACCTTTATCTGGCTTCATAGCTCCTAGATAGGATATGTTCAGCCCACTTTTAGTTTTAAAATCTGGTTATTAAGACTTGAAGTCTGTTTCACAGAGAGATATAACCAACATAGTGAACTTGGGTCACACTTGGCCTTAGTAAGAAATGTTGTAGGCAAGACATTCTGTGGGGTGCCCCGAGCCAGTTTTAGTTCCCAAATGGCCTTCTCTTAGGATGCACCAGGATCACTTACTCCGGTCTCCACGGGGAAGAAAAATCAAGCCTATCTTAAGAGTCCCCAAGTCTTAAATGCAAAATTAAGAGAGCATATTTCAGTATAGACGCCCTGGAATTTTCAGTAATCCCTTTGGAATTAGTCCACTTGCTATTTCTTTCCATTGACTTGGATCTGGAAACACAGTCTATGGCTTCTGGAATTTAAGGGGTTTTTTGTTTGTTTGTTTGTTTGTTTGTTTGTTTGTTTTTTAGGGGTTGCTATCCCAATAGCACTTCAAGAGAATGAAAGAGTGGAAAGCTTTTACATACTAATGACAGCAACCACCTTAACACTGCCCTCCTCTGTCTAATGAAAGGGACACTGGGCTTAGCTTCTGGGGGAAACAGCATCTCAGTTAGGTCTCAATGACAGTCATAAATTCAGATCAGAACCCTGTGCACCTAAAGTCAACCACCTGCAGACTCGGTATTCATCGTTCTAGTGGGCCTCGGTTCTTTGCCCCAGAACTGTGGATGCTTTGTTGGTAAAACATCAGACAGCATGAAAGGCCCTGTAATTTTTTAGCAGATTGTTGATGGAAAAGGAAAGAGTCTGCCTGGATGGTTTTCTAATCATCCTCTGGTCCTCCAGAGAGAGCGCCATATGCTCAAGTCTGGAGATTTGGGCCCCACCACCTCTCCCTTGCCAGGTAGAAAGAACATAGGTGGTGTGACATGGAACCTTGTGTCTACATAAGTGAATGCACACGTGGAGCCTGCCAGCTGAGTGTGCAGGCCTCCATCAGACAGCCCCTACACCTTCAGGGATGACTCTACCCACAGCCCACAGCCTGTGCCTCACAACAGAGCTTATTGGCTGCTTGGCCAGGAGCAGGGAAAGGGGAAGCGCTTGACCTGGTTGTTTGCCCTGGTTTACATCAGGCACCTTCTCTGGACTGATTTCTCCACCCACCTTGCCTCAGGGCATTCCTCTTCCCACACAGGATGCTGTAAACTCAGTGGTGGTAAATACTAGGTAATTGCACATGCAAGAAGCATGCGGGGATATGCGACTCCTGGCATATGGCGGGTACAGGTGCACCATGGGCTGCCTTTCCGCGGTGAGAGACTTCAGGAGGAGCCCTGGCATTGCAGGCACTGAGCAAATGAGATTCAGGGAGGTAATAGCCTTCTTGAGCAACATGTTTCCATGGCAGACCCATTGGCAGATGGTGGGGCCTTTGGAGATGGAGATGATGTCGGAGGCCATAGAAATCAGAATGTTAGAGGGTGTGTTTTTTTAAATATATATTTTATTGATTTTTTTTTACATAGAGGAAGAGAAGGATAGAGAGTTAGAAGCATCGATGAGAAAGATACATCGATCAGCTGCCTCCTACAGGGAATGTGCCCTCAACCAAGGTACAGGCCCTTGACCGGAATCGAACCTGGGACCTTTCAGTCCGCAGGCTGACGCTTTATCCGCTGAGCCAAACTGGTTTTGGCCTGTTTGAGTTTTTCATCACGCCTTTCATTCCTTGGTAACAAAGTGAAGGAACATATTAGCCCACTTTCCTGACCATCTGAAACATCTGAAAAATGCAAAAGCAGCAGCTGCCTGTGCTTTCCACAGGGTTCTCACCGATGCCCTCTCTTTTAGCCAAGGGCTCTGTTCTTACCATACATGTTTATGCTCCTCCTGAAGGAAGTGAAGGCCATGGCTTTAGTGCCCTTAAAACACCCTGGTTTTCAGCTGTAGGTAGGGGGAACAGATCAATCAACAGTCTCTTTAAATTAGAGCAATTTTTGTGGTGTGTGTGTGTGTGTGTGTTTGTTTGTTTGTTTTGTTTTGTTTTGCATCTTACTTGATAGAACCTCTCAATTCAGGGTGTAGATTGCCTTTCTGTTTGCTCACCAGGTCTCTCATCCCCACAAAGCCCTCATTCATGTCTATGAAGAGGGATGGAGTCGTTCAGACAGGAACATGGAGCAGAGTTGCTTTAATGCATCCCATCTACAGGCTTCCAGGGCCCTGGAGCTCGCAGAAGGCCTCAGAGCTGGCTGCACCATCAGCACCAGGCTGTCAGGGGCACCTGGATGTCTTCCTCTCTCCACTTCCTCTCCCTTCCCCCTGAGGCATTATTTTAGAGCAAGGCTGGGGTAAAGGGAAAGTAATGAAATAAAGTCCCACTCATAACAAAGAGAAAAATATTGTTTAAAATCCATGGTACTTTCTCCAATAACTGAATTATTTTTAAAGAAGAAAAAGAAAAAAGTTTTACGTCCATTGATATTAGTTTATAAAAACGTTAACTTTAGGGCAGATCTATGGAGCTTGGATCAAAAATGGTTTCTTATAATAAAAAACGCACATGTTATGTTAAAAAATATTTTAAGAGTGAGTTTAGTCTAGACTAGAGGTTTCTCTATTACAGAATATTTATTTTTATTTAAAAAAGGACATATTTTTCCTTTTTAGGTCAACCAAGTGTCAGCTACAGTTGGAAAAGATTTTACGATGACTCGATCTAAACTGATTCAGTTTGACCCAGGTACGTTTTGTGTCTACAGCTTATGTCATATTTTTGTAAGAAAGTCTAGAGATTTGGGAGAAGACAGAACATTGTGCAACTTCAGCCAACTAGAAACTTCTCAGAGTACCATATCACCCACTGCAAGAGAGATCAATTTGGACGTGAAGTTTTGCCCCTCATGTTTTATTTTATTACAAGTGAATATGTATTTAAAATAAGATCATAACAGCCCTGGCCAGTGTGGCTCAGTTGGTTGGCATCATCCCACACACCAAAAGGTCACTGGTTCAAATTCCAGTCAGGCAGATGCCTGGGATTGTAGGCTCCATCAATGATAGGGAGTGTGTAGGAGGCAGCAGCTCTATGTTCTGCTCTCACATTGATGTTCTCTCTCTCTCTTTCTCTCTCTCTATAAATCTAAAAAGTTTTTGTTTTAAACGAGATGGTAACAAATAAAGAATATAACAAAGAAAACATCTAACTATCCAAAAAAAAAAAAAAGTGATGTCACTTTTAAAATTATTTAAAGCTGGGTTAATTTAATTGTCTCATCCTTTTCTTTTTCCTTTTAAAAAAGTTGCCTCTTATTTTGATGGAAACTTTCAAAAGATTATATTCCCGTGGATTCCTAAAGGTCATTTCTAAATGATTTCTATTGGAACAGGTTGATAGGAGGACATTCCAAAGGAAATTATTATTTAATTAGATAGCACATATTTAGCATCTAATCTGTGAAAAAATTTTGCTAGGTCCAAAAGGGGATCTAAAAAATAAGCCGCCTGCTCTCAGGATGTTCTGTCATGTGGGAAATACAGACATGAAAGCAACTCGCCCACAGTACATTGAGACTCAAAGGATGAGTCTTTGTTCTGGCTAAAGAAAACCCTGGAATATTTCCCAGAATTCTGAGCAGGTGGAATAAGAAGAAGGGGATTGAAATACAGCCACCCTTTGGGGGAACTGTGTCAAGCACTGAAGCTGGAGCCATGCCTTCCCTCCCTGGCGTCCATAGGTGGGGCAGGCAGCGCTCCTCACTGCTCTGCGTGGTTCTGTCTTCTCCCCTTTGCTCTGGATCACCTGTGCAGGGGTAAATGGCAAAGGCCCTGAGAAGCAGCCAGGACTTAGGGCTTTGTGGGCTCCTGCAGAGGAGATGTTCTGTGCTCAGAGAACACGCAGCAAGCCCAAACTCTTGCTGTTGTCTGCCACTGACATATGATGTCTATGGCAAAGGCAAAATGAAATGGCTGAAAAAAATACCATCAGCACTCTGAAATCGATGATTGTAATGTTAAACATAGACAAGAAATGCTTTTCTGCAGCTTGTTACAGGAAGCAGGATGTTGGCCACTCTACTCATTTGCTGGGACTGCCCTCACAAAGAATCACAAACCTTAAAAATGGAAATTGATTTTCTCTCAGGTCAAGGTTTTGGCAGGTTGATTCCTTCCAAGGGCTGTGAGAGAACACCTGCTTCCTGACTCTCTTCCATGTTCTAGTGCAGTGGTCGGCAAATCTCGGATCGAGAGCCACAAGCGGCTCTTTGGCCCCTTGAGTGTGGCTCTTCCACAAAATACCACAGCCTGGGCGAGTCTATTTTGAAGAAGCAGCGTTAGAAGAAGTTTAAGGTGAAAAAAAATTTGATTTGGCTCTCAAAAGAAATTTCATTCATTGTACTGTTGATATTTGGCTCCGTTGACTCATGAGTTTGCCGACCACTGTCCCAGTGGTTTGTAGAATCGTTGTCAATCTCTGGTTTCAGCTGTCTTCATGTCCATGTTGGCATCCTCCTCGTATGTGTGTCTCTGCTCAAATCCCCCTCCCCCCATTTTTTTTTATAAAACCTTTTTATTTTCAAATCAGGTCACATTCAGGGATACTGGGGATTAGGTACTGGATTTTGGGATGACAAAATTGAACCTATCACCACGAGCCTTAAGTTTACATGGCAACAACCCAGAGTGGTTGGCCTCCCTTCTGTGACATCTAAGTTTCTGACCTGCAAAGTTTGTCCCATGGGCTGACCACACTTTGGCCCAACCAATCTGTTCATGTTTTCAAAAACAGCAGGCTCGTGGTGGAGAAGAAATGGAGAGTGCAAAATCAAGGACAGTGCGGTATTATAAGGTTACAGAGCTTTTGGAAGGCAGCTGGAGGGAAACTGAGGGATTTTCGGGCTAGGGAGCTATGCTCAAGTAGGCTTGCCTTTGCAGCCATTGGACCAGATGGAAAAACAAATCCTGATTCCTTTGCATCCAGCTTTTGGGATAATCTTGAGTCAAAGTATACATACTCATAATAAAGGGATTGTTTCCCTCTAAAATCCATTCTTAATGGAGACTTCATTATTCCCAAGAGTCAAAATGTTTTCCAAAGGAACAGATCTCTCATGTGGCATTCCCTGGAAAACGTGGAGAAAAATGTCTTCTGATGGTGAAATCTACTTTGCAGGAAACTCGCCAGGGATGGGCCTGCTCTGTGGAGTGGAGTACTTCTGCATAAAATGACACCTTCCCCTCCTCTTCCACACCTTTTGTTCTATGGAAACCGAGGGCCAGTTCAAGCCTTCTGAAATGGCTTATAATCTCCACAATTTAACGAATACTTTTCACCTTGAAAGTGGGAAAGGAAGGAAAACGCAAAAACAAGCAAGTTCTTACTTCCAATCTCATTAACCTAAAACAGTCAGTCCTATGTGCACACCTGCTCAGCATAGAAACAAAGTGGAAATGCAGGCAAACAGATCAGAAGCACTTCAATAAAACGGAATAGTTTTTCTTTAACCATCTGGTTCCACTCCAAAGAAAATATTCTTAAAATAAGAGGACCTTCCATAAGGCTTGGAAATGCTTTTATTTATTTATTTTATTTTTTATTTTATTTGAATAATGCTTAACTCTATGATCTTGGAGAGTCAAAGCAGTTCTCTAAATAGTAAAAATCTTGTATTCCTATTTTTTCTTCATTGTCCAGCCTCTCATTTCTTCATGCCAGGTTCATTATAGTTGTTGCCCATGTGGTCTCCTACCTTTTAACCCCTCTGCCTGGACCCCTAAATCTTCCCAGCCACAGTTTCAGTTCCTTTTTTTTTTTAAGACATCCATTTTCAAGAGCCTTCCCTGTTGCCTGTGGTTTAAAGACTGAGTCTGGCCACCACGTTAGTGTCCAGGGCTCTCTGCAGTCTGACTAGAAACTGCCACTGCAGCCTGGCTAGTGTGGCTCGGTGGTTGGGCTCTGTCCTATGGACTAAGAGGTCAGGGCACATGCCCAGGTTGCACCTCCATCCCCAGTAGGATGCATGCAGGAGGCGCAAGTCAATGTTTCTCTCTCATTGATGTTTCTATCTCTCTCCCTCTCCCTTCTTCTCTCTGGTATCAATAAAAACATATTAAAAAAAAAACTGAAAAAAAAACAAAACAAAAAAAACTCCCACTGCAGCCCTGTCACCCCCTGTTCACCTTGGTGACATCTCTATGCCTGCAGCTCATCTGCTCAGTGTTCCCTGGGCAAGGCTCTCTTCGCTGTCTTCCTGCCTCTGCATTTGTTGTTTTCCCATGTCTTCCCTCCAAATCCTTCTTTCCCCCCTCCAACTTGAGCCTTTCCAAAGAGGTTTTAAGTTTCTTTATGTCAGGTCTGCTTAGATGACATCTCTGGTGTTTCCCGTAGCATCGAATGCGAAGGCAAGTACATAATAGATACAAAATAAAATACTTTGAAGGACTGATTTATCCATCCATGTGGTGAGACTTTATATTTTCTATTTCAGCATCTATTTTTGCAGACTGTGAAAGTAACTGATTGAAGAACTCAGCTGATATTGAAGACCTAACTAATTAGCCATCAGCCTGTGTTTTTTTGTTGTTGTTGTTGTTTTTTAATAAAATTATTTCAAATACACTTTTTTCTTTTTGAGTGCAGCCAGGAGTAGCATAAGTTAACAGTTTCAACTTTCCATTGAACTCAGTTGGGGATTAATGAGCCTTCCATTAGCTCGGGAGATCTATATTGAATGCCTTCAAGAAGGGTGCCGAGGTGCAGATGGCACACTTGAGAGGCACAGCCTGAGAACAGTCTGCAAGGCGCCACGTACTCAGATTCCCAGAAGGCGAGGAATGAAATGCACAACTGGAGGGAGATGTACGTGAAATGCGTGGGGATACAGGCACTTCAAAAGCCAATCAGACAAGGATGGAGTCAAGTTTTCAAAACTTAGTCCTAGGGGGTTAACACTATAAGTTTATTATCTTTTCTTTCCCCTTCAATTTGAGCCTTTTTTTTTTTCCCTCACTAAACAGTACTGGTTTTTTTTTTCTTGCTGCCACCACTTTTTTTCTAAATAAACTCAAGCACCTGTCCTGTGATCTATCGATACATCATAGAAACTGGTCAAGACTCGCCCATCTCCGCGTTTTCTTCTAGCTCTCGTGGTTTGTGTTTCTGGGTTGCTCTGTGTCCTGGATGGCTGGGAATGTGTTTGAAACATCAAAACTGTTTAGTATTAAATTCACAAACTTACCGTAAACCAAACTTGATTGTCACTCCTTCAACTGAGGCAGACAGAAAGAAAAGAAAAAAACAAATTGGCTCGGTCTATTTCTAGGATTCCCAGCCCATACACTATCTCTAGGAGGAGATGAGTCTGACATCATCAGAAAAAGCATTTGCAGACTAGGAAGAGCCCAGGAAGCGGGGTGGCCGATGGAGGCAGCTGTCTTGAGAAATCAATCATTTCTCAAGGGCTCCATGAATAGCACCAAGTACCATCCAATAATCACTTATAACTGTCTGTGCTGACGTCTTTAGACTTTTGAAACTGGTGAGCTTTTAAGATTGCAGTACTTGTTTATTCTTAAATAGAGAAGAGGCAGGTTGTGTGTGTGTGTGTGGGGGTGGTTGGGGGGGAGATGGAATGAAATCTTGGCTCTCATCTACTAACCATTTTTTTGTTCATCCCTTGCAAAATGCAGCTTCCTTTTTTTTTTGTTTTGTTACAGTGTTTGCATTTAAATGAAATCATCATTGTCCGGGAACAAATGCGGTCTTTTAATATGATTTGGGAGAACAGCAGGACTTCGGGGAGCTGGGAGCCGCACAATGGCTCACTTCGGGCCACTGCCGTGGAGCTGGAGACATGTTAATTAATATATTTCCCTGACACCTAGGTGATTGAAATAGCAATTAAAGAGTAATTAAAATGTTTACTTCTTGTAGGAATGTCAACCAAGATGTGGAATATAGCAATTACCTATGACGGATTAGAGGAAGACGACGAGGTCTTTGAAGTCACTCTGGACTCCCCCGTGAACGCGGTTCTTGGCACGAAGACAAGAGCCGCAGTGAAAATTTTGGACTCCAAAGGAGGTATTCTTTTTGATCCTCATCTTGAAATCAGAAGCGGTCCTCGCGCTGCGGCTGCTTCGCTTTCCACAGCCAGGGTGCAGGATAACGCCTTCACATCAAAAATGCTTAATTTCTTGTCAAGAAAGCCACCTCGGTGGTGGTTGTGGGCCCTCTATTCTGCCCTCGGCTTCATGCGGTGTTCCTCCCGCTAAGAACTGTGGTTTCAGAAAAGCAACAAGTCAGTGCCATAGTCCTTTTTTTTTTTTTCCTCCCCCTGCCCGTTTGTTGTTCTCACCGAGGGGGAAATGATGCTGGTGAGAATCTACCAACAATTATTTTCCCTCAGGGTCTGGAAAGCTGTAATTATCTTGCTCTGCTAAAGAGAGCTCTGAAAGCCCAAGAAAATCGGAGTCCCCACTGGAGGGTGACCGGGAAAGGCCTGAAAGAGGAAGGGATGGGAGAGAAATAGACGGGAGAGGGGCAGCTGGCTTGGGGATGAGGGAGCAGCGGGAAAACATGAATGAATAACCTTGGATTGCAGAGCCAAATGGGTCCTGGGTAGTAGATGCTAAAAAAAAACAACCTGTGAACTAAATAAAACAAAGACCCGCCAAAGTTTCTGGGGCTTTGGGTTGGTTTTTTTTTCCCCCCTGCCAAATACTTTCTTCTTATTTGTGTATTTTGCCTTTGATAACTGTCCAGTTACCATGCTAGCTAGGAGTCCTATGTTTTTAGACCTATTATGCTCTATGGTGCATATGTTTTTCTTACTTTAAATCTATTATCTCCTCTTTTCTTTGTCATCCTATAATAAAAATATGTATGATTATCTTTCTCTTATATTACTCATATTTCTACAACATCTCTACCCACCACTTTTCCTCACCAGGTTCATGTCCTTTTCAGTAGAATTTTCTGATCACATTAAGACTATAAAATACACAAAGCGCACACTTTTCACAGGAAGTATCACATATCCAGATGCCAGTTCTGGATTTAGATTCTTTTCATACTACTTGGCGACGTTTCCAGTAGAAGTAGCTCCATTAAGACTCACTGGACCTTTGCTCTGTAGCAGATGAATGCTCATTTTTGTAATTGTTCCTTGATTTCACTGCTATCTTCACACAACTTCGATTTCTTCCTCTGGGAGATTGGGGGAAGGGTGATGCTTCATGGAAGGATGCTTGATCGGTGGCTAACCATGAGGTATTGAGGAGAGCTGTAATAGGAATGGCAGTGAGACCGTTAGTGTACAAGTAGGATTCTAAAACCACAACAAGGATTTTCATCTGTGGTTTGTGAAATCAATTTTATGGCTTTGCAATCTCCCTGTAGATGTGCAAAAGGGCACCGCTTTCCTGGATGGAAACTGATGAGGAGTAAAGGGTTTTCTGGCAAATGGCAAAATGGCAACATCTGGTGGGAATACCATCCATCTGAGTGCCCTGACAAGCTGCCGCAGGGGCTGGGTGGATGTGATCATTCATTTCTGTAAATGAATGAACTGACCTGCCATCTTGCCCGCCTCCAGGTCGGTGCCATCCTCCAAATTCCTTCAACCCAAGCAAGCACCACGCGTGGAATAAGAGCTCTTGGCACCCGCCATCCCCAGGGTCTTCCTTCCCCACCATGTCTGGTTCCTTTCATCTGGAAAGAAGACCTCCTCCATCTTCCAAGCAGCCAGCAGTCACCAGGGGAGATGCCCCACAGGGCTTTGACTCTACACATGTTTATGGAATGAGGCTTAGAAGCCGAGGGAATGGCAAAACAGTAAGGCTGGGGACCTCCTGGGATTTGATGTGTGGGGTACATATTAAAAAGTCAAAAGATGTTCACGAGTATTGCTTAGCACGAAGAAACTATTTTGGTTCTTGTAGTGAATGGAGACCATGGTTCCTTGCGCAATCATGCAGTGCCTTCTGTATACAAACGGCATTAATGCTGTCCCACTTCATTAATTATGCTAATTGAGGTGACAGACATACAGGCTCACCCATATAATGTCTGCTTTGGTTTCTTTTGTAATCAAGAAATGACCAGTGACCCTGGAGCAGAATGAGATCAAGCAATCTGCTTGAGTGTGGGTGGAAACCATGGCTTTGACCTTATTCGCACAGCAGTCTAACCAGACACACATTCATGTGTGTATGTGTGTGTGTGTGTGTGTGTGTGTGTGTGTATTTGAAAGAGTGTGTGTGCATGTTTTCTTGGATGTTGTGTACTATAGGCACCCCAACAAGATAAGGATGTCTTTTCTCCCTAATTGGGGCTATGAATATATGAATCAACATTTATAAGCTACAATTAGATTCAGCCATTTTTAAAATTCCAATGATTGGGACATGGAAAATCTTGAGAAAGATGTTTTAAAAATTTTCAGACATTAACAAGATCTGACTGGAAAGGTTTTAACTGATTGCTAATTATTATTCAAGCCAATGTTGTTCATATTGTATTCTCTGTTGGTCTTAGGTCCGTCCATCCTCTGTTTACAGAAATGGAACAGACATTATCTATAATGTAAGCATAGTCTGAGAGAATCGCTAAATTTCTTGTGTTTGTGGATGCGAAATAGTAAATCTATTTTTTATGTTTTACATTAATTTATCTTAAACACCTGGTTTGGTATTTGTCCCGGAGGCTTGGGTGGTCAGGAAAAAAACACCGTTTAGTTTTTATCCAATTTTTGAATGGCTCATTTTTACAATAAATGTTTTTGTTTGCTACCGTGATGCTTATTTTTTTCTGAATCGTTGTGTATTGGTTTCCTCAGTATCATGGAATAGTTTCCCTGCAACTGGAGGATGACAGTTCCCCAGTTCACAGAAGGAAGACCAAAGTGCCCATGATTAGTCGACCACAAAAGGCAATCAAAGCGGCAGAAGGACCTCAAGCAGATAAAGGGGAATCCACAACCCACTCACACTTCCCCAGACAGGTATGAGAATCTTTTTACTCCTTACTCACCTTATAACAAGCTGTTTCCTGGGCCATAAAATAGCCTTCAAGTTTGGGGATAGTTTACTCAACACAAAGGCTACTCAACCAATGAGGACCTAAAGGGGCTGGGTATGCGATCAGCAGACATTAAGTCAAATCTCAATGGCCTTTCTTTCCCACAGAGCCATTTCCCCTCATTCCCAAAGAACTGCACGCTGGAATTGAACGGGCTCTTCCATTTCGAAGAGAGCCTCCAAAAGCTGTACAAGTGCAATGGGATCGTCTGGAAAGCTTGGAGCCCCCAAACCAAGGTGGGACTCAGGCTGAGCAGCCCAATACCTCTACATGCAGTGTGCCCTCTGATAAGTAACAAAGAGGGAATCATCTGTCAACTCATGATACGTCTGCCCGCTCTCATTGCACTTAGAAGGAGAAGAGGGGAAAATTAGCCTAAGTAGCATTTTAAAAATCACAAAATATACCAGTTATATTGATGCAATTAAAAAAGACGAATTTAAATCACAAAATACATTAGATATATCAATACAATTTTAGAATTTGAGAAAAGGAAAATACATTAGATATATCACTACAATTTAAGAAGCACGTGTTGCCTGGCTGGTGTGACTCAGTGGTTGAGAGTCAACCTATGAACCAGGAGATCACGGTTTGATTCCTGGTCATGGCACATGCCTGGGATGCGGGCTGGATCTCCAGTGGAGGTGTGTGTGCAGGAAGGAGCCAATAAGTGATTCTCTCTCATCAATGATATTTCTATCTCATTTCCTCTCTAAAGTCAATAAAAATACATTAAAAAAAAGAAGAAGCACTTATATAACTATCAGAATATCAGAGCTATAAAATTGAAATATTGTTAATTTTAGTCATGTTTTCTGTAGGAAGCCCTTGCATTTCTGAAGGTCTAGAATTGGGATTAGGGCTGACCTTTTTTGGTGACAAAACTAATCTATTCAAGGGACTCCTAGGATGCTTTCTGCCGAGAACAGACTCTAGATTGTGAAGACCATTGTGATGTGAACACAGACACTGTTTTCTAGGCGGTGGGAGACCCATCCTGTCCAGCCGGGTGGCACCCTCACTCCGGATACTGTCACTCCCTGATCATAGCACCCAGAGGCTCATGGAATGCAGCTGCCCGAGCTTGCAGGGAACAGTAAGAAACCTTGTACATTTGATTGATGTTTTTGTTCCTGTTGTCTTTTTATTTTCTCATGGAATTGCAGGGTTGGTTGCTTCATTCACTCAAGTGTTGACTTATCACCACCTGGCTTTGTTTTAGGAGCTCAGAGAGAGTTCTGTAGTTCAGGATAGATTCGGGGCTGACCTTTGATGTAGCTTTTTCCTGGTAAAACAGTACCATTGCCACATATCTATTGTCTAGCCTCTCTCTGTCTCAGTCTCTTGGAGAAAGTCAGAAGGATCTCTTCTGAGTCAGCAGCATTGCAGGCTCTATCATTTTTTAATTAAATAAGAATTCCTGCTTATTGATTTGAAACTATGTAGCAATGAAAGGTCTGGTCGCTTCAGACCTGTGACTTTGTAAGAGACACTGATGATTATGAAGCCAGACATGTTGGACAAAGGGTCACTCAACGAAGGATGACTTGTGGTCAAATAACGACAACAAAATTTGCCTCATCCAGGAAGACTTTCAAAATGATAAATATCCATGACTCTCCTTTTTAGCTTACCTGGATATTATCCAAAACAATGCAGTTAGACTAATATACCCTATGACTTGAAATTGAGACTAGAGAAGTCCCTGGTCGATATCAGTCACATCTTGCACACTATCAAATTTAAAACGTTATGCTTTCTAAAAACACTAGTTAAAAATGAAAGGGCAAACCACCTTTGGGAAAAGCCAATCTCAACTCATTTATATGATGATCTTGAATCTTGAAAATACAAATAACTCCTATAAATCAATTACAAAAAGACAGCCTGCTAAAGAAAATAACTAATGACTTGGAGACTTCACAAAAGAAGGTATATAATTGATCATTAGGTACATGAAAAAGTGCTCACCACCATTAGACATGGAGAGATGCACATTAAAATCACAATAAAATACCACTTTTTCACACCAACTAGAATAGTTAAAATCACAAAGACAGACCATACCATATGTTGTAGACCAAATGGAATTCTAATTATTGTTGGTGGATGTATAAAACAGCACAACCACTTTGTAGAACTGTGTGGCAGGTTTTTTACAACTTATATTCATCTACCCTCTGACCTAGCAATTCTACTCCTTAACATTTACCTAAGAGGAATAAAAATTTATATTAGAATAAAAAAGTTCACAACAATTTCATATCAGTTTCTTTCATAATAACAGTTTGGCTCATTTGTCTATTTTTGTTATTGATTTATAGGAGTTCTTTATATTTTCTCCTTCAAAAGGCAATACTATAGTTTCTTTTTGATAAATCTGTATACATAAAAGCCTAAGCAACCTTTACTATGGAGCAACTGGAAGGACTGGTCACTATGACACACACTTACCACCAGGGAGCAGATGCTTAATGCAGGAGCTGCCTCCAGGCCGAAGGCCCCAATTGCTGATGGGGCCTGTCAGCCAACCTCCTGGTCCCTCCACACCCCACCCCCAACCCTGGACAAGCCCAAGGGCTGGCTTCCTCCTTGGGGCCTGGTGGCCAACCTCCCCCTCTTTCTTCCCCTGGCTGGCAGGCCCTGATCACCAGGTCAGAGCCAGGCCCCAGGCTGGGATGGGGAATTGGGGGCAGGCGGTGCGGGAAGGAGAAGGTGGGGAGGCCTGGAACCTGATTAGCCCTGATTGCTGGCCAGGCCTAGGGATCCCATCTGTGCATGAATTTCATGCACTGGCCTCTAGTTATTTTATAAATAATGAAATGGAATGAACTTCTGAAACCTCCAATGATGTGGATAAATCTCCAAAACATTATGTAGAGAAAGAAGCAACCCAACAAAAAAGAATACATATTGTCTGCTTACATTCAAATAAGAGAAAAACAACTAATCTATTAGTTGGTGTTGGAAATTAAAAAAAAAAAAAAAAAAAAAGTTATCTCTGGCAGGAACTGTGGGGTGACAGGAAAATAGATGAGGCTCTAACTATTCTATGTTTTGGTTTTGGTTGTAACATGGATATATATACCATTGTCAAAAATAATCAAATTAAATAATTTAAAATGTATGCATTTTATTGTGTGGGCATTACATTTAGATTTTTAAAAAGTTAATAGGATATTTTAACGGTATACTTAAAAACTGGTCAAAGAAACCACCCCTTTTTCACAGATGTATTTCATGTCCTAAGTATAAGTAAAGGCAAAATCGAGTTTAGTCAGTGGCTTCCATGTCTTTGTTGATGTTGGTTGTATTCAGTAAGTTAAAAAATTAAAAAAAAATCTATGAATATTCTTTAAGTACATATATTCCCATAATATTATATGTTAAAGAATAATTAATAACCAAATGTCCTTGTTGATATGTGTCGTTGAGTTGGCTGTGGCCTCTGGCATCTCTTAGAATGAGTGATGTTGCCGAAACCGGTTTGACTCAGTGGATAGAGCATTGGCATGCGGACTGAAGGGTCCCGGGTTTGATTCCGGTCAAGGGCATGTACCTTGGTTGTGGGCATATCCTCAGTAGGGGGTGTGCAAGAGGCAGCTGGTCGATGTTTCTCTCTCATCGACGTTTCTAGCTCTCTATCTCTCTCCCTTCCTCTTTGTAAAAAAATCAATAAAATATATTTAAAAAAAAAAAGAATGAATGATGTCTACAATACCCTGCCCTCAGCAGCCCTGCTCAGCTCCTGAAGACTCATGCCTACAGCTTCTTTCATTTCTCTCTTCCCACTGTCGTCTTTCCGCCCCCCCCCCCCCCCCCGCCCCAGCATTATTATCTTTTCCAAAGAAACCTGTCCTCTTATGAGAAGCCTGCAGTGAGACAGCTTCAGTTTTGTCATGTTTGCCTACAGTGATGTTTCAGGCTTAATTTCTATAGGAAATAGAAATTTGTTCATCTTTCTGGTAGTCCAGGGTCTAGATGTCCTACTTTTATTTAATGTTTGTCTCAGAAATAGTGGAATAAGTCTTGTTTACTCCTTGAGGACAGAGCTTGGATGTGTAATCAAAGCTTACTGAATTAGCCAGGTTGAGGTTACAGTGCTATAGAGGGGAAGAGAATAGCTTCTCTACTGACAAAAACGAGGGCAAATGCAGAAGCGCGGGTTCTGCTGGGATTTATTGGTAATATGTAATGAGCAAAGCAACAGAACCCCCAAACTTCAAGCTTGCAAATAGCCTCATTGTTCATCTTCCAGCGGTTTTTCAAATGACAGTGCCCTGACCTCTTCCTAGGTCAGTGCTCAACCACTGAGCCAAACTGGCTGGGCTGGAACTCTGGTGATCTTAATGAGGCTTTGCTTGATTCTTAATGTTATGAGAAAAATAAAGACACCTATTGAGTGTTACCTTTCCATGCATTCATCAATGTTGGTGTAAGATCACCAACGGTCTCTTCTTTGAAGGACTAGTCTTTATTCTGAGATTACGATCTTCTAGCTTTTTGGTGTCAAAAGTTATTTCTATGGCAACATAGTAATATTGCTGATAGTTTCAGGTTAACAACCCTACATTTGTCTTCCAATACTTCTGTTTATTTTATTTTATTGATCCATCTAATTATATTATAGATTTTAATGATGAGTAAGACTAGTTATAAAGGGGCTCTTCATATACCTATTATACAATTCACTCAACCCAGTAATAAAAGCCCAAATTAATGTAAAAGCCTTTCTACTTCCTCATGCATTTGCTCTACGATTTCAGCTATAACTTGTTTTGAAGCACCATCGCACCACGACCACCCCCCCTTTTTTAAAATATATTTTTATTGATTTTTTACAGAGAGGAAGGGAGAGAGATAGAAACACCGACCAGCTGCCTCTTGCACACCCCCTACCGGGGATGTGCCCGCAACCAACGTACATGCCCCTGACCAGAATCAAACCTGGGACCTTTCAGTCTGCAGACCGACGCTCTACCACTGAGCCAAACCGGTTTCGGCGCACCACAACCATTTTACACTGACCTTGTTCTACTCTGCCAATAACACCTTACTTTTAGATTACATTTTATAGTTTACAGAATCACATAAAGGAGTTTATTTGACCTTCCAATCACTTCAGTCAGAAAAGCAGGTATTATGGTTTACATGTTACAGATAAAACAGAGATTCAGGGAAGAAAAATAACTTGCTTGTGGTTTTAGAAGCAAATAAATGGAGAGGTGGGGGGGAGAAGAGAAGAGATAAATTTGTTATATTCAAAAATAGTTTCATAAGTATAGGGAGATATCTTATCTCAGGTGTAGTGACAAGGACACTTATTTTAATCTTAACTTTGTATTGGGCTAATTTAAAGCAGGTTTTTAAAATTATATGTTAATCATTTTGTATCACAGCAAAGACATATTAGGGTTTTTTTTTTTATTACTATTAAACTATGAGTACTAAGTTTTCTTTGGATTAAAATCAAAATAACCTCTTGGAGCAAACCTAAGAAAGATACAATCAAGTTCTGAGTTTATAGGTTCATTCATTCAATAATTATTTATTTGGACACTTACTGTAGACCAGATCACACTTTTAAATATTATTCCCCAGTTTTGACCTACAACCCAATAACTAAATTATTCCTCATTCATCTATGAGCTTCAGAAATATAGACACCATAACTCTTCATGTGGCAAGTCCTTACACCCTGCATTTTACATCAGTGAAGTTGTCATACAATCCTGATAATTTCCTCTACATAACTCTTCCCAGAATGTTCCTTATATGGGAGGGGGGGCATTGGTATATGTACAAAAATAATAATTTAATAAAAACAATATATTAAAAAAAAGAATATAAAAGTCACTGAATTTAAATGACAAAATTCATCTTTCATTGAGTTGATGTCTTACTATAGGTTGAATTAAAAAGTTCTCTGGACCTAAATGTAACCACAGAGTTTACAAGCAATATTTGTATATTGCATATATAAAAATATAAATGGCATTTAAAAACAATATAAATAGTTCTGCAATAAAATCTATTCAATGATGTAAAATTCCTATCTTTCCTATTAATTCCATGAGATTAGTGATCAGATCTAACAAATCAAACACAAAATAAGCAGGGTCAGAACTAATTTGTCCATGTTTTTTAGATTATTTTAATAAACTCTGGTCTCAGAATTGTTTTCAGCTGTAGGACTATAACTTATTTTTAGATGTAAAATTCAGAAGCTTTCAGAACAGGAGTAAGTTTTTAGGGGCAAGTAGAGTTTTTTATGATATTTTTATAAAATGATGATTTATCTATCAGTAATGTAAAATTTGTTTTTGAATTACACATTATCTATCCACCATATTGGTTTAGAAATTAAAACATCTATCAAATACCATTTCCTATAGTTTTCCAAGATGTGTAAGAGAGGCAAAGACAATATATATGGTATACGATTTTTAAAATATCATAAAAAAACTTCTGATTTAAAAATTTTAATTGAAATAATGGGTATGAATGTTTGATCTGACTTTATTGGTATGGTATTTTAATATTCATTTTATTTCAGAAGGACAAGAATGATTATCCCAAGAATAGTTAATACTAGTTAAAGGCATTTTAGAAAGTGTCTAGCTGCAGATAAAAAACAAACTAAAAGAAAAATGAAAGATCTCCATATCCCTTTGGATTAGTCATTCCAAGAGGAACATTTTTGAGAAGCAAGGACACCTCTTAGGTACAATTTTCCCCTGAACTCCAATTTCTCCCTTACCATTCAACATGTTTTCATTCTCTGTGGGCCTCCCTGCTTTCCTTCCCCCATTCCCTTTCAGGTTCCTTTCCTTCATTTTTTTTTTTTCCTCCTACCTATATCGCTTGAAAAATGGTATTTCTTTGGGAATTATCAATTCTTTCTGCAATGTACAATTATAATTTCAACATTTTATAACCTCATGTTTTCTTTCTTATAAAATATGTTTATGAGCCAAGACTGGTTTGGTTCAGTGGATAGAGCGTCGGTCTGTAGACTGAAAGGTCCCAGGTTCGATTCCGGTCAAGGGCATGTATATTAGTTGCAGGCACATCCCCTGTAGGGGATGTGCAGGAGGCAGCTGGTCGATGATGATTCTCTCTCATCGATGTTTTTAGCTATCTATCCTTCTCCATTCCTCTCTGTGAAAAAAATCAATAAAATATATTAAAAAAAAATAAATAAAATATGTTTATGAGATGGTTTTAATTTTGCTAATTAGAATTAATAAGCACCTAGCATGTGTTTGAGTTGGTCACAGGGACCATTATTCAATTTTAGGCTATGTTTCCTTGGGCTGCCTTGCTACTTGCTTTTACAGCCGGTCATTTGCAGCACCCGTGCTTCAAGATGAACAGCAAATTTTACTTTATCCCTTGTGCCTAATCCGATCACTAGCTCCGGTCAATCTTTATCTCCAACCTCCTTTCCTCCCCATTGGAGTTTTATTATTTTTCTATCCCAGAGGAGCCAGACGGCTAAATTGGGTATTTCTTGAATTTACATATTGTAATCTCATCTGCTCATTTCCTTAGGTAGTCATTGTACATTTGATAATTCCATTATTATAGATCATTAGTTTTCAACCCATTTTGTTTTTCCACAGGAGTGTCTGGAACCCCTGCTGACATAGTCTTAAAGAGTTACTTCTGAAATAGTCTATGCTTAATCAAAAAGTATCAAAAAAAAGTAGATGTGTGTTTCTGTTACTAGAAAAGTTAAGGTTTCTGTTTTAAATACTACACTTTGAATGATTTAAAATTTCAAAGTTGTCGAAAGGTTTATTTGCATGTAGATCTCTTTAATTTATTTTTATTTCTCTCTGTATGCACAGTTATTATCTAATATTCACCATACTTTATGTATATATGCATCAAAGGAATTATTTTTTTTATAAAATAATCAATCTACAAATGCCTAACTATTTTTTTATGACTAACTATGGTCTCACATTTTACCTATCCTAAACACAGCTATTTTCTCATCTTGATCCTTTAGGACTTCTTGCTTCTTAGAGTCAAAAAGGGAATCAAACTTGCACTTGACCAGCTAAGATGGATTTATAGTCTCTTTTAAAGATAATTTCAAGAATCTTACAGCAGGAGGAGGTGCTAAATAAAACTTGTTGCTTCCTGATGATGAAGATGAGGCTGAAGTTACATCTGTAAGGGAGTTAGGGGCAGAGCAGAAAGTGGAAGCCAGGTCTCCCATACTCTGTCCAATATACCATGTAGACTGAGGAAGTCCCTCAAGCCTTCCTTCAGCCTATATTTGACACACATTTAGTGTTCTGTGTCCTAACTCTCATCACGTTAGAATTGCCATATTGGATGTGAGGGGTCTGGGAAAAGGTGTGCTCTCATATTAGCTGAACCATCAGAAAGGCACTGTCAGTGAATAATGAAAATAGAGACAAGTCACAAAACCCCAATCCAGTGGCCTGAGGCCATTCAGAGAAGGATTAAAGAGCCTCACCTATCTCAGAAGGCCTAGAAGCACCCCTGCATCTTAGAACAGTAAAGGGCTGGCATTGGTGGAGGGAAACACATTAAGAAATAACTTATTGTGTTCAATGTCTGTGATCTGGAAAAGCAAAGAAATGGATCTGTGGTTTGGAAAGATATAGGCAAATTGAGTAAAATTCAATTCAACTATTTTCTAATGCCACACTTGTTTTTTACTTTTTAATATATCAGATGATATTGACCAGACAAGAAGATCATGGTTACTTTGTTTCTTGTTGGAAACTTTCTGTTAAAAAAAATTACCTATTAGCTTTTTACTTGAAGCATTTTAAAAGAGCTCTTAATGTGCTGGGGAATTAGACACAATCAAATATTGCTTAGGAATAATTCAGCTAGCTGCAAAAATAATTCACAAAGAATTCTCATGCCAGTGAGAATGTCTGTCATCAAAAAGATAAGTTCTGACGAGGATATGGAGAAAAGGAAGCTTTGTTCACTTGGTAGAATTGTAAATTAGTGCAGCCACTGTGGAAAACAGTATGGAGGTTCCTCAAAAAATTAAAAATAGAACTACCATATGATCAAGCAATGCTACTTCTGGGATTATATCTGATTGAGATGAAAACACTATATTGAAGAGATATCTGTACCCTCATGCCCTCATGCTCATAGCAGCAATGTTTGTAATAGCCAAGACATGAAAACAACCTAAGTGTTTATGACTAGATGAATGGATAAAGAAGTTGTTACAAACAGACACACACACACACACACATACACACACACACACACACACATATTGAAATAGTGTTCAGCCATCTTGCCATTTGTTTTACATGGATGAATCTTGAGGGCATTAAGTGAGACAGAGAAAGACAAGTATTGTATGATCTTACTTAAATGTGGACTCAAAACAACACAAACAAAAATCATAGAAAGAGATCAGATTTGGGGAATGTGGGGCAGGGGAATTGGATAAAAATAGTAAAAATGTACAAACTTCCATTTATAAGATAAAAAGTACTTGGGAATGTAATGCACAACATGATGGCTGTAGTTAACACCGCTGTATGGTATAAATCAAAAGTTATTAAGAGTTCTCATCTCAAGGAAAAAACCTTTTTCTTCTGGTATCTATAGGAAATGGTGATGTTAACATGTTGTGGTAATCATTTCATAATATATGTAATTCAAGTCATTATGCCATATTCCTTAAACTTATTTAAAAAATTACATATTGGAGGAAAGTGTGTGTGTGTGTGTGTGTGTGTGTGTGTGTGTGTGTATGTATGTATATGTATGTATATGTGTGTGTGTGTGTATATATATATATATATATATATATATTTATTTATTTATTTATATTTATATTTAAGGACAGGTGCTTTAACTTCTACACAACATAAAAAAGTTTGACAGTGAGACCTGCTCATTTCACTGGGTATGATGAAAGGACCACAATCATTGGGATATTTAACTAAACACACCAAGCTCAAAATGTAGGTCTCAAAGTCATTTTATTTGAATTGTCTGGGTTACCTTACTAGTCACATTAACTGGATAAATTGCCAAATTTGTGCCATTAGGAGCTAAATTTCCTATGAAAGGATTAATGTTTTGGCATTGAATAATTAATCTTTATAAGTAGGCTGATTTTCTAAAACACAATAGAAAGACCTACTGAATTTGTGGTTTAAAAACCAGATATTATAATAAAATGTCACTTTCTTGCTGGCTATTTATCACACCCAGGAGACGCTCACTAAATTATAAAGGTATAGTATTAAAATCTTGGAAAGTTTTTTTTTTGCATATGTATATTTTTCTATTTAACCTGGGTTTGATTTCTGCTATGCAAATCATATCAACAGAAATGTTGAACTCCTTGTCACTGATGCTCTCATTTTCATTCATTTGCTTGTAGTCACCTGGGCAGCCTTGTAAGTGTCCTGTCCAGGCAGCACATGCGATGGCTCTGGGACTTCAGTGGAAGAAAGCCCTTCTGGATAGGCAAGTATCTGCGCTGCACTGAGCAGGGAGACAAAACACGAGGAAAATGTCTCTCTTCCATGGGCCAAATGGTTGTGATTTATAATCTTTAAAAACTCATCTTCTTTTTTTAATTCTTTATTTTTTAAGGTATTGCATATAGTATGACATATATCTCCTTTTTTCCCCTCCAATTGACCTCTCCCAGGCACCCCCACCCCCAGCCCATGCCCTTACCCCACCCTAGTGTCTGTGTCCATTGGTTATGCTCTTATGCATGCATACAAGTGGTTGATCTCTTACAACCTTCCCCCCATCCCCCAACACACACCTTCCCTCTAAAGTTTGACAGTCTGTTTGATGCTTCTCTGTCTCTGGATCTATTTTAGTTCATCATTTTAGTAAAAAAAAAAATCATCTTAATTCCATAAAACTTTCATTTTTGAGCACATCTCAAAGGAATAATAAGGGATGTGGGTCTATTTATAGATAAGTGAATTCAACAAATAGTATTTCTAAAAAAAAAAACAACAAGTAATATTTCTAAAAGTAGAGCTATAAATAGGGGATGATTAAATAAATTATAGTATAGTCGTGTGAAGGAATATTTAATATTTAGTGCTTTGTGAAAGCACTAAATATTAAAGACATGACAAAATGTCTCATGCTTATTAATAGTCAATAAATACATATTGGATGAACATTATACATAAAATATTTGTGGCAAGATACTTAGTAAAAAGGCAGAGTGTATAAACATATGAAGCATGAAATAATTTAAAATAAAGAAATTATATACATGATATGTATATATATTTATATACATGTAATATATACATATATATTAAAAGAAACATGTCAGAAAATTAGAAATGTTTAACCTGCAGTTGAGAATTATAGCTGATTTAATGCTATCCCTTGTTTTCTGAATTTTTAATATTTCCTACATTTTAAACAACAATAAAATCCTTTCAAACCCCTTTAGAACTAGAATTCTCAGGGCCCCTCAAAGTCAGTATTCTCACTATCTCTCTTGAAAGGTGGTGTGTTTCAGGAGACACTAATAAACCATTCTTGGCTTCTCAGGATCTCTTTACCCCTCGGTGAGTCTCTAAATTCTGAAATTATCTGAGAGAATTAAGGTAAGGCTGAACGATGAGTTTTCATTACACCCACGGCTCGTTTCAAGGCTCTATCCCCACAAAGTACTAGGCATAGTGTGACCTGGTCAATAACTCAAGGAAACAATAGAACAAGATAGGTTATTCCTAACTACAAGCACTTCATTTTATTCTACCCCAAAATATTGACTGAGAATCGGTTGAGAGAAGATTGTATGCTATGTACCTAAGATTGTTTTCACAATCATGTGTGGTTTTGAGTTTCAGATCATGCTATTGAAGGGGATCCTTTTCTCATTTTCTTCTTTTTTATTTCTCTTATAAAAGCAAGTGAAGGGGAGGAATACTTATTTAAAAGAAATTACAAGAGCTTTGCAACATTAAAGTGTAATTTCCAAAAATTACCAGTGGGAATAAAGAGGCAAGTTGAGAAAAGCTGCTTTTTGTTGGAATTGTCACAGATGGAAAAAGTCTTAAGCTCCAGACTAAAAATAATACCGAGTAAGCTACTTTCACATAGGAAAACCGAGACATTTAAATAATGAAGAACAAGAACAATAGACAAGCGTGTATCTGAGTTCCTGTGATAGAAGTTCTGCCTTTAGGATAAGATAAATAATAATTGCCATTTAGTAAACACGTATATGTCATGTGCTTAACATGCTTGATCTTATTTCACTCTTAAAACTAGATATACTTATTTCACTCTCAAAACTAGATATACTATTTTTTAAAAATATGTTTTTATTGATTTTTAGAGAAAGAGAGAGAGAGAGAAAGAGAGAGAGAGAGAAACATCATCAATTAGTACCCCCCAATTGCCTACCAGGAATTGAACCCACAATCTGAGCTGACTGGGAATTGAACCAGAAACCTTTCAATCCACAGGACAATGCTCAACCAACTGAGCCATATGGATAAGGGAAATATATTATTTTTATTTCAATTTGTAAATGGGAAAATGAAAACTTAGAGTGGTTAAGTAATCTTCCCAAAGATGCTCAATGTACACATGCTGGAGCTAGGTTTATATATTTTTTTATTGATTTCAGAGAGAAATGGAGAGGGAGAGAGTGCTAGAAACATCAACATCAATGATGAAAGAGAATCATTAATCAGCTGCCTCCTGCAGGCCCCACACTAAGGACTGAGCCCACAACCCAGGCATGTGCCCTGATGGGGAATCGAACTGTGACCTCCTGATTCATAGGTCAATGCTCCATCACTGAACTAACTGGTCGTGCTGGAGTGAGGATTTAAATTCAGATCTGCCAAACTCCAAAGCCTTGTGTACTTAGTTGTGCCATGTAGGATCCCCAGATCCAATCCCATAGAACATAGGCCCATGTTTACATGTGGCTACTGAGCCTAGAATTTTAGACTGAAATGATATCCAAGTATAAATGTAATAAAATCATTTGGCACATTGTTTTGGTTCACATTAGGTTTGAACAACAAAGTGCATGCTGGCCACTGGGAGTGGATTGGCGGTGAGCCTGTCACCTTCACCAACTGGAGCAGGGGGCCCCCTCGGCATTCAAAGCCTGGCAAGAACTGCGTTTTGGTTCAAAGACAAGGAAAATGGCAAACCAAGGACTGTAGGAAGGGCAACGCTCACAATTATGTGTGCTCCAGGAAACTATGAATGCAACTGGCCTTCCAGGTACCCAATGGGATTTCTCACCTATTTATTTACAAGATTCATGCACACTGCTCCATAGAAAACAAGGTGTCATGACTAACTTGGAACATTTTTTTTACTCATAGTGTATGATGGATATTATTTTGTAAAAAAAAAAAAGGGGGGGGGGATAAATGAATACCTTCAGGAAGCCTGATAAATGAATATTTCTTATAGGAAGAAATACAATTCTTGCATCTCAGTACTTTTCAAAATAAATGTCTGAAGTATTATTTGGAACAAAATTGGCTTACTCTAGAGATCACCACCCCAACCCATGCAGTATCTCAGTTATCACCAATGTCATGGTCTTTGGAGTTTGGGGGTCTCAGTACTTCAAATGAGTCCGCTGTGAAATCCATACTGCAGGGGCTTTCTCCACTTGGGGCTGAGTGCAGCTAATCCTAGTTCATTCCATCGGGGTTGGACTGCCACTGCCTGCTTTGTCCCTTTGGAGCCCTTTCCAATGTGAAACCCGAGCTAAGAGGCTGCGGAGCAGAAGGAGAGTTCTCTGTGGTGAAAAGGGAAAGCTTTAGACGGAAGAATCTTGCCGATGGCAGCTCATCTGCAAAGCTCTAGTTCAGGTAAGAAATCAGAGGCCACCTGTGCTCCAGGAAGTCTACCTATCAGTACTCAGGAGCCAGATCTCCTTTTGGAATAAGAATGTTGGCCTTCTGCCATTCCAAGGCTACTGATTGTAGTTCCCCAGCCTTACAGAGTCATGATAAATTTAAAGGAACATGAGCCTCTATATTCATTTATGTTTATAATACTGACCAGGATTTGTCAAGTAAATTTTGGAATAAAGAGTATATATAAATGATGCTTAATATATGGAAGAAAAATACTGCTTCCTCAGACGTGTCCCAATGAACTATGCTGATGAACAACAATAACAACAACAACAACAACAACAAAAATATTGAAAACAAAGCCCTTGAAAGCCTATACTCTCAGAAAGGAGTCTGATGCAAATTTGAGCCCTTAAACCTATAATATCTGTGGAAATGCCACGATGATGCCATTCTCTGATATAAAGGTACCTTGTTAATTTATGTCATCTGAGTGAAACATTACTGTAGCGGTGAAGCATGCTGCAGATTTATAAGAACTCCCTTCTGAAATCAAGGTTTAATGACAGGAAATTAGAAGTTTATTTCTGAAACATTTACTAAACATTTTCCTCTTTCCCAAAGCACTAAAAAAATATGGCTGTGCCCAATGTAACTTGCTACATGAGCACCAGAGTAACTTCAGAATCAAAATGAGGTTACCCAGAAGACCAGTGCTTCAGTGCAGGGTTTATTATAATAATTTCTGGGGCAAAACTAAAAAAGACTGAAGAAATTCAAATTTTTCGATGTAAAACAGCACACACTTGTTTTATTTCTGCTCATTTATCAAGGTTTTGGTTAATAGACATATTGTCAAAGAGAGGCTGAGATAAGATTTAGACACCCTAGGAGAGAAGAAAAAAAAAAGTTCAAAGAATGAGAATTTCAAGGGCCACACCTTCGTACTGGAACTCTAGAGCTACTTAACTATTTAAAACTGAAAATTCAGAACCATGGCAACCGCGTAGAACCTGTTTGGCATGGTGGATTTTATTATACAATGAATATAACCACAGTGACAGTGCTATTTAAATATAATTGCAATGTTAGCACAAAAGAGACTGTTTTGAATTTTTATAGCCACTAGAAATACCACAAGGATGTTTAAAAGTATTCCTGATCATGAAAGCATTAATCAAGTTGTAAAATCCAAGAAATTGTAAGAAGAGATATATAAAAATTCAGGCAAATGTGGGTGCTGGGCAATATTCGTCATGATCTTCACTTGTTTCTCAAGATTGGGTTTGACTCTGAGTCAGGAAGAATTGAATGATTGTCATGGTTCTCTCCACCCTGATTGGTCATTGTCGCCATTCGGTTCCGAGTGGAGCAGGAAGGAAGGAAGTGAAGTAATGGTGGAATGGGAATGGGAGATTGTAGGAGAGTGAAGGGAAAAGAAGAGAGGAAGGTTGAGGAAGAAGAGGAGGAGACTGAGGGTAGATAAAGCACCAGAAAGAAGGACCTGGAGCCACCACGCTCTTCTCCCCACATTGAAGACTAACTCAGGAAAAGACCCACTTGATCCAAGGGCCTCAACCCAACACAATCGTGTGTAGCTTTTCAGAATATTGTGATATTTGGTTTTTAACAAAAAAAAAAAAAAAAAAAAAAAGAGAGAGAGAGAGACATGTGTACAGCATATATTTGCTCAACATAAACTTGTAAAGCATTATTTTATCTCCCTGCAAGGAGTGATAAAAATGAACCTGGTGACATTTATTTACGTTTCTGCTTTTGTTAATTTTCAATTAGTCCCAAGTAACAATTACCTATTTTTGTTAACAGAACAGTTCTGTATAATTTAAACCATGAACTGGTGCTGATGAATTTCTGCAAAAAAGCAGCATATTAAATGTACTGTATCTATTATTGTATCAAAATCAATAAAATAAATATTTCTGAACCACTGTTCCTTTAGTTTTCAAGATTTTATATTCTATCCACTGTAAGAAGGGATGGAGCAGAAAATTCAGCATGTTTTTTTTTTTTGTTGTTGTTGTTATTAATCCTCACCAGACGATATTTTTTTCATTGATTTTTTTTTAAGAGAAAGTGGAAGGGAGAGGGAGAGGGAGAGACAGACAGAGAAACATTGATGTGAGAGAGACACATTGATTAGTTGCCATCCACATGCACCCCAACCAGGACTGGGGATTGAGCCTTCAACCAAGGTATGTACCCTTGACTGAAATCAAACCCAGGACCCTTCAGTACAGAGGCCGATGCTCCATCCACTGAGCCAAACTGATTAGGCGTCTTTTTTATTCTTACTTTTAGATCAGCCTTTAGTTATATGGCTTCCATCCATTCACCCAGCCACCCAACCACTCATCCACTGTTCATTCAACAAATACTGAATCATGAGTTCCAACTCTGAATAGCTCATATATGCAAATTTCTAATTGATGTGTGTGTGTGTCTGTGTGTGTGTGTATGTGTGTGTGTGTATGTGTGTGTGTGTGTGTGTGTGTATCTTTTTATCAGGGAAGATGTCATAGAGGAAATCACTGATTACATCATCTCTTTTCGGAAATGGAGGAAAACACACACTGATAAAACCTGCTCAGCCTGTCTTTTGTTGTATTTCTCTCCTGGTTATGACACCATGTTAACTCAGTGAGTTTATAATCACCTCAAAGTGTTATTGACAGCAGCTATCTGAAATGTCCTGTCTCCAGATTGAGTTAGAAACTAAAGTTTTCAAATCTAGTTTATTGTTTTTGCAGCTATTATTCTTTTCCCCCAAAGACAGGAGTAATAGTATGTCTCTCTGTGTCTTTGAGATGTCTGGAGTAGCAGGAATTTAAAAAAAGAGAACTTTGATATCCTCTCACCTGATAACCATATTGTACAACAGAGGAGACTAAAGTCCTTGAAAGTTAAAGTGGGAAGAAATCGCCACTAGAACTTGAGTCTTCTAATTATTCCACATAGCTATTACCACTCTGAGCAAGTGGTCTTATTGTTGTCAACTAACATATATTTGAATAATGACTATGATATGATAAATTTGAATATGCTGTAAGTGAAAGAAGGTGGATACAAAAGGCCACATACTAGTATTGCATGTGGCCAGAACAGGCAAATCTATAAAGACAGAAAGTAGAAGAGTGGTTAACGGGGGATGAGGAGAAGGAGAAATTGGGACTAATTGCTAATAGATAAGGGGTTTCTTTTTTGAAATGTTCTGGAATTAGATAATGGTGATGGTTGCACAACATAGTGAATAAACTGCAAACCTTTAAAGTATGCACTTTAAAATGGTGAATTGTATGTGATAGAAAGTACACTTCCATAAAAGTGTTATTTAAAGTCACCATAAAATATTTATTTTAGAAAGCTATAAATGGCTTGATGTATTTGACTCATCCAAGATACTTTTTCCAGTCCTTGTCCCATGGCTCACCCAGGTTTCTGTTTATCTTGTTTTATATGGTTGGTTAAGGGGGAGAGAATGCTTGTTTAACCTATTTTTTAATTTACAGTACTGTGCTAGTGGTTTTCCTTCCCTTTCTCTCCATTAATCAAGGGGAGGACTGTTAGTGATTCAGAGTGTGTCTGGGTGTCTGTAATGGCTTGAATGCCATGATTTTCTTTAAATTAATTTTACAAGACTTTAGAACAGGATCATACAGGAAATGTTTTACTGTCCTCATAACTTACACACATAACTGTTTATTTTTGAACATTTTTATAGGACTTATGTTCTAGTAGGCACTAAAGTTTAGTTTCTCTTAAGATAGAAAGGAACAAAAATAAACCAACACTTTAATTAAAGGCCTTACGGTAACCTGCAGTGCTTTTTCCAAGCAATGAAGTATAAGTTTACCTTTTGCTCTATCCTTCTCTCTATTTTTGCTTCCCAAAGGCAATCAATCCTAATTTACCCTACAGAAGAAAAAAGAAAAAGAAAAAAAGATATCCTGTCCTAAAACTAGTCAAAATAAAGCTGAAGTGACTATATTAATATCAGAGTATATTTTAAAGCCAAGATTATTACCAAGGATAAAGAAGGTTATTTTATCACTTAAAGGGACCAATTCATCAAGAGGACACAATAATCCTAAACATTTATGTACCTAGTAACGAAGTTTAGAAATACATGAAGCAAAAACTAATACAACTACAAGGAGAAATAGACAAATCCGTGATTATAGTCAGAAATGTGAATACCCCTCTCCTAGTAATGAGGAGAGCAAGAAGGCAGAAAATCAGTAAGGACATAGAAGTGTGGGCACTGTTGATTAAATTAACTTGATTGATATTTATAGAACTCTACACCCAACAAGAGTGGAAGATGCATTCTGTCCAAGTGCACACAAAACACAGGGCAGACTGTTTTCTGGGACATAAAATGAGCCTCGATAAATTTAAGATGATTCAAATCACACAAAATATGTTTTCGACCACAATGGATTGGAATTGTAAATCAACAGATTTACAATTTGGAAAATTCTCAAATGTTTGGAAGCTAAATTATAGATTGGTTTAACTTGTGGGTTAAAGTAGAAGTCAAGGGGGAAATTAGAAAGTATGGTGAACTGAATAAAAATGAAAACACAACATATCCAAGTTTGTGGCATGCCATTGAAGCATTAATTAGGGGAGTTGTATAGCACTAAGTGCCTAAATAGAAAAGAAGAAAGGTCTTAACCTCTAGTTTCACCCTTAAGAAACTAGAAAAAGAAGAAAACAGAAGTAAAGAAATAACAAATTATTACAATAGAAATCAATAAAATAGAAAACAGAACAATAATAAAAGAAAATTAATGAAACCAAAGCTGGATCTTTGAGATTATAGATAAAACTGGTAACTCTCCAACCAGGCCAGTCAGGAAAAAATGATTGAGGAATGAAAATGAGAAGTTATATCAGGAATGAGAAGTTATATTGAGTGACATCACTAGAGATTTTTTACACTAATAAATGAACAATAAGGGACTATCATAAATGGCTTGTGCCAATATACAAGTTAAATAAAATGGAAAAATTCATTGAAAAACAAACTATCAATGCTCAAACAAAAAATTTAAAACCATGTAACCTATAATTATTATAAAAAATAAATTTATAGTTTAAAACTTTCTCACAGTGAAAATTCCAGGCTCAGATAACTTCACTATTGAATTCTACAAATATTTAAGGAAGAAATGGAACCAATTCTACAAAACTTATCTAGAAAATGGCAGAGAAAAGACTACTTCCTAACTCATTCTATGAGACCAGTTATTACTCTGAAACAAAACCATACAAAAATATTATAACAAAAGAAAACCACAGATTGATTCCCCACTAGCGTATAGATGAAGAATTCTAAATAGAATTTTATCAATCCAAATTCAACAATATATACAAAAGGTAGTACATCTTCACTGAGTCACTATTAAGAGAATAATAAGCCATAGAATGGGAGAAAATATTTTCTATGCATCCTATCTAATAAAGACGGAATATACTAATTTACTGCCCTGCCCTCCAAGATGGTGGTGCCCAGTCTCCTTAGCCCTGTGGGTGGTGGCAGGCATGGGCCTGGCTGTTCTGTGCACCTGCCTTCAGAATCCCCAGTCCCCTCAGCCCTACAGCTGCCCAGGGCCGGCCTGAGGCACAGGTAAGCCTCAGAAGGCAGCTGCTAAGGTAACCAGGGCCAGTCGAGGCTTATGCTGCTGGCAGTGGCAGCAGCAGAGGTGTGATGGAGCATTGCCTTCCCTTGATCGCCAAGTCACTTCCTGCCCCTGAGGGCTCCCAGACTGTGAGAGGGGGCAGGCTGGGCTGAGGGAACCCTCCGTCTAATGCATGAATTTTCATGTACCAGGCCTCTAGTATAATGATAAAGGACTTATATCCAGACTTTATATAATATATATATATATATGGCAGAAGATTTGAACCAATACTTCAAAGAAAACTAAATAATTTTAGTTTTGTAAATTTGTAAATTGTAATTTGAAGTTAAAATAAGATAGTATTTCACATCTATTAAAATGGCTAAAATTACAAAGAGTGGTCATATCAAGTGTTGGTAAAGCTTTAAAGAACTGGAAGTCTCATATGCTCCTGGTGGAAATATAAAATAGTCCAGCCACTTGGGAAAATAGTGTTTTCTTTAAAAAATGGTAAACATATACCAGCCATTCTACTCCTAGGTATTTACCCAAGAGGAGAGAATGCATATTTCCATTCAAAGACTTATGCATGAATGTTCATAGCAGCTTTGTAACAACCAAAACCATTAACGACTAAATACCCATTATCATGTGAATGGATTAAAAATTATATCCTTTCAAATACTATTCAGGAATAAAAACAAATGAGATATTGCTACAACACCTGGATGATTCTCTAAATCACCATGCTGAGTGAAAAGCCCGACAAAAAAGAATGCATAGCGTGTGCGTATCCCATTTATAGAAAATTCTAGAAAGTGAAAACTGATTTATAGTGACAGAAAGGAAATCAGATGTTAACCTGTGAATGGGAGAGAAGGATAGAAATGGGCCGAGGCAGAGAATGCAAGGGGACACAAGGAAACTTGGGAGTGATGGATTTGTTCTCTTTCTTGACTATAGGAACAGTTTCACAGATATACAAACATGCATATACATGTTTATTTTATGTCAATTTTGTACTTCAATAAAGGAAGAAAAACAATCATTTCTACAAAGTGGCAGAAACATTTTTAAAAAATGAAAGGTACTTGCTACTTTATTTCAGGGCACTAAAAATTGGAGCAAAATTATATGATTGAAATGTCCAATTAAAGAAGAATGCTTAATGGAATATTATATTATCACCATTGAAATAATAATTCTATCACATAATGTTAATTTAAAATAGCGGAATACAAAATAATATATTCACCATTTTAATAGCTATGTGGCAACAGGCAGACTGATAGGGAAGACTAAGAGG